GGTCTGGATCTCCCACAATGATGTCAAATAACTTACTAACTAGTCTCTTATCTCTTGACCCCTCAGAGGGCCACCACACCCCAAAGGAAGGCCAATCTACTTCACAGAGGGTTCGAAGCTTTCCGGGAGTTAACTTAATACTGTAATTCCCTGAATATCCCTTTTTGAAATTCTTTACCATGCACTCTAAGGGGTAAGCTTACACCGATTGCCACTCATTTCCTCCCACTAAAAGATGACAATCACACACAAGGTCGGAAGGAATGGGTGGGGTAAGAGGATGGGTTGGCCACTTTGCCCTTCTCCAGCCGTACGCCTTGTGGGGATATTTCCGGTGCCTTCTGGCAATAGGCGAGTAGGTCTAAGCCTCGACCAGGTTTTGGCCCAGGGTGTCATATTCCTACTACAGGAGATATTTCAGGTGCCTTCCTGGCAATAGGCGAGTTGGTATAACACCCTGACCAGGTTTCAGTCTCACTATAGAACTTACTCCCGCCATTTAGCCATATGAAGATCACTACCGGCCCCCAAATCTACTCCCGCTGTTTAGCAGTGTGAAGGGCACCACTGGAACCAAATCAGGGCTACAGCACTCGCTTCGCCACTAGGTGGTTTGTTGTTCACTCACATTCACATGTCTTCAACCCGCCGCCCAGTGCCTTAGAGTTACGGTTTCATCCCCCTGTGGACTACTCGGGCGACTCTGGGAAGTAATCAGGCTCCCCTTCTGCCTCTTAGGGGTAGGTCTACCAAATTGAACCCAGGTTCTTACCAATCTGGTGGGCGTGGCTCCCTTGACTGGTTCCTGAGCCTCACTGCATTCCATTATGCTCCCAAGGTTCTCACCCCAGCATGCTGGGATGGGCAGTTTCCTACGGATCAAGTGGTCTGCTGGTGCCAGGCAATGTCACGCCAGGGTGCAATCTCTCCAGTCGTACTCCGGTAACAAGGGAGGTGGAAACACCATCTCTGCCTCTCGCTTCCCAGCCAATGCACCAGAAATGTAGCAGGAATCTTTACAGAGAGAGACCAAGACCACTTTGCCAGGAAATAGCATTTATTCTTGCTGGCATGGGCTCAGTGGATTCGCATCCAAAGGCTGAGCCCAGAGCATGGGGGGCAGTGTCTTTTATACAATTTAAGCTTCCTTGCCCCCCAATAAGGCTTACATATTAGTAGCATACTGGTTAATTGGGTATTTCACAGCTCAAGGTTATTATAGCAGAGTTACACTGGTGCATTACAGATTGGGGTCACATTCCTTTCCAATATGTATCATCCAAGAAAGTTCTTATCTTATGGTGCTATAAGAACCCTTTCATTATCCTGGGAAGGCTTTTATCTTATAAGACTTGGAGGAAGGACTCCCTGCCTTAGTGCACGTGGACAGCTCTTTGCAGTCACCAACAGACTCAGTTTCCTTTGCCAGTTTCTGTCTGGGACATGAAGCTGGGGAGCCTTTCATGGCTAAGATGTGTTGAAATGTGTTGTGTTATAAGGGGCGAGCTTTCAGTCATCTCAACTACAATGACAGTGGAAGCAGGCCGAGCACAGCTCTAGGGACTCTTTTCCTGTGTGTTCTCTACACAAACCATATTACCCTGGTCCTCAAATTTTTGAACTTCCAAGAATGATGCTACTTTTATAGAGTCTAAGGTGACACAGTCTCTTCCCTCTACCCCCATCTTGTCTTGGTACTACTTAAAGTAGGAACAGACAGTGAGAACCTCATCAGTGTGAAGGACAATACATGATTAATTTCCAGAAAATGAAGTAAGGTTTGTTGATGTAACCAAAAGACAAAACAAAGGGAGGCATGGTAATAGTCACATCTTGGGGAAATAAACTTACTTAGAAATAAGAAAGCTGAAACACTCCAGTCAAATAGCAACAAGTACTTATTTTAATATATATATATATTTTTAGCTGGAGTCTCACTCTGTTGCCCAGACTGGAGTGCAGTGGCTGCTCCCAGCCACCGCAGCCTCAACCTTCTGGACTCTGGCGATCCTTCCGCCTCAGCCTTCCAAGTAGCTGAAACTACAGGCATGTGCTACCATGCCCGGCTAATTTTTTTGATTTACTGTAGAGATGAGGTCTCGCCAAGTTGCCCAGGCGGGTCTCGAACCCGTGGGCTCAGGCAATCCACTCACCTCAGCCTCCCAAAGCATGGGATTACAGGCTGAGCCACCGAACCCGGCTCTATTTTAATCTTCTTTGGACCAAAAACTACTTAAGTGACATCCAGGAAAAATTGTGACTTCTGTATTACTCAGTCAATGAGAAACCAGGGGAAGAGTTTATACACTAGGAAATAAAAAAGCTTATTGTAACCACCTTAGGTGTGCCTGAACTTGCAAGACCATCATTAAAGTCTTGCATCTGCTGCACTCCATGTCTCTGTGTCCATCCTTTGATTTTGGATGGGTGAGTTTGTGTCACAGTCAGGTAGAAATCGGAGCAACTCAGGACTTCCAGCTATCACAGGAGCTCAGATGCATTCATGCTTTGGAGTGATCACCCAGAAAAGACACTTGGGGAAAAGGATAAACCATGGTCTGGGTTGGAGAAAAGTGTCCAGACAAAGCACTTGTTGTAATGCACGGTTGTGATTGGAGCTATTCTCTCATCTGCCAAAAAACCCCAGAAAACCTTTGTATTAGTTTTTCAGCTAATAACATTTCAATTTATTGCAATTTTTCATGCTATAACAATTTTTTTTTTTTACTTTTTGAGACAATTGTAGATTCGCATGCAGTTGTAAGAAATAATACAGAAAAATCCATGCACTTTACCCAATTTTTCTCAATGGTAACATCTTGTAGAACCACAGGACAATATCCCAGCCAGGATATTGACATTGATGCAATAATTCCGCCACCAAGATCCTTCCTGCTGCCCTTTTATAGACACACCTCTCTCCCTCCTTCCTTAACTCCTCCCCATCCCAGATCCTTGATAACCACCAAAGGCTCTCCACTCCTGTAACTTTGTCATCTTAAGAATGCTACACAAATAGAGTCACGTGGTTTGTAACCTTTTGAGATTGGCTTTTTGCACCCAGCATAACTCCCTGGAGATTCGCCCAGGTTGTTGTCTGTCTGCTCCTCTTTACTGCATGAGTCATATTCCATGGTATGAAGAGACCACTGTTTGTTTAACCATGCAATCAATGAAAGCTATCTGAATGGTTTCTGGCTCAGAGGGGTTACATATAAGGCTGCTATGGACATTTATGCACAGGTTTTTGTGGCAATGAAGTCTTCCTTTCTCTGGTACCAATGATCCCGATAATTCTAGGTCATTCGTCTTCATGTTTCATTTTATAAGAAACTGCCATTCTATCTTCCACAGTGACTATACCTTCTTACCTTTCCACCAATAAGGCATGAGTGATGCTGTCTCTGCCTCTTCACCAGCATTTGGTATTGTCACTATTTTTTATTGTAGAGCCACTGTGCCTGGCCTGTTTCATTTTCTCATTAGATTATTTGTATTTTTACTATTGAGTTCTGAGAGTTTTAAAAATATATGCTATTCTAGTCCTGTTGGGAGCCGGCCATGGAGGCCCACTGAGTGTTAGGGATCAGGAAGGGCCGTTGACCCCGAGACCACTAGGATGCATTCGGGAGCTACTGACCCCATTTCCTTCCCCTTTCTACTCAGCACTAATCTGATTAAGCTCCTATAAGCTCAAACATAAAAGCTCTGAGACTGAGACAAACACAAGCTCACTTTAGAAGCTCATAGATCCCATTCTTCCACAAACTGCAGTTTTGGCTTTCACACAACTTATAATTCAAACTTGTGTCACATCTAAGAGCCTTAGTATTGGTCACAGGCTTCTGGGTCATGATCTTAGGATTTATTGAAGGTGTGCATTGTAGAATATAGTTTTAGAAGACAGCCATTTTGTTGAAAGAATACGGCTGGGTTACTTGCAGGTAGCCCACTGTGAATTTTGGACTGGGCCACATTCCAAACATTCTGGGATGGGCCACTTTCGTTTGTAAAGTAAATACTTAAGCTTCTATAGAATTGTTTAACTTGGCATAAATCAATCAGCTTAGGATGAAAAAGGTTTATAGAATATATCAGTCACAGATTAGGTTATCCTTTGTTATGGGATTTTAAGATTATCATATGAAAAGGGTTTAAAGGCAATCATTAAGTTTTCATGGATTAAGGTTTCTGGTGGGTGGGGGACGGCCCTCTCACATCTGACTTTGTGTATAAAAGAACCGTTGTAATTCCCAATAACACACATCACTTCTGCACTAGACTGGAGTCCAGTCTCTTTCTTTCTCTCTCTCTCTCTTTCTCTCTTCTTCCCCTCAATTGCCGACTCCGTCTCCACCTTTGGGGTACACTGAACCCAGCTGGAGCTGGTCTCTGGCATAGTCCTTTGTTATAAATATGTGGCTTGCAGATACTTTCTTCCAGTCTATAAATTTTACTTTCATTTTCAACAAGGTCATTTTCAGAAAAAGATTTTAATGTTTCAAGTTTATCAAGTTTTTTCCTGTATGGATTGTTCTAATTTTCTCCTTTGGCTTTTGTTCCCTCAAATTGTACAGTTTTTATGTTTTCATTTCAGTCCATGATCCATTTCAAGTTATTTTTGTATAAGGTGTGAGGTGTAGGTCAAATTCTTTTTTTTTTCCTGTTAGATTCTGGGCGTCCAGTTGTGCTGGCAACATTGTCAAAAAGGCTATCCTTCCTTCACTGAATTGCTTTAACACCTTTGTAAAAAATGAACTGTGCATATTTGTTTGAGTCTATTCTGGGATCTTTATTCTGTTCCAGGGATCTATGTGTCTTCCCCTTTCCAAGGATCACAGTCTTGATTGCTGTGGTTACATAGTATAGGCACCTTCTAAATACAGTCATCTCCCATGCAAGGCATCAAGTTTCTCCTCTGCCACTCTTACCATCCAAGAAACCAGTTGCCCATGACAGTAAAAAATTATGTCGCTCAGTTTTTGTAAAAAGATGCTCACCTTCTGCAGGGTGCAGGGTGTGGATAGGTCCTTCAAAGGTCAGTGCACATTCCTGAACTTGTATCATCAAGTTTCTTTGTGGTTGCCTGGAAACAGGACCAAGAGGATGGTCAGAAGAAACCACAGTAACCTGTGTTTTTTCCTGTGAGAGTCAAAACAAAAAACAAAAACCACAATAACTTGTGAAAATAAAAGACAGAGGTCCTGACAAGCACAAATCTCTGGAAATTTGTTCAACTCAGGAGAAATGCAGAGAAAAATCTTCTCAGTCTCTACTTTTTTAAGGTCCAGGGCTAGTATTTCAGTAATTTTTAACCAGTTCCAGCATACAGAAAGTCTATAATAGCAAGAGAAGCCAAGAAGAAAGTCAGCACAGGAGCAGGGTTCCTTCCCACAGACCCACAGATTTGCAGAATTTCATTCTACATGTACTTGGATTCTGAAGATCAGATAAATAAATCCCACACTGGTGCAGTGAATGATGACTTCTTGGGTGTGGTCTCCTCATGTGAGCCAGCTGTAACTTGGACCCTTTCTCATCGACTCAAGACAAAGCCAGTGAAATGCCAGATGAGTGAACCTTGTCTTGTCATAGAGAAACTCTTGAACCTGCTCTAACTTTCCCTCTCCTTGGGCCTTCTTAAAACTACTTAACTGCCAAGCCTTTCCACTTTGTGTTGACTAATACATTATATAAGACATACCTCCTAGTGCAGAACCCACGTGGGAACTGCTGGATTAGAATTTACCAAAGATACACACTCTCTTCCAAATCGCTAGGGAAACGGATTCGACCTTTTACTAAAGGTGTGCTCTGGTGACATGGATGAGATGTGTCTTAGGGGATTCTTACATGGCTACGTTCATTGCGAATGAGTTATCTACCTGAGGAGAAGGTTCTAAGGAGCTCCCAACCTAGCAGAGCCTCCTGCCATGCTGCTTCCTATATCTTAGGAATCCAGTGGGAGCTCATACAGATAACCATGTGGTATTTTAAGGAAGATCCAATTGTATTTCTATTTAAAATGGCAAAAAAAAAACCATCTTTGGTTGCTACCTGATCTTTTCCACAGTCAAAAAACTTAGGTGATCCACTTGTTTTATAATTTTTATGATAATCAACATGTTAACATCATTTTTATAAAAACATCCTATATTAAACTCTACACAGAGTAAAAAGGAAAAGTTTGCAAAACTTTTTGAGTTTTACTTTTTTTTTTTTTTTTTGAGTTGGAGTCTCACTCTGTCGCCCATACCGGAGTGCAGTGGCCGCTCCTGGCCACTGCAGCCTCGACCTGCTGGGCTCCGGCGATCCTTCCGCCTCAGCCTTCCAAGTAGCTGGAACTACAGGCACACGCTACCACACGCGGCTAATTTTTTATTTATTGTAGAGATGAGGTCTCGCCAAGTTGCCCAGGCGGGTCTCCATCCCATGGCAGGCAATACATCACCTCAGCCTCCCAAAGGCACGGGATTACAGGCTGAGCCACCGAGCCCAGCTGAGTTTTACTTTTTTTGCTTTACTTTTGTTAAAGTGTGGAATTAAATTTCTCAAAGAGTTGAAATTAATGAAAAACTGTAGCACTTGTCTTTAAATATTTACTTTTGCTTAAATGTACTTGTTATGGGTTGAATTGTTCTTCCCTCCATCCCCTAAAAAGATCCTGAAGTGCTAATAACCCCCCATACCAGTGAATGTGACCTTATTTTGCAGATGATCAAGTCAGGATAGGGTTATTAGGGTGAGCCCTAATCCAATGTGACTGTGTCCTTATAAAAAGGAAAATTTGGACACAGAGGCATGTCCACAGGGATAATGCATGTAAAAATTAGAAGTATATTGCCAGAAGCCAAGGAACTATGAAAAGCTGTGACAAAGGCCTGGAACAGATCCTTCCCCAGAGCCTTCAGAGGGAACCTGGTCCTGCTGACACCCTGACCTTGGACTTCTGGCCTCCAGACTGTGAGAGAATGCATTTCTGTTTGTTGTACTTTGTCATGGCAGCCCTAGCAAAGTAATACAGTATTTTACTTATTATTTTGGGAAATACTTATAGCTCATAAGATTCTGAACTGAAACAAAAACTTCTTCAAAAAGAAGCCAACTGATAGTGCATTTTAGTCCTTGAGAATTCAACTTTCTTGACCCCTGCTGGAGACAGTTGGGCTCGAGTAAACGGATTATGTCTTCACAGCAACACAGAAGCCCTGGTTTATATTTTCAGTGCCTCAAGTGTCATTCTAGCACACATCTAAATAAAAAGGATTAACCCCAATATTTCAACTTTAATGGGGCTGTGTCTGCCAGGAAGGAATGAATCAGTAGCAACAAAAAACACTCCTTCTTGTGAAGTCATCACGACAGACTCAGCATAATTCATGAAGGCTGAGAAAATTCATTTCAGAAGGCTGTCTGCTTCAAGACTGCCATCTGAGTTTTAAGTTATTTCCACTTTTAATGTATTAAGTATTGATAAATCATACCTAAACAGTTCTTTTAAATTTAATAAGTTTTTCTTGTGATGCTCATCAAGGGAAAAATTCTAAAATATACTTAGAAACTCTTAGAAAAAAAAACAAAAACCTTTAAACATATCTCAGAGTTGTGAACTTACTGTTTTGTCATTTCTTTACTAAAGTAATACAGGAGTGCTTACGATACTGAATAAACCTTGGGAATGACAGGTTGTGTTCTCCCCAAGCATCCCTCATTTTGAGGAAATATCTGCATCATTAATGGCTCCTCCCAGCTTCACATAAAAGAACACAAAAGGCACTCAGATTTTTGTCCATGATTTTGAGATTTGTATTTTCCAGGTTCTAGGAACACTATGTCTTCTTGGTTGACATAGTTCACTTTCAAGTCAATGCTGTTCGTCATTGGGTCCCCAGGCCCTAGAATTGTGTCTGGCACAAAAATACTTGATAATTGAATGAGTCTTCAAGCTCAGTTTCAATAATCTATAGAATAGGCTATATAACAATCTATATTAAACCCACAGAGAGCAGGATGCAGGACACAGACACTAGTCATTTACCTCTCAACGACCCTGTGGGAGAGGCCCTACTAGTGTCTTCCTTGTACAGAGCAGGACAGAAGACTCGAAGAAGGCAAGTTCCTGCCCATAGTGAGCCAGCCGGAGGTTAAAATGGAATCACATCAGCAATTGTGCAACCCTCGGACTCACGTGACCTCCGTGCTTATCAGTAGAAGTAGGAACATCTGCAGGGCATTGTACTTTTTGCATGCTCAGGCCGAGCTGATATTTCCTTTTAACAGATCCTTCCTAGCCGGTTTTCTCCTCAAGAATTCAAGCCTAGAGTGGTCAGATAACTTATACTGTCAGTGACTTCTGAGTCACTGAAGATTAAGTTTACAGAACCCAATTATAATTACAAAACCTGCTAGATTTTGAGATGCTTAGTAAATTTCTTTTTATAAGCAGGTTTCTGTGACTGGGGATAGCTGAGCGCATTAGGGAAAGGTAAGTTATCTAAGTCTTCTTCCAACTATTCCACAAACTGGCAAAGGGAAGGGAAGAAGCTGAAAGAAAATTTACCTTCTTGATCACTTCCTGCCCTTGAGTAACCCTGACCCACAGAGTTCACTATACAAACCTTGGTGAACACAGCACCATGGACAGTGGCATGCCACCCTTTTTTCCACATACCCACATTGACTACGTCAGGGACCCCAAATGTGGATGTGAACCCAGATTTTCCACAGTTAGACAAAACTTCTCAACCTCTCTCCTGGCAGGTGGTTGCTGAGGAATTATACTTAAAAAAAAAAAAGCCAAAAATTGCTTGGGCAGACTCCGTACCCTGAGGTCTCATGCTCCCTTCTGGATGTTCCTGCCTTACTCAATTGTACTCACAAAAGCAAATCAAGAGGAAAACATGTGGGGAGAAAAACTTCCTGGTATCTCTGAATTGCATCCCCAGACTGTGGCATGGCCAGCTCCTGCAAAACGGTGAGTCACTGTTGTAGTGAAGAGGCCCCAGCAGCCACCAAAGCTTGGAAAGGGGCTGCCGGCAAACAAGGTCCTTCTGCACAATGAGCAGCAGCGCCCTGGCTGGGAGCTCTTCTCTTGGGCCAAGTCTACATAGCTGAGAGGCGAAAAAGAGCCAAGAAACCTAAGAGAGCCGGCTGGCAAGGGGGAGAAGGTGGAGGCTGGCCAACCCACAGCATTTTGTTGCCATGAATCACTTAAGAAATGCAAAGAACAATATAATTTGTAGGTGGTTATTGAGAGCTCCAGACATCCAATCCTTCTAGTTTATAAAGATACACATCTTAATTATTAATGGTAAGATGAAAAAACAACTGCCCTGAAGTTAGGAAATTCACACAAAAGAGGGTCTGTTCTGTAAAGTCCAGTTTGCTTGGCCTGTTCCAATGCCAATTACATTCCTGGTTCCTTCCCAGTAGATTTCTGCTAAACTCATGTTGCAGAAACTTGAGTTCTGCAGGCAGAGATCCACCTGGGAGTCAGGTGAGAGGCCCACCCCTGGCAGCACTAACTTCTTGCAAAACACACTTCTGATAAATGCCTCATTAAGTGGTTGTCCAGAAAGAATTGTGATTTCCCATGGGACGAAACTAAAACCGGTGATTGCATTACTGAAAACTTCCCACATCATACACAAGAGCAGTAAGTTGTGAGGGCAAAGACACGACAGTTACACAACTACAAGCCTCTTTAATTTACTCGAGGGAAATTATTTTCCAAGGTTCAGAAAATCAGCATAGATGATTACATGTTGTGACCATATAAGGACTCACAATAGTGTGTGTTGTGTATATGAAAGACTACTCAGCCATATTATAATGTTTTTGCTTGCTATACAAGTTATGAAATATGTAAGTGAAACAAGTGTATCTGCAGAAATGAGATGAGGCTTACCCCTTAAAATACAGGCTCTTGTGGACTTTTGAATTGACAATCTTTCCTTGTCAATTCCTTCTTTGCCCTCAGTAGGAAAGCCTCTGATGTTGCAAGTAGTTATAGTGCTAGCTTTTAACTTGATTTATATTATGTTTTAAAAATTATGTCAATTTCACTTTCTTATTAAGAATATGTTTTCAAAGCTGGGCTCGGTGGCTCAGCCTGTAATTCCGCGCCTTGGGAGGCTGAGATGAGTGGATTGCCTGAGCCCGCGGGTTCGAGACCTGCCTGGGCAGCTTGGCGAGACCTCATCTCTACAATAAAAAAAATCAAAAAATCAGCCGGGCGTGATAGCACGCGCCTGTAGTTCTGGCTACTTGGAAGACTGAGGCGGAAGGATCCCCGGAGCCCAGCAGGTCGAGGCTGCGGTGGCCGGGAGCGGCCACTGCACTCCAGTCTGGGCAACAGAGTGAGACTCCAACTCAAAAAAAACCAAACAAAACAAAAACCAATATGTTTTCAAAGTTAAGACTATTTGCTGAATTTTATCAAAAGCAGTCATGGATAAAAGCAAATGATACCTTCCTCTATTTTTTGGTGAAGGTTATTAACATGTTTTAAATATCAAAACATTTCTATTCCTGATTTAATACTCATGTGATCATGGGATGCAATTCTTTTAATACTGTTGGATTCTATGTGCTAAGGTTTTCTTTATGTTGTTGGCATCAAAATCAGTAACACTGGTATGTAGTGAGTTTTTAACATTTGGGATATTTCTGTCCAGTTTTTAGATCAATAAGTTGCTTGTTTTATAAAAATATATTTGGAAGTCTTTCTTCTGTCTCTGCTGTGAAAGTTTGAAGAGCAATCTGGACGTACATGTTTCTAAATAGTTTTTATTTTGCCTGTGAGGCCATCTGGGCCTGGGGCTTGTGGAGGGACAGATCTTCAAATATTCTTTCAGATTCCTGTCTCTACTCAAGTCAGTTTGGTGCATAATGAACATTGGTAACTGTTTTTTCTTTCCAAATTTTTAATAATTCATTTAATTTCTTTAAGGTTATTTTTCCTTTTGTATATGTATTGGACTCATTTTCATCATATTTATCTATAAATTAGCTAATGATTTACCAATTTAATTGCTTGCTAAAATAACTATCTCTTGAATTACTTCATTTTGCTGTTGATTTTATTAAATTATGCTTTTATCCTTACAACTGCCTTCCTTCTGCTTTGCTTAGTAGGTATGTGCCTGCGTGTCTTTGTGTGTATTTGCGTGTGCTGTGGATTTTTCCTATTTGAGTTGAATACATACTTAGTTTACTTTCATTTGTTGTTGTTCCTTAATATACACTCTAGATTTTCTTCTAAACACTAATTTGCAGTATATATTGTCCTTTGTTTTGATCATATCATTCAAAAATAATATAAACTTTATGGTATAAATAGAAATACAATTATCTTTCTTCTAAAATATTCTTCTTAAATTTTTAAGTTACTTTATATGTTACGAATGTAGAATATGCAACCCTATCTTTTATTCCTCTATATACATTCTCCTTATTTTTATTAAAGAATTGGTCCTTATATTGTCTATCCTATAAAAATTGCTTTGAATAGTTTTCTATTGGTATGCATGCTTAAACAATTTTAATAATTAAAATAGTAAAAATTAATTTTTGAATAATCTAATTGAAATCACTTAATGATGACATAATTTTGCGGGGAAAGGGAGGTTATGTGGATGCCAATAGTATTATCTTTATTTTTTTAAGTCCAGTGCCTTTTTAAGGATATGTTCTAGCTTAAATAGACTTGAATTTATTTCTTCCCTGGGACACACTTCCATTTTAAATACATAGGTCTAAATCTTTTTACAGAAAACTTTTCTTAAATTATATCTTTAATTTCTCTTTTCTGTTCAAATTTCTAGGGCTACACTAATTATGTTTACCTTTTCCTTGTCTTATGTATGGTCTTCTTTGTCTGATTTCCATGTGCGTTATTTTCTCTAAAATCAACTTTAACTGTGTTTGTTTGAAAAGACCGGGTGTTACTTTGATGCACAGACTGCTCTTGAACTCTTGGCTTCAAGTGATCCTCCCTCCTCGGCCTCCCAGATTCAACTTTTTTTCTCCTGAGTTTTCTCACACCTGTCACCCATAGAATTCATTCTTCATTGCCTTTTCTGTGAAACTACTGCTCTTTATTTTATTGTTGCTTTGCCGGTATTTCTGTCATCTTTTTTTCTTTCCCATTTTTTTCAACTCTAATTTATTCTTTGTCTTTTTAATTTCATTTTAGAGTTCTTTCATCTTGGCTTTGAACTCTCATTTCAAAGAAGCATTTTTTTCATTAATTTATTTTTAATAAACTGATCGACAACATCTTGGTTACAATTTTTGCCTGTTGATGGCAATTGCTTTCAAAGGCATAATCTTCATCACCTTCTCTTTTGGTCATGTTTGTTTACTACTTCTCCCTGCAGCAAGTTCTCATAGATCCAGTGACGGTTTGCTCTTATGATCATTGCTCTTCTCTATGTGTAGAAGCTCATCATTGCAGGAAGGGTGTGCTTCCCCAGGTCATTGTTATTTAGGGCCAGAAAGGGCTGAGGCAGGGAGCTTGTAGCAGGTTCTCCTCTGCCTTTGGAGAGCACTTTCATTGTCGCTCAGACACATGAACAGGATTGCTCTGAGCCAGAAGAGTGTCTCTCTGCTCTCTGGATCTCAGGGAAGTTACTGCTGGAATGTACTCATCATCAGGGTGTTACAGTCCAAGTAATCTTTGGCTGCTTTTCCTCGATGCCAATAAATCAAAGGGCAGGGAACTGGTAGAAAGAGGCTTATTTCTGAATTCAAATCCAGGGAGCAGAGCCAGGCTTCTGGCCTTTTAAAAATGGTTCTGCTCACCACTCAAGTTTTACAGTCTGCTTTTATAAGTGCAGGGTAGTTGGTACCTATATACTGACTATGTGACTAGCAGAGCATTATATAGAACTTAAGTCACAGCTGCATTTTGTCAATAAGGATATTTATGGTCCACATTTCCTGGCACCAGTTACCAGAGATATCTCACAGCTTTATATCAGTAACACCTAGCAGAAGCGTTAATTAAGCTCGCCATAGAGTAAAGGGGGTTCAAAGGGCCTAAGACATCATACATCACACGTTGTTATATGCAAATATTATACAAATCACAAGAGCTTTATGATTACATTGATACAAAAGTTATACAAATCACAAGACTTACAATTACCTTAATACTATATTATTCAAACCTGTGACTACTAAGAAAAGAGAGTAAATGGGAATTGACTTCTCTCAGTAAATTGGGCACAGTCTGCAAGGAAGTTAAGGGTTCTTTGAAGTTATTATTATTATTATTATTATTATTATTTTGAGTTGGAATCTCACTCTGTCACCCAGACTGGAGTGCAGTGGCCGCTCCCGGCCACCGCAGCCTCGACCTGCTGGGCTCCAGCGATCCTTCCGCCTCAGCCTTCCAAGTAGCCGGAATTACAGGCGCGTGCTACCACACCTGGCTGATTTTTTGATTTATTGCAGAGGTGAGGTCTTACTGCCCAGGCGGGTCTCGAACCTGCGGGCTCAGGCAATCCACTCACCTCAGCCTCCCAAAGGCGCGGGATTACAGACTGAGCCCGGCTCTTTGAAGTTATTTACTGGGAGTGCATGACAGATAAGGGAAAGCGCCTTTTCTGTTAGTTCTCAGGAATGTGGGTTTGTGCGTGCCCGCTCAATCCCTTGCCATACTCTTCTCTAGGGGCTGTGGCAGTATGGACAGACAATAGCAGGTCTCCATGTCAGGGGCACAGCACTATCTTTCTTTTTCACAGTGTACTTAGCACATGGTGTGTGAATTTGTGTTGATTTTTCTTTAGTTGGCAAGTGGTCCAAGCCTGGCTCTGTAAGCCAACAGCAATTCCTTCTCTAGGTGATTACATCAGCAAACAGCTTTTTACAAAGACGGCTTCCTACATGTTTTGTCCTTCAGTCATATGTCTCCAGAACTCTGTGGCCTTATGATTCAAGGAGATGTGTTAACTCCTTTTTACTCTATAATTTTTTTCTTCCAAACCAGGGGTCTTTGTTGGTCCCTCCAGATTTGAAGTCTAATTTGGAGAATTCTGTGTGATCTCGAAAGTGGTAGCATCCTTTCTCTCTTGGTCTGATTTTCAAAGTTCTTGGCATCCATTCTTGGGATTATTGGTCATTCTCTGGGTCACAGATATTTCTTAGTTTCTCGAAAGATGGAGTTTTCTGTTTCTCAATCTCTTTGTTGACACCAGTTGTAATTAGAAATAAGGTGCACATAGATACTTATGCCATCATTTTAAACTGTCAGCCACATCATACATTTTAAATTAAGTGGTTCTTCAGTTATGAACTGAGCTCATCTTATCACCAGTATTATCCTTAAAGAATGTTTATGCAAATGAGTTTCATAATTTGGAATAGCAACCATTCCAAACCTCCTTTGGAACTTAAAAAACATTTGCTATGAAGAAAATTGACATAAATCATTTTTCATTGTCTTGCCACAGTGGCTTGGTAACTAGGAACACCCACCAAGGGACTATCTTCTGTACTTGTCTCCCCCATACTGTTAGATTGTTTTTCTAGAAGAGGCAGTTGTAAGCTTTCGGACAAACCATTAATCTTCATCAGAAGTTCATCTAATAAACTTGCAAATTCATCCAGGTAGTAATTCTGAAAGGAAGAAAATTAGATTAGTAAATGAACTCAGGAACTTCATTTTCCTTCTTTCCTGATTATCTGGAGCTTGTAGGGGTCCCAGTTTTATATGGCACGATGCTATGTTAGAAAACATGTTGGCCCCTGGAGTCAGAAGACCTGGGTGCTGGGCCCAAGTCTCATATCTCTGTATCTTGGTTGTCTTATTTATAATGTACATATACAGATATACAGGTAAATTCATAGTTAGTAATGCCTACATAGAAGACTCCTGGATGGATTTAAAGACAATAAATGAATAGGGAAGTGCATGACAGCCAGTAAAGTCCTATCAAAATGTACAATATTATGATTATACATGATTGTCTTTAGATTTTCACTGGGTGATGCCTAAATGTCAGCCATGGAAGACAGCTGATTATTCAATGTGCAAATAACTGGTGCTGTTTGCATGCATGTCTTGAATGACTCAACACAAACAATGCTCTTAAGGCTCCATATTTTGGGTAGAAGTTTGGATTTGGTAGCAGGTACCAAAAACAAATAACTAACTCTAAAGGGGACAGAGCACAGTGTGTTTGTGTTGGGGGAGACAAAAACTCCATCTTTTCAGTTTTATAGGGTCATTGCAAGGACATAGTGAGTTAATGGAGGAGAATGTGCTTGGTAAACTGCAAAGTTCTTCAGAATTTCAAGGGAAAATTGTACACTATGGATGAGAACTTATTTTGTAACTTTGCAATGAGATTTGGCAGAGAAACCCAATCATGCTTTGATAACTAAAAGCAAAGTTCTGCAGTGAAACCATCATCCTGAGTGTGCTGTTATGCTCATGAATACAAGATGCCACAGCTTACGTGATTCTCCACCATCTCGGCTTCTTCTAACTCTGGCATTTCCAGTCCCAGAAAGATGAGGGCCTTCCCCCATGTAAAAGCAATGACATCTTTAAGTCTCACAAGAGATTTACTTTGACAAGATTTTCTTTTTCGGGTTAAAGTCATGAGGAAACCTCTCAGCTGGGAAAGAGAAAAAAAAGAACAAATTTCGTGTTAGCAACTAAAGAATAGCTTTGTTAATCTGACAAACTATAAAGTGGAGATATCTGATGATGCTATTTGATAACCTTTGGTAAGATGGTAATTTCTTGGTTAAAAAACAAAACCAGAAAAATACCTCTCCTGAATTGAACTCATTGGCAGTAAGATGAATGCAACAATGAAAGCTAATCGTATCATAAAGAATGTTTTCAGTATCTAGCAGATGAGGGTCAAGATTGTTAATGTGATGTACATTTCCATATGTAAAATCTGAGTCTCCGTTTCTGCATCCCTGATGAGCCACACTGGGCCATAGGTGTGCACCACCTATGCATGTGCCTGTACCTGGGAGACAGAAGAGGCCACAGGCTCAGTGGGTCGTTGGGTAGTCAAGTGTGTCCCTAAGGGAGCCAACAATGGCTACTGCATATTGGCCCCAGGTGATTTATTTCTTCACTGCAAGTTGAGAGCTGTTAGCTCAAAAGCTTTCTGGCACCAAATTCAAATTTTTACACATCAAACTGTTTTAAAACAATAAACCCAAGCAAAGGTTTAGCAACTGTCATGGACCATAGGCACTTTCTGACTCAGAGCCTCCTCTCTGTGCTGCCGTGCTGCCAAATGACAGCTTCTGTATTGGGAAGTCCCTCTCTGCTGCCTTTTGCCCCGAGATTTCCCTTGCCCTTCTTCCTTCTGGATTTTTCTTGCACCCTGTGCTGCAAGTCGTTGGACAGTTTCATAGTGTGAAGGAATTCCTCCACATGAAACCCCTCAAAAATAACCCATACAGTGAGTGTGTGTTAATGTCTTTCATGATCATATCATGATCAGTCCCCAAATCCCTGGAACCCCTGACAATGTGTAAGGACTCTGCAGGATGCCCAGGAGCCTGAGAGGATACACAACTGGTATATAAACACACAATTGTACGTAGGTCTGAGATTTCCTGGGTTTACCAGCAAAACAGCCACAAAGGACAGCGAGGCCTGACTTTTACACTCAGAGACTGCAATGTAATATTGCCTTCCTGTTTCACATGATGAAGTTCAGGGGTCTTAGCATGATATTCAAGGCCTTCCATCCCTGGTTCTAATCAGTTTTTTCAACATAATGTTTGTTTGACAGAGATGCTGCTCCCAGCTGTCTACATGAAATGAACTCACTGAAGCTTGAATTAAATACCTTTCCTGCTGTGTGAAGGTTTCCTGGTCTTCTTAGGAAGCACAAATGAGTCCCTGATCTAAGTTTCTTGCACTTTGAGGAAACTTCTAGATAGGCTTAAAAATTGCATATAATTGTATAGGATCTGAATGTTGAAAACTATAAAGCACTGATGAAATAAATCAAAGACTTAAATAATAAGATTGAAAATCTTGATACTATTAAGTTACTATTCTCCCCGAATTTGATTCCTACTTCCACGGCAATTTCAATGAAAATTCCAGCATGTCTTAAAACATATACATTGACAAGGTGATTTTAATATTAAGAGAGCTGGAATATCCAAAACTGAAAAGGAATGAAGTTGGAGGACTCATCTATGTCACTCCAAGACTTGTTCTAGAGTTATAGTAATCAAGACCCTGTGGGAGTGAGGAAAAGAAAGATCAGTGACATAGAATAGACAGCCCAGAAATAGACTCACACAGATATAGTCAAATGCTTTTTAACAAAGATGTAAAACCAATTCAATGGACTAAGGATACTCTCTTAAAAAATGGTGCTGGGACCGGGCACGGTAGGTCAAGCCTGTAATCCCAGCACTTTGGGAGGCCGAGGTGAGAGGATTGCCTGAGCCCACAGGCTCGAGAACAGCCTGGGCAACTTGGTGAGATCTCATATCTACAATAAATCAAAGAATTAGCTGGGCATGGTAGCACATGCTTGGAAGGCTGAGGCAGAAGGATTGCCTGAGCCCAGCAGGTCGAGGCTGGGGTGACTGTGAGCATGCCAGTGCCCTCCAGTCTGGGTGATGGAGTAAGACTCCAACTCAAAAAAAAAAAAAAACGGTGCTGGAAAAATTAGACATTTATCTATAAAAAACAGGAACCTAATTCACATTTCATACCTTATACTAAAATTAACTCAAAATGGATGAGCAACTTAAATGTAAAACAAAAAGCTATAATATATAAGAGAATATATAATGTAACAGAAAACACGTGTTGGCTTTGGGTGTGACGATTCATTTTTAGCTATGACACCAAAAAACAATCCATAGAAGAAAAAATTTAAAGATTAGTCTTTAACAAAATTTTCAATTAGTGCTTTGTGAAGACACTGTTAAGAAATAAAAGGACAAGTCACAGGCTAGGAGAAAATATTTATAAATCAAATAAAAAAACTGTACTCAATGTATAAAAATCGCTACAATTTTTTGTTTATACCCGTCTTTCCCTATGGACTGGGAAATCCCTGAAGCAGGACCCAGTTATGATCTTTGTTTCACCATTGCCAGAAGATAATGGGTGTTCTTTAAGTAACTATTGAGTGAATGCATGAATGAACAAATGAGGGGATGGATGGATGGATGAATGGGTGGATGGATGGGTGAATGGATGAATGGATGGATTAGTGGATTAGTGGATTAGTGGATGGGTGGATGGATGAATAGATGGATGAATGAGTGAGTGGATGGGTGGATGGGAGGGTAGATAGGTAGAGAGGTAATTAGCTGAGTGAGTGGGTGGGTGGATTAGTGGGGGAATGAATGGATGGATAGATGGAAGGATGGATGGATGGATGAACAGTAGGGAGCTAGGAGCATTGAAAGAGCAAAAGAATCTTTCAATGTGAGTGTCATCAAGGTGTGCACGTGAGTAATCATTTCTAGCTTCATTCTAACTACTAAACTAGAATACTGAGAGCCCTTAGAGGACTGCAGAGAATGTTAACCTGCTTACAATGCTCGAATATTCAGTGCACTGAACTTGTGTTGGGCTTTACAGTGTGTCAGGAGCCGGTTTAGGAGTCAGGCACACCAACATAGCTGTTACGGATGAGGCCAGAGTTCAAATGGAGCTAGAAAACCACAGCACAGGGAAGTAGGTGCACTGAGGAGGCAGGCCAGAGCCTCTGGGGTCTGGTGAGGTCCAGCTAGCTGAGAGCTGGGTGTGGTGCTGGGAAAGGTTCTAGAGGGGACACCACACTGAGGCTGTCTCCTGAGAGTGAGCCTTACTTAACACCAAATGGGGCACAGGGGAGGGTCCAGGGAGAAGGCATGTGTAGGTGGAGGGCGCAGCATACACAGCAAACACATACAGTAAGCATATACAGCAAGGACATACAGCATGCCGTCAGGCCTGGTCAGACACAGAGCGGGGGTTTCCAACCCTGAGCTTTCTGAAAATAGAGGTGCTGTGTCCAAGATATGGAGGTCACAATCCCAGGTGGAACTGAGGAGGAATTGGCAGAGCAGGGAAGGGCCAGGCACAGGATTTCCAGTTACGATTTAGTTTCAGGTCAACAACAAGTCATTTTTTTGAGTCAGGGTCTTGCTCTGTTGCCCAGGCTGGAGTGCAGTGGCACGATCACGGCTCACTACAGCCTCAACCTACCGGGCTCGGGTGATTCCTCTGCCTCCGCCTCCTGAGTAGCTGGAACTACAGATGCATGCCACCACACCGGGCTAATTGTTAAATTTTTTGCAGAGATGGGGTCTCTATATGATGCCTAGGCTGATCTCAAACTCCTGGGCTCAAGCTATCTTCCCAACTTAGGCTCCCAAACTGCTGGAATTATAGGCATGAGTCATGGCACCTGGCCCAACAGATAATTTTTAATATAAGTATGTCTGGACTATCACAGGGGCTTATTAGTACTCAAAACTTATTTATTGTTTACTGGAATTGAACTGTAACTGGGTGCTAAATCCACGAGTCCCAACTGGGGGTGAGAAGGCAAGGCGATGGGGAAAACCTTTCCTCCACTGAAGGAGTTTAAGCTGGGGGTGACATGACTAGATTTACCAATGGCAGATCAGCAGTAGGGTGTGAAAAAGGGACCCCCATTCCTCACTCAGTGCCCAGTCCGAAGAACACGTCCAGGGAAGGTTGGCTGCTGGGAGTGAGACCTGATGAGATGGTAAGACTGAGATAACAAGGCATGAGATCCTGAGGCCATGTGAGATCACGTGAAATGAATTTCAGAGAAGGGATGTGACTCTGTGATGGGTGAAGGGCCAGGGAGGTACCCTGGGTGACTGCTGTCTTGCTGAACTGGTCTAGGTCAAGGGGAGTCAAACTGACTGTGTACAGCCCTGCCCAGGTAGGCGAGAGGCCCTGTCACCGTAAGATCTGGCCCGAGCGATCTGGCACTGTCCACAGGTACCAGAGAGAATTTCACCCTGACAGCCATGAAACCATTTACAAACTTTAACTTCAAAGGCTGGGACGCATTAACGTACCATTCCAAAACACAGCATGGCGGTGATTATAAAAAGGGCCCCGCAGTAACAAGTTGTGGCCTGCCGGTCAGATTTGGAAAGGTCAAGGAATGAATCTTTTTGGATTCTTCCTGGAAAACGAAAGAGCAGCCCGGGGAGAGAATCTTCGAAGGTGCCGGATGGGAGAGCCCAGGCGGAGAGCAGGAGTCGGTGCAGGTGAGAGAGGGCGGCCAGCATCAGGGCCCCCGCCAGCTGCAGGGAGAAAAGCAGGAGATGACTGACATTGTCACCACCTCTTAGGCATGGTTGACCCGTTTGGGGACTTCTAAATGCTGTGAAATAGAGGCCAGCTTGGAGGAGCAGTGTCACGTCCTCCATCATCCTGGGTTCAGGAACTCCGACAGGCTGGTCTTGTCTCTCGCCCTTTCCCAGGTCTCCCTCCTCCCAAGCCCCAGCCAGCTCTCCAAGCTGTGGTGAAGCTCCCTGCTCATTTCAAGGGTTCCTCCTGCCAGCGCCACTGTTCTGTCCGTGGCTGCCTCCCTCTGCCTTGGCTGATCATTGGCCTGTTCCTCCTGGCCCTTGGCCCTGACTGGCCTGCCCGCATTGTGGGACATTCCCCTCTAGGAGACCACGGTTGTCATGACAGGGTGGCTCACTCATCATCTTTATGTCCCCAGCACCCGGCAAGGACCTAGTAAAATAAACCACTTAAGAAGCATCGGGAAGGCAGATTTTGAGTTAAATTCAGCTTGGGTTAAGTTTTGTGGTCCTGGCTGTTGTAACAGACTGGGGACTTGGCCTGCTGCCTTGGGGTTGCATGGCCAACTCCGCTTTTGTTACTCACTCCATCCATTCAAACCAGCTCTGATGCCGACAAGCATTTTTCTCAGCCTGGATGATGGACCATCAGCTGGTTGTCACAGGTTCATATGTGTTCGTGTGTGTGAACTGGCCATCTGAGGGGCCGTCCCAGCTGCAGCAACGGTCACCTGCTGTGTTCTAGGCAGGTCCCTGCTGGCATCCATTTGTAACCAGCCCTGCACCTGATGACTTCCCTACTGACACACGGGGTCTCTTTAGCAATAGTTACTCTCCAGGAGGAATCACACGTCAGCCAACTTAGAGGAAAACAAGCACAGTCCTGAGCCCACAACTCCACAAATCCAGCCACAAGGCCTACCTGGACTCCTTTTGTTCCTGTGTATCTATACTTGCTATACCATTAGAATTCTGCTACTTAATTTGGACGCAATTTATTTACATTCTGGATTTTTTTTTCCTTACAAAGAAGCAATTTTGCATGTTGCTAAATGGTCCTAATAGTGACCAGTATGATAGCTCAATGAATTCCACAAACCTATAATCTCTGAGGTCTTTCTGGGCACACACCATTGATGAACTTTCTAGAGGGGGAGGTTTGGTAACTGGCCTGTGGACACAACAGGGAGTGGGAGTGGGATAGCCAGGGTTTGAATGCAGCTCTCTCAATTCGAAAGTCTGCTCTTTCCACTCTGGTTTGCTGAGTCTGTTTCTCTAAGCGTAAGACGAGTAGGGATTGGGGAACACATTTCCTGGAGCGGGAGACCTGTTTGGTGTCTCGTGTGCTTTGAGAGCCCTGATCCTGACCCAGAGCCTTCTAACTCAGGGCAGCTGGTGGAGGTTCTCTCCCTCAGCCCTGACTGCAGTTCTGCGCCGCTGCAGAGAAGGAGATGATGCCCACGAGGGCCGGTCATGCTGGAGCAAGTTCTTTTCCTGTGGGGACCAGATCACAATCACCAGCACCCCAAGAACTTCATAAGGGCTACAAGCTGCACTCTGGGGATGCTGATTTGGGACTTTCCCCTCCGGACCAGACTTCCGGGCCAGCCCTGGATGCAGAGCTGACCTCACCCTGGGGTTAGAGCGAGGCATTCCCAAGAACCCACACACGCAGGTAAGCACCTAGGTACCTAAGAGTTACAGTTTCAAGGCAAACCTCGTAACTTCTCAGCCCCTTGCTCCTGCCTAAAAGAAACGTGCCTGCCCGCAGCTTGGTTGTGATAATCGAGTGAGGTAATAGATGAGAGGCCCAAAGTACTGTTCCCGGCACTTAGAAAAAGGTCCTTAGGTGACAGTAACTACTTCCATTAGAAATCAAAGCAGTAATGTGCTGGTACAAGATATACACAGAGCAAGTGTTTAATAAATCGTGGCTATTGTCATGGCCAGAGATTACCTTACAACTATTGATATTAGTCCTCTAAAACCACACTGCAAGGGATCAGAAGACTGGAATTCTAGACAGTGTTTCACCTTGAGGGAAGTTTGGTTTTCCCTTGAGAAAGGGTCAAGGAGCATGCGCTGAAGTAGTGGTTTACTGGAGAAATCACTTGACAAAGGGGAGAGTTCTTACCCCTGATGTAAACACACTGAAGAGTGGACAACTCATCTTCGAGGAGCAGGATGCCATTGTTTTCTGAGTGCCGAGCAGATAGATGCATTTGAACATTAAGAGGAATAAGAGGATTCCCTGGAGCCATCGCACCCTCTGAGACAGAAGAACGCAGCAGTCAGTTTATGTCCTGCCAATCATAAGAAAGTACCCAGGTATATTTACACCTGTAGGCCATGCACGGGACTCATTGCATCTGATAGACAAACCACACGGGCACTGAGGAACATTAGGTGCTGATGTCTGCGCAGGAGAATGAGTCAGAACTAGGAGTAAGTGTAAATTATAAAGCCTTTTTAGAAAGACCAGCTCTGAATTCTCCCTTGGTATTTCTATACCCACCAGGATAGAGCAGGTCTAGTCATTTCCTCTGTCCGAGCCTCAGTCTACTATGCTGTAAGAACATCGCCACCACAGAGGGGCCCTGGGAAAATACCAGTGCATGCTCATTCCTTCTTCCTCCTTTGTATGACAGAATACATTAACCTACTGACACTTTCCATGTAGATTTACAGTTTCTACTCTGTTAAAGACTAAGAGCACTCTCCTTTCATAGCTTTGGAGTTCACGGCTCAGAGAAGCAGGGTGATCAGACAGAAGTTGCACAGCTGGAAATACGGCAGACCCAAGGCCAACCCAGCCTCCTGAAATCCTTTACCCCCACAAGGCCTCCAGGAAGACTGCTCTCCTTCCTACCAAGGGCTCGCTGGGAAAGGACTTCTGGGTGTGTGATCTCATCTATACGCAACAAAAGGGAAAGAAATGAAAGCTGGGTGGTTTAAAATTGACATGGGCAATGAATCAAGGTTTCCTATTTGTTTTGTTTTATCATTAATTGGGACAAAGTCAACACTGACCTATGACAATCAAAACCCAGACAGCCTGTGAGTGATTATGACCCCTTGGGTTCCCTTCCAATCAGAGCAGGTGAGCCAAGCATGTGGAGATGGGAATGACTGGTTCCAGTATAATGCAAGCTGTGAGTGGAATTTCACATTTGCTAGTAGCTATATTTTAAAAAATAAAATTAAGGGAAAATTATTTTATAATATATTTTATTTAAGCCAGCATATCTAAAATGGCACCATTTCAATGTGTAGCCAACATAAACATTACTGAGATATTTTGTATTCTTAATTTTCCAAGTTTATGAAAGCCAGGGAGCATTTGACACTCATAGCCTATCTCAGTTTGGAATAGGCACATTGTGAGTTCTCAGTAGCCACATGTGGCCTGTGGCTACTGCACTGGACATCACAACTACAATCCCCTATGGGTGGACAACGTGGAAAGACCCCTTTCTCGCCTGCATCTGACTGAAGGATGTCATTAAGCCTTTTTAGCCATTGTCATTATTATGACTTTCATCTGTAGGACACCCACCAGATGCCAAGCTCTGTGCTGGAAGGATATGCATGTCTATGTATGTACAAATAGTGCACACATTCAAATCCTAACAAAACCCTCAAGGCACATAGCATGGTCCCACCTTATTAAGACTTGAACATTAAGTAATTTGCCCAATGGCACATGGAAGAAGAGGAGCTGGGATTGAGTCTTAGGTCTGCTAATCCTAAAGTCTGTGCATTTCCATTTCCACATACTTGAGTCATGGCTCTTTAAACCCGGGAGTTAAATCCCATCAATAGAAAATCAGTTGTCTTCATCTTGAAGATGTCTCATTCTTTCAGCACCAGGATGTAGCTTAAGCTAAATTTAGAGGTAAATCTAACTCTATGAGGATTAGTTTGATGAACCACATGAAAGGTATTCACAGAAGTGGAGTCAGGAGGGAAAGCCATAGTGCAGGCAGAGACCATGGTGCCAGCACAGAGATGGGCACACAAAGGCACCTGAGGGGACAAATACTGTCTACACTGCACATTTCCCAAGGGCTGGCCCTGAACACACAGCAACACAGCAATAGAAGTGAATGGTTCCAGCCACAAGTTTCTGCCTCAAGCACTCCTGAGTCAGTGTGGACAGTGTCCTCTAAGGGCCCTTCCACGGCATCAAACTCAGTGCTCAGGACTGTGGCTACCCTTGTGCCCAAGGCCCAGGGCCAGTTCCAGTGCTGCTCCTAATTAGATGTACCTGACCTTGGGCCAGCCACTTAGCCTTTCAGTCTTCATGGTGGCATACTACCAGCGGGAGTCAACCTGAATACATGTTAGCTCTTACACAGAAGCTAATTAAGGAGTCAGAAGTTGGCACTTGGCCTAGACAGAATCCCCTAGGCATGTTTTTCTGGCAGGGGCAGGGAGCACGATGAGAAAGGTAGGACATCAGTGGGGGGAAGGATAGAAGGGTAAACTCATTTCCCAAGGCCAGAAGTCAGGAGAAGCTGACTAATTACTGAGAGTCATCAGACAAGTATGTAGACAGATTCATGTTTGGCCTCATCATGCTCCTAGAAGATCTCTCCTGTCCACATCCAGTGAAAAGAGCATCCTGCAAAGTGTTCCACTTTGACCCCCTTGCTGAGGTCCATGCCTGGTGGCCGATTGGTGATTTATCAGTGCACTAAGCCATGCACTGAGAGACAGAAAGCCGGCCATCACCTGTGGGCCTCTCGGCATAGGCAAGGAAAAGCCTGGCCTCGTGGGCTTTGTGGCCACCAAAGCTATGTAAGGCCACAGTTATGGGACAGTGGAGACCTTGGGTAAGGTAGCACCCAGCTAGTAGGAAGAGGCTTGTCTAGCACAGACGTACAGTAAATGGTAGACCAGGAAGCCCACTGTCTGGCACAGAGAGAGAGATGCCAACAAGTTAAGCAACCCGTCCTCATCAGGCCCAGAACTGGACCTGGGAGAGTGATAGTGGACAAAACAGATACGCTCTCCCTCATAGAGCTTCCAGCCTCATATGGGGAGACAGGCAGTAAAGCAAACAATTTTTCAGTGCAGATTTCAGTGCATGCTGTAAGTGTCTGCAGGACAGGTCCCTGGATGGCCTTGGCCTGCCCAGCTCGTCCCCTGTTCTTGCTTGTAATTCCCAGAATAACTTAGCACAAGTAGGGGATGCAACATCCTGAGATGAGGAGGAACTGGCTGGGGCAGCCTAGGCTCTGCGTACATCCCTCCTAGAGGAGGATGCCCTATGACACTTCAGCCCGGAGCATCGTATTCCTGCCTTATGGCTCAGGGCAGGCTGCTTTCCAGGTCCCCAGCTGTGGTGCTTGTGAGGCAAAAGATGAACTTCCATCCAGCCTGGTCAGCTCTCCTGAGCAGTGGGGACCAGTTCACCCTTCCACTGTCCCTTGTTGCCTGTCTAGGATAACAGCCCTGCTTGGACTTACTTGTAGTGTGATGTTCTGGCTCATTGGACTCGTGTGTTCTGTTTTTCTTCAGGAAAAAAGTCCAATATTCCTCTGCTTGGGCTCCTTCTGAGCCCCTTTTCCCCCCAGAGAAGGGGGTTTGTGTTGCTTGCAACAAAACAGTCTCCAACAAGGAGACGGGGGCTGGTGCTTTGGTGGAGGAAGAAGAGACGTGGAGGACACTGACCTCATCCCACGCAGGTCTCCCAAAAGGGTGGACAGGAGAGCCAGGTCAGGGGCCTGGAGCCCAGAAGGAGGAAGAGAGAGGCTGGAGGAGACTGATGGAGCTGGGGGCTGGAGGGCCTGCAGCTGGGGAAGAACTGGCTCCTGCTCTTCCAGGCTGTTCCAAGACCTGTCCAGCCCTGAGGGTGTGAGGTCACCCTGGGTTATGGATGGCCCTGGGCCCTGACTGCCCTCTGGGTGGGTGGAAAAGGGTGGTCTAGGGAGGGTTCTTGGGTGGAAGCAGGGGCTGGGGAGAGGCCAGTTATGAGGACAGCAGGCCAACTGTATGGACTTGGCTTCCACACATCCCCTGCAGCCTGAATGCAGAGTCACAGGGGGAGCCCAGCAGGCATGGCCCTGACCCCTGTGCCCCGCCCCCAGCATACCTGATTCCACAATGCCATGAGAGTGAGGTCCATAAACGCTTGGCAAAGTCCCCTGTGGAACCGGTCGGTGACATCCCCAGCAAGTGTAGCAAGATGTCCGGAGGCCATGTAGTAGGTGAGGCTCACCCCAACCACAGAGAGCTGCAACACCCAGGAGAAAGGGCTCCTCAGACCAACTCCTGGCAAGGACTTCCCTGGCACCCCATGTAACTTGGGCCATAAGTGACCGTCATGCATCGCTTAACCACAGGGATACATCTAAGAAATGCATTGTTATGTGATTTCACTGTTGCGGGAACATCATAGCATGCATTACGCAAACCTAGAGGTAGCACCTACTACACACCTGTGCTATGTGGTACAGCCTGGGCTACAAACCTGTACAGCATGCCACTGTACTAAGATGCTGTCGGCCACTGTAGCACAGTGGGGAATATTTGTGTATCTAAACATGTCTGCACATTGAAAAAGTAGAGAAAAAGAGGGTCTACAGATTGAAAAATGGTTCACCAGGATAGGGCACTTACCAGAAATGGAGTCGTAGGACTGCAGGCTGTTCAGGTGAGACAGTGTGTGGGTGGTGAGTGGGTGTGAAGGCCTAAGACACGGCTGTCTACTACTGCAGACTGTACAGACACTGGACACCTTGGCTACACGAAATTTACCTAAAATTTTTTCTTCAAACATAAATTAACCTTAGCTTACTGGGACTTTATTTTATAAACTTTTGACTCCTTTGTAATAACATTTAAACACAAACACATTGTCTAGCTGCACAAGAATATTTTCTTTCTTTATATCTTTATTCTATAAGCTTTCTTCTATTATTACATTTTTTATTTTTTAAACTTTTTTTGGTTAAAAACAAAGACACAAACACACACATTTAGCCTAGGCCTACACAGGGTCAGGATCATAAGATGTCATTAGGTGACAGGATGATTTCAGCTCCATTACAGTCTCACAGGATTACCATCATTGACTGAAATGTCATGCGGCACACAGCGGTAACTGTAAAAGTGCTAAGTAGACATTTATCTCAAATGCTATTTTGGCATTAACACTACAGAGGAGAAAACTGCAATAATGTTGGAAGCAGGGGGTTCACAATCAATATCTCATTAAAATTCTTTTGTTTTTTCAAGATGAAAATATTTTTATTGGTATAATTTTTCACAAGAAAGTGACATAAGGGGGGGCTACCTCCAGCCAGTTTCTTGGTTTTTGCCAGTAGGGGAGAAGGCCCTTCTCCATCACCCAGTAGAGTTGAAACCAGAAGTGAATCAGGCTGAGCACCAGGAAGATCAGCTGGCAGGGAGAATATAAACAAACAAGATCAACACAAATACTGATACATTGTTTTTTTATGGTCTAAGACTTGTGGCCAGCTCCTCTACCAATCACTTTCTAGCAGACAGTGCAAGCCAGTTTCTTGCTCTGCAGAGTTTTGATAAACTCTGTTCTTCAGTAGGTACTTGGGGCAGCTGGGTTTCTCTTCTGAGTCAAGCACACTCAGAATCTTAACTCCGTGCCAGCGTTAGACCCTGCAATGGGCTCTGCCCTCACAGAAAAACCATGGATTTTGGAGATCTACAGTCCCCAGGTTCCCTGACCTCCACGTCCCCCTCCAGACCTTCCTGGTGCCACTCAAAAGAGGGAGTTTTGCGCATAAACAAAATATATAAAATATGAAATATCTATGTCTATATACTTGAACTCCACGCAAAAAAAAAAAAAAAAAAATATATATATATAAATATATATATATATATATATATATATATATATATAAGGGGAGACCCCAAAAAACTGGAATTATCTTTTGGAGGGCAGGTCTCTGGGAGTACAGGTTTCCCCTGCTAGGTGAGCATTCTAGGAATCCATTGGCATCAGTGTATCAGTTAGTGTTGTTGTAAGAGGCTGCGCTGCAGAAAAAATGTCCTGAGTTATGGCAAACAGGTGATTGGTTCTTCCACCATGACACCACATCTGCCCACATCGTGCTGAGTGTTCAGCAGTTTTTGACCAAAAAACAGTATTATCCCCATTCCCCACCTTCCCTATTCACCTGATCTCACCCCGAGCAACAATTTTTTTTGTTTCTGTGGATGAAAAATGTCTTCAAAGGGAAATGTGTTGCTGATGTGGAAGGAGTGAAACAAACAAAAAAAAAAATGGCAGAAACACTAAAGGGCATCAAAACTGATGAGTCCAAAAATTGTTTTGAGCAGTAGAAAAGGTGTCTTGATAGGTGTATTGCATCAAACGGAGAGTACTTTGAAGATGACTGAAGTTTAAACATGTAAGAATAAATACACAACTTTTTATAAATACTGTTTTTTTGGTCACCTCTTGTATATGTACATCTTCAGCAAGTAAAACCTTTAAAATACATGTGTGCATCTTCAGCAAGCAAAGCCTTTCAAAGCTCCCGCGTAAGGACCTTCCTACAGTTCTCTGTGTGGTTCCCTGTCCACTGGCGAGTTGCATTTTATGACTTCATGCACCCATGCATTCACTGAAACTCAATTTTAGTCATGGATTTACGAGGAACTGAGCCACATCAGCAAGCCTCTTAAAGTGCTCTCTGTCCCCTGCTGGAGTCCGTGCCCTGTGTGCCTCAGGCTGCCGTAGGAAGCTACACACAGAGCAAGTTCCCTGTGGGTTCCTGGACAGTGAAAGGCAGCAGTGCTGCACTAAGCCACAGTGCAGCCCAAGGCGAAAGGAACAGTCCGCGAAACTGATCCCGCCGTTGTCTAAAATTTTGAATTTTTGCCCATAACAATTTTTTACATAAATGCTGATTTTTAAAAATATTGCACTAGAATACTGTTCATTTTGATTACCAGGTCATTTTGGTAACCCTTAAATCTGGGGCCGAGGTAAGTACCTCACCTGCCTCCCCCAGCCTGACCCTGCCTATCCTCCGGTCACCCACACACAGGCACGGCACTGAGCTCTAGTCACGGTCAGCCTTGAATGGTCCTTGGGGTCTAAAACCTCTTGGGACTCTCTTCACACCAAAGTGAGCTTGATCTGAAGTGTTAGCAGGACCTACTTCTTCAAGGCGAAAAGTTAACTACGGGCAGAATATTAGCAAAGTTCCCAAGGACAAGCTCAGAGTGACTTCTGGCGCTTTTGATGGCTCAGTGAAGCTACATGAACATGTTTCATCTCACCAAGAGCCCTGGTGCTGCGGACTGAAGTTTTGTGTGCCCCCAAATCCACAGGTTGAATCCCTAACCCCAGTGTGGATGTACTGGAGATGGGGCCTCTAGGGAAGTGATCAAGGTTAGCTGAAGTCATAAGCTGCAGCCCTGATCCTATAGGATTAGTGTCCCCACAGAGAGACCCCAGAGAGCTCTCTCTCCCTTTCTCTCTCTCTGTCTCACGAGAGATCCTATGAGTACACAGTGAGAAGGCGGCCATATACCAGCCAAGAAGAGCGTCATCACCAGAACCTGGCCATGAGGGTACCCTGTCTCAGAGTTCCAGCCTCTGGGACTGTGAGAAGTAAATGTCTCTTGTTTAGGCCACCCAGTCAGTGGTATTCTGTTATGGTAGCCTGAGGGAAGACCCATGGGGGAATTGAACTATCAAGCCTAATCCATCCATGGTGAATTGAGTACATTAAGACCTGTCCTATATTTGCATTTTACACATAAATGGCAATTGGTTTTCCCATTGGGAATCTTCTCCATCTTGTGCCTCAATACCTAGCATGACGCCTGCCAGGTGATGGGGACATGACAAAGGTGTGACTGGAGGGCTGTAGAGTGGGCAGAAAATGGGTCCTGCGTGAAAAGCCCAGCCTGCGTGGAGCCCCACCTCCTGTGCACTTCCTGGAGGTCCAAGGGGCAGGGACTCACCTCAGGAAGCACGAGGTGGAACTGCAGGCCCATGTCACTGTGGAAGATGCTGAATGACTCCACCAGGCATGAGGTGACGAGGCCCCCCGTGGGGAGAATCTCCGTGCTCAGGGACACGCTGGTAAAGAGTCGGGTTGGAGGGTTGTAAAGGGTGAAGTGCACGGACATGGCCCTGGTGTTCTGGTCAATCCACCCGCTGGCCCTGAGGCGGGTCAGGGCAGCCTCGGCTTCCAGCCTGTCAAGCAGCACAAGTTGGGGGAGGGCAGGGAGGAAGGCTCAGGAGTCCGAGGCACCAGCCGCAGGCCCATGCCAGGAAGGCCTCACACAAGGACGAACAGCACCTGGGCTTCAAGGGCCTGGGCAGATGACCCTCTGTCTCTCAGGGACCCTCTCAGTAGCCCTCTGTCCTCTCTCCTGCCATACCCTCTTCCCTGAGGCAGCCCAGAGGACCCCCAGGCAGGAGGGATCTGGAGAAAGAAGGGTTTCCATTCCCACCCGCACAGTGTAAGGCAGAGATGCCCAATACCTCACTCCAGGTACTCTAAGACATTCTATTTTCTTCTTTTTAATAGATTCATTTGAAATAAACTATCTTTTACTAATTTGTATTTGGTAACAATTAAGTCATTTCCTCTATTTTTTACTCCTTGTAGGCACACATTACTGTCACTACCTAGAGGCCCCACTGGTCTAAGACCATCAGTGTTAGCACCAGGGTCAGCACAGCCCCAAGGCAGTGTGAAAGCGTGTGTTGCCCAGGGAGTTTGGTGGGTGTGGGCAGTGGTGTGTGCCTGGCTGGGCAGGGCAGGCGGCCTGACCTTGGACCTGGCTGCCACTTGGAGTTGTGTTTGTTATGCGCTTAAACTCTACCTCTCATCTGCACGATGCAGCAAAAAGTAGCACCAGACCTACTCCACTGGGCTGCGTGAGGGTTCAATGAGACCAGGTCAATATGCTGCTTGACAGAGTCAGCCCACGACATGACCAATGTGCATGATAGTCTAGGACCTCCATGTGTTCCAGCAGCAACTTTCTGAAGGAACGTTCCGCCCTGTGCTCTCTCCTACACATGGAGGCTGGAGGCCTGAGCTTGTGTTCTGTCACACCCTCATGGAGACTCTTCTGTTATTCACAGCAATGACAAGTCTTGCTGGAGCCCCTGGCAGTGGTATGCCCGCTTGCTGGTCTGTTGGGAGGCAGCACTGACTGCACCCATGCCAAGTCCAGATGGTACCTGTGGTGGCACAGTGACCTGGGATAGATGGTGGCCCTCTGTCACACTGACCTTGTTCTGCCCAGGCTAAGCACACAGTCTTCCCTTGCTCTGAAGCCCCTGGGACCACTCAGGGTCACATTTTGGTTCTCCAGGTCTACCATGTGGGGGTTCTCAGGGTCTCCAACTTGGGGGCTACACGTTGGAAAAGAGTCTTCGATGAGTGCTGAAAATGCCCAGGGATGCTGTGGAACAAAACCAGCAATCAGAAGAAGAAACAGACCACCACTCCCAAGTCCACCTGTACCCAGAAGTTCCCAAATGTGGGTGCACGTGGGCACATGCAACACAGTGACTTGCAACACAGTGACCTGCTCCCCTAAATGACCATTCTGCAGGTGGCTTCTCAATCTCTGGGCTTTAGTGCAAGCTAGAAGGATCCAGGCTCTACCCACTGAAGGCTGGCATCTGAGGCATCTACCAGTCTAGGACTTGGACTACTTGAGGTTTCCCCATGATGGGATGATGTGGATAAAGAAAAGTCTATGTGAATATTCTATTTTTAGATGAAAAATCTTGGCTTTTCTGGATCTCCAAGGACAAACAGTGGACTGAATAAACTTACAGTGAATGCAAGGAAGGAAGAGGCTTCTGGAAGGGCTTGCAAGGAGAGAGGATAGGTGACAGGCCCGCATTCTCCCACCCATCCTTGACAACTCCAGTCCCCAGAGGGGCCAATGGGATCTGCCATGTCCTGTTCTAGTGTCACCTAGATTTCTCTAATTCCGTGGATTTACAGAAGCAAAAAGAAGAAGAGCCTCTTACCCTGAATAAACGGCTGGGAGGAACTTTGAGCTGTTTAATTAGTGAACTGCCCATGAGGTAGCACTTTCCTCCAAGAGCTCTGGGCTGGAAGAAGAAACCAGGTTAAGAGAATGCGGCACACAACTGACGTCGAATATCACCACCAGGCAGTGTTGAGAAGGCATGCGTGTGCTCTGTACAACTTGACCTGCTACGTTGCAGGTCAGAACTTTCCTTCCTCCTGACAACATTCTAAGGATGTGACCAACATCCCAAGGAGGACAGCGACTGCCTCCCTCATCCTGTCCTAGAAAGGGACTAGCATTCAAATGACGTCTTCATGATTCGCATCGCATAAGAATGGTCGCTTTATCTTTTTCTGAAGTGTCTCAAGCGTCATCAACCCAAGAAACTACATGGGATACAACACAATAAAATAGAAGTGAGGTGTTTGAGAAATGCAGGACAAAGACCTTTGTTTTTTTTTTAATGGGGAGGGAGCTGAAGGTGGATGAGCAAGAATAGGACTGTGCAAAATGCATATTCACTTTTTCTTCAGAACTTGAGACCAGCCTCATCTCTTTCTGGAAACTTCCTTGAGGCTCCCTTCTTGGCTGTTTGCTCCTCCTCTCTTCAGGGTGCTTCTCGTGTGCCCTTGTCACAGTATTTTGTACACTGAACTAGAATCTTCCATTTACCTGCCTTGCATCTCATCAGCCCGAGGGCTCCCTTGGCTCCACCTGGCCTGTGTCTAGCTTCGGCCTGGGAAGTATCGGAATCTGGAGAATTCCATGTAACTGAGAGGGATGGGCGAAGGACTCTGGCAGGGAGAGGGATAGGTGCTCTGTTGGCCTTGGCATCTATGTTGGTGAGCCACAGCCTCATACCTGTGTGATCACCATACCTGTGTGATCACCCAACAACCTGTGAAGTGCTGGAGCTCAGGCACTGGTACTGTTTCACTCATGGTTACAGCTTTTCTGAGAGGATCTCCTGGGAAGAGGCGATGGAAAGCCCACCTGAGTCCCTGGCCCGCCGGCTGCTGAGCCTCCTGGGTACAGGCCGTCCAGCAGTGTGGTCAGACTCCAGTCCCACCAGTCGGCGACACTTCTCAGGCCGTCCAAGGAGTGTCTGGCATTTCTTGATCCAAGAACAAAAACAAAAAGTTGTCTCCTCATGAACAAGAGCAATTAAAAGCAAGAACAAAGGTGTTTTTTTCTTGCCAATTTTTATCACTCAGATTTCAAGTATCCTGCAGGAATTAAACTAAAGCCATCAGCAGCATGAGACACAAAACCCTGGAAATCACTTTGCTCCTCAGTAGCAGAAGAGAACGGAGAATAGCGGATAAACCTGCTGTCCTTTCGCTCACTCATTCACTCAACAACCATTACTGTACAACTACCAGGTGTCAGGCACACTTCTAGGCACTGGGAAAAATAAAAGAAAATCCCTGTGCTTGTGTGGGGAAACAACAAATAAGATAAATCAGCAAATTTACACTATGTTTGCGGTAATATTAATGAGAAAAAAGTGAAGCAGGAAAGACAGGAAGTGGTAGGGTGGGCATGTAGCAGTTTTAGCTTGAGCAGCCATGGAAGATTTTACTAGGAAGTGATAGGTCAGCAAAGACCTGGAGTTTGAGGAGGGAGGAGCCCATGGTCATCTGAGGGAGGCTGTTCAAGGGAGAGGCCTGGCAAGGACTTCCAAGAGGGCTGCAGAGGAAGCACCAGGGCGAGAGGAGACAGGGAGGTACGGGGACACCTGGGCGAGACCCCGTCCTCTCCACACTGACTGCCGATGGGTGGGCGTGGCATGTGGCCTGCCTCCAAGCTGCCTGTGGGTAGCAGAGGCCAAGGCCAGAAGAAACGCAGTATTGGCACCAATGCTAGTCTGTTTTCTTTCCAATTCACTTCATTATTACACTTATTAGGTATGCATCATATTTCCACCAAGGGACAGGGTAAAGAAGCACTGAAATAATGTTGAACAAAGGAAATCGATCACTTTGGGTTTGTTCAGATAATGCCCTAAGACCATGCATGGGCCAGAGCTGTGCACGGCAGCACCAGGAGTGTACATTTGACTCCGGGCTACAGACAGAGAGAAACGAAGACTATCAAATGTTCCCCAGAAAAAAGTAGCTCTCACCTAACTAAACGCTCCCTCACACGTGGCATGCCCACACAAGGAGAGATGGGTCTGATGTGGCTGCTTCATCCAAGTCCTTCCATGGAAAGGGGAGACCACATACTTCTCAGGGAAGGGAATTTTGTTGGAAAGTGATGTTAGGTTAGTTGGAAAAGGACATAAACTCAAGTCATCCAAGTGCACACAGTTTTAATTTTCGTGACTGTTCCTGCAACCAAACCCAGACTACTCCAAAGAATGAACCGATATGAGTTCTTCAGATGATGGCTGTGGCTTTGATAAATGAGACCCAAGAGCAAAGCTGGGCTGGTTGGGGACAGTGAGGGTGGACCCACTTCTCATCGTGAGAGACCCGAGAACAGAACTGGGCTAGGGACAGTGAGGGAGGAGCTGCCTCTCAACATGAGAGCCAACTGTGCGTGCCTCTTCCCAACTCCACATTCAGTGATAGTGCATCGGTAGTGGAAAACAGATGATGATGAGAGCTTTTACACTACAGAAATTGACAGGGAGATGCTGTGAGTCAGGGCTTTTGTCCTACAGAAAGCCAGATGTTAGCTGTTTATCAGCACCCCAGAGACTGTGTCCAGGCAAGGGTGTGGAGCAGATTTGGCATGGCTGATTAAGGGCAAATTTTGGAGATAATTCAGAAAAAGTTTTTTAAAAGTTTATAGTCATGACAAAAATTAGGTAATACAAAGAAAATAAAGAACAAAGAAATGCCACTAATACATAGATTATTAGGAAGATATAAATAGCCTCAACCGACAATGTATAAATACAATAAATGTGTTCCAAAACTTCCATAGCTTTTGGGAATAAAAGTCTAGTGAACAAAGTTTTTTTTTTTTTTTTTGAGTTGGAGTTTCACTCTGTCGCCCAGACTGGAGTGTGGTGGCTGCTCCCGGCTACTGCAGCCTGGACCCACTAGGCTCTGGCGATCCTTCCACCTCAGCCTTCCGATGAGCCGGAATTACAGGCGCGCGCTACCACGCCCGGGTGATTTTTGATTTATTGTAGAGATGAGGTCTCACTGCCCAGGCGGGTCTCAAACCCGCGAGCTCAGGAAATCCACTCACCTCACCTCCCAAAGGCGCGGGATTACAGGCTGAGCCACCGAGCCCGGCTAGTGAACGAATTTATCTGACTGGTTTTATTTCCTTTTTCCTACAGAGATCATCTCCCACCCATTCAAGCATTTGATCTTCCTTGGTTTATACATTTTTAGAGCTTCATCTATGCAGGTTTGTTATTGGGTGCTGATTCTCAACTCTGGAGTTCTCTAAAACTCTGGTCAAACTGTTTATCAAATGCAGAGCAAGTTGGAGGGAGGCCAGTGAAGCATCCAGAGTGTGGAATGGAGAAACAGAGAGGCACCAGGAGAGGAAAAGGTAAAGAGACAGAGGTGGGAGGCATAAGGTAAGCAGGGGAAGGCCTACAGATACAGCCATTTGGAAGAAGGAAAGGATGGGAAAGAGCGACCAGAGAGGCAGTGACGGAGGGAAGGAGAGAGGGAAGGGAGGGAAGAGGGCAAGGATGGCATGTAATTTCCAGCAGTGTAAAATGTTCATCATCTGCTTGGCAAGCAAGACTACTTTACAGGCAAACTGTACATTTATAGACTGATATGCTCCATATTCTGTGTTTTTAAAAAGTAGTATAGACTTAGTAGCACCACTGAGTTTATACAGCTTTCGAAGAATGCTGTCACTCCCTGAAATGAAGCCAAGAAAGTCCAGAATGTCAGAGCCAAAGGCCCACACCCAAGCTGTGGACATCTCAAGCCTCAGTCCTGGCACACTTGGAGTGCAGGTAGTGAGCTAAAGAAGCCAAGAATATTCTGACCCCACCCGTATTAGTTGCAGGAATTATATAAAACAAACTTAAAAGGCTAGTTAAATAATGCATAGATAAAATAAGCAGTTACTTTACATTTATGGCTCTTGGATAGAGCACCTGATTCATTGATTGGTGCCTTATTTGAGGATTTTTTAAACATGGAATGTCATGAAGACTTTCTTGAATTCAGAAACATTTCAAAAACAACTTAAATATGTCAGGATCCATGCATAATTACTTTTTGTTAAGACACAAGAAATTCAGTATCCCGCCTTCCTCAACTTTACAGATGAAGACTCTGAGGTCCAGAGTCAAAGGGCCTGCCGGAGTCACCTGGTGGCCAAAGGGCACCTAGAAGCCCTGTCTCTGAATTCTGTTTAATTCATTTCCCCTCCTGAGCTTTAATTCCTCTGTTGGGATACCAACAAATGCCAAAACCCCAGGAGCTGTTGATATCAGGATTAGGCACTGGGGATAAGGGCTGAGGTGGAGAGGGTCCACCTTAAACTTTCTATCAGGAACCAGGACACATAAATATCCCTGCCTGGTGGCCAGAGCAGTGAGGGGCGGTGAGGTTTTGCGTCTTTGCGGAAAACATGATGTCTATGCAAACCTGTAGGGAGGCAGCATCTGAGTTGTTAATCTGAGCACATCAGTCTCGTGTACGCGTGAGATTTCCCACAAATATTATCTCAGCTGTGATACGTCTGATTTGAATATCAAGAGGCAGCAAGTCATATGAGAAATATGCCAAATAATGCTGACTTATGAAACATGAGATTAAAAAATAAACCAGCAAGAGTCAGAGGTTTTTCATGTTTAGATTTCCATTTCTGGGGATGATGTCCCAATTTGTCACTTTGCACATAGCACCACCTACCGTCACAAGCTGTGCACATGCACAGAAGGAGAGCTGAAAAGTTGGTCACTGGTGGAGAAAACTGCTTATTTTGCAAACAGGGAAGCAAAGAATTCCACTTAATTTCACCATGTAAACAGTTGGATTGCTGAGCTCCGAAGATTCCAGACTTATTGCGCTGAGACTTCCAGGTCTTACTATATTAGTGGGTCATAACACTGATAAAGGAGGACAATACTTCTTTAGCTACCATCATCTGGCTGGATAGCAATAACCCTCTCTCTCTTGCAGAAAATAAAAAAAATACATTCTGAAGGTATGGATAAAATTAAATGAACTTTCCAGTCTCTGCCCCCAAAGAATCCAACAAAAATGCCCACATCAAGTTGAATTACTTGGTCAAAGGAATTAAGTCAAAGGCATTTCTTCATTGAAAAGCTGGAGGAACGCATCTTTAAATATTCTAAAGATAAAAGTAAACCCTGGAATACATAGAATTTTCCATTTTATTTCCTGTCACTGAAACCATAGTGAAAAACCAGTATTATTTCATATCATGTACTTCAGAATTCAAAGCCAAACTGCCGTGAAAAAACTAACAGACTGACTGTTTCTTGCAAGTGAAAATAAAGTCTGGCCATGGACTTAATAACAACTCTCAATAAAAAAAAAGAACTGCTGGCTGGGGATGGTGGCTCATGCCTATAATTCCAGCATATTGGGAGGCCGAGGCAAGAGGATTGCCTGTGCCCATGGGTTTGAGACCAGCCTGGGCAACTTGGTAAGACCTCATCTCTACAATAAATCAAAACATTAGCTGGGCATGGTGGTGTGTGCCTGCAGTTCCAGCTACTTGCCTGAGTCCAGCAGATTGAGGCTGCAAGTGGCCATGAGCGTGCCACTACACTCCAGCCTGGGCAACAGAGTAAGATTCCAACTCAAAAAAAAAAAGGAATGCTACATTAAATGTCCTCAGTGATGACAATATGCATCCTGATTTTTATAATTGCCAAGATATGGGAAAAAATCTGACACAACATAATGCGATTTTGCTCCCCTTTGCCTGCCTGGTGGTACCATGGAAATGTTTCTACTTTATATCTTTCAGTTCTGCCCAGTTTCCCTATCATGAACACATACTACTAATACTTTCAGAAGTAGGAAGAATGAAATGAACACTTGAGAACAGGTGGAAACTTGAGGAGGTGTTACAATCTGTTTCAAATTGGGCGTTATTTATGATGAATTGCAGCCACCACCTTTGAATGAAGAACTCAAGTGTCTTCAGCAGAAAATAAACTGCAAGGCCATCCTGTTTTGTCACAAGCCTCAAAGTACCTAGAAATACACTTGTTTCATATTTACTCAAAACGAGATGCTAGGACCACGCTCACTGTCTGCCAGTAGAGGCCCCTAATTAACACTGGGAAGTAATGTCACAAGTCAATGTCACAGCCTTTCCCATACATCCATGTGGGACATGGGAGACCCTTCTCTGGGGCTCAATCATGCAGAGGTAAATGGCCCAAGGAAGTGGATTGGGGAGGCTGTAAGGTCCCTCCCCTCCATGTTAGTACTAGAAGATAGAGACGTGACTCGGCCTGTTCAAAGTAACAAAAGAAAGCAAACTCCCTCTGCACCCTGAATTCAGGGCTTCCCCTTGGGCATACACTGGCCACGAACCAGTGCAATGGCCCAGAGCTAAAGGAGCTCCCCAGCCTCCTACCTTGTGAATTCCTTCCGGACAGCTTGATTGAGAGAACACTCATCTTGGGAGACCCTCCCATGTATTATGCACAAAAGCAGAAGCAGCATGAAGATGCCCATGGAAATGTCTCTGTGAAAGGAAGTGTCAAGTTAGCATCCTGACAGGACCCGTGTGTGTGTGTGTGTGTGTGTGTGTGTGTGTGTGCACGCGCGCACATCCAAGGAGTTTCACTCAGCAAAACCTGGTCTTTTAAATCCTCGAGGACATGATTGTGTAAGGGATGAGGTACGTGCAAAGCATCGTTATTTTTTGCACATCGGCATCCAGTTTTCCCAGCACCACTTAAAAAAATCCTGTCTCCATTAGATTGTCTGTGCCTTTGCCTATTTGTGTGAGTCTATTTCTGGGCTCTCTAATTCGTTCCATTGATCTGTGTGTCTAGTCTGTTTCCAAACACTACACTTCCTTGATTTCTGCAGTTTTATAGTACGCCTTAAGGTTGGGTAGTGTCAGTCCTCTGACTTTGTTGACTTTTAAAAAAAATATTGCTTTGGCTATCCTATTTTCTTTGCTTTCCATGTACACTTTAGAATCAGTTTGTCAATATCTATTTTTTAAAAAAAGCTTGTGGTGGTTTGTAGAGAGTGTATTGAATCTACAGATCAAACTGGAAGAATCGACATTGTAACAATACTGAATCCTCCAATCAATACCCACAGTCTTGCCACACCTTTAGATCTTTTTATTTATTTCATCTGTGTTTTGTGGTTTTCAGCATGCAGATTCTGCACAGATTTTCTTAGGTTTATGTCTATGTATTTCATTTCTGTAGTGCTCTTACAAAATAGTACTTTTTAGAAACTTCAAATTTCAATTTCATTGTTGGTATATAGGAACACAATTTAATTCTATATATTGACTTGTATCCTACAACTTTTATGAATTTACTTATTAGTTCTAGGAGCCTTTTTTAACAACTTATTTTGTAAAATGTCTGCATAGACTATTTGTGTTATTGCTAATAGATGGGTTTTTTCATATTTTCAAATCCATATGTTTTTTATTTATTTTTCTTGTCTCTTGCACTGGCTGGGACTTCCAATATGATGATCAATAGGAGTGATCAGAAAAGACAACCTTGTCTTGCTCCTTATCATAAAAAACTTTCAGTCTCGCTGTTAAGTATGATATCAGGTGTAGGCTTTTTATAGATACTTTTTAGTCATTGAGGGAAGCTCTCTTCTATTTCCAGTTTGCCGAGAGGTCTCTTTTTTTTAAATGAATGAATATTGAATTTTACCAAATTATTTTTCTGCATCTATTGAGATGACCATATGGGTTTTTCAAATTTAGCCTGTTAATATGGTGAATTACATTAGCTTTTTTTCTCATATCTCTTCTGACCAACAGATATCACCTTTATCTCTTTTTGGTTTCTTTGTGATGTGTTTGTTGAGCAAGCTGGTTCTTTGTGATAGAGTTCTCAGAATCTTGCTTTCCCATGGTGGTATTTGATATGTTCACATTACAAATGGCAAGTTGGCAAAAAATACTTCATCAGATTAAGATAGGACTGTGAGGGTCAGTTGCCTCAGATGATTGTTCTTCCATCAGAAGACACATCATGGCTGATTGATTCTCTGTCTCTCCTTTTCTGTTGTTCAGGATTCCTTAAAAGCTGTAAAAATATCTGGGTGCAGTGGCTCACACCTATAATCCCAGCACTTTGGGAGACTGAGGACCAGCCTGGGCAACTTGCCGAAACCTCATCTCTACAGTAAATCAAAAAATTAGCCAGGCATGGTGGCGCATACCTGTAATTCCAGCTACTTGGAAGGATGAGGCAGAAGGATTGCCTGAGGCTGCAGTGGCCGCGAATGTGCCACTGAACTCCAGCCTGAGCGACAGTGAGACTCTGACTTAAAAAAAAAAAGTTGCAAAAATGGTTAGGTTTTACTTGTTTCTTTTAGTCTTTAGGCCAGGTGTATGCATTAGCCGGAATATCTGCAAAGAGAACTATTCCCTCTCCTACCGTGTGGCTTTCCAGGTGTACAATTTATATAAGAAAGGCAACTTTTGCCAGCTTTTAATAAGTTGGTTCTTCAGCATCCAACCACATGAGTCAATTACATTGTGGGTATTGTCACAGCTCATGGCTTTAGATTTCATGAGCTTCAATGCGCTGCAGTTTTGATTCTTTATTTGATGTCAACTTGATGTTTGACCCATGCGAACCTCTTCAAATGGACTTCTGTGTCCTTTGATGATGACTCTAGCTGTCATCAGTTGCCTCCTTGCTTAAGAAATGCTCCAGGCCTATCTTGCACTTTATACATCACAGTCCTCAAATCAGGAATCTCATCAATTCCTGGATCTTTTTGGTGGAAAATGCTATTTGTTGACCAGAATCTAGGGGCTAAGGCAGTGTATTGCTCCCAGGTTATTCCAACGCCTTTTCCTGGTAGAGACACTTAGAAAAAAATTAAGAAAAAAAAAAAAAACACGCATGAATGCATACTGAAATGTTCAATTCAAATTCAGGAAGACAGAGTTTTAACTTTTTAAAAACTCAAATCTGTACCTGCTTTTTTCACACTTCAGAAAGGAAACACGCCCCTCCTCAGGGAGACCTCCACCCACCTCAGGGCTGCCTGCATGTATCTCTCTCTCCTCATCCTCTCCCTGGTGACCTTGAGCTGGGCCTTGGATGGTGGCTGTGCCCAGCGCAGGTGGCGAGCTCGCTTTCGGGCAGCCAAGATCTGTCAGGAACAAGAGCACTGTGAGCTGTGGCTGGCGGGTGGAAGGAGAGAGGCCCCCAGTATTCCAGCCAAGCTTAGAAATGTACCATCACTATGTTTTGCACTCTGCCTGGTATTTGGGGACAAAGAAGTACTTTGTGTGGATAAAATACACCAGGCTATTGAGGAGGGGATCAGGAAGGGGGTAAATGGATTTTAAAATCTGCTCATGTCCCAGGCAAGCTTTTGGCAGGAATGGCAGCTGGACCATTACAAAGAGCTGCTTTACGTGAGAGGCAGGTCTACTCCTGTCAAATGGCAGGAGCAAGATCTTTGGCATTTGCATGGCATTTTCTCTAGAGAACTTCAAAGTGTTGAAAAACCAGTTGAAAGTGCAGTCTTAGCTAGAAGTGAAGTGTGATTTCCTTTTAAGACAGCAATTTTACTTTCATACTCTGTTCACCGTCAGGGCATAACAGTAGTCAGATAAATGAGCCCACTGAAGTATTCATTCATTCAGTTATCACTTGCTCATTCATTTATTCAACATACATGCACTGAGCAGGCACTGGGTCAGGCACTGCGGACTTCTGAGAAGTTAGAGACAGTTCTTTCGCTCAGAGATTCTGGACTTCTAGGAAACATGTGACAAGTATAACAACAGCATAAAGTGAGAAGCTACATGTGCAGATCTGTGGGGGTATGGGCACTCTCTCCAGCTGCCAGGCCAGTGCCCTGTGGCTGTATACTTAAGGAAGCTTGAATGTGGGGGAACCACGACTTTAAGGTCCAACTGAGACATGCCCAGGGTTAGAGATGCCAGTCTGGCCCTTGGGATGGGGCTGAATTTGTCAGAAAAAAACTCACCCTTGGGGCTGGGATTACAGACAGGAAAAAAACAGACCAGCAATCTGGCAGACCAAAGCTGCAAACAGGGAGCAGAAAAGACAGGAAAACCTTTGAAGTAGAAAGGAAAGTTGAGATTCAAAAGTTGTAAAGGAACCAGAACACCCAGATGTGGGCCCCAGACACCTGCTTGCTGTGGCATAGTCTTGGTCTAATTACTTCACCTCTCTGAGCTTCCATTTCTTCATCTTTAAAATGGGAAAATGGGGTGGGAGAGGTGCACAGAGAGAGAATTCAAAATGGTCACTGTGAAGCTGTAGAGCAGCCCATCTCTCACCTAACAAGATAGAGAGTAGGGAGCCAGTTGCCAATTGACAGAGATGCCCTGAATACTTTTGGATAGGCAATACACCTTGCACTCAGCAGAGATCTCTTTGAGTGCACAGAGATCAGAAAGTGACGGCAGATGCAGGATTCTGAACACCCCACCCCTGCCCTGTTCCAGGCTCAGACAAAGTCAGAAGCTCTGCTCAGTGAAGGAGAAGGACATTTCAAGTCAGTTCACCCACTTCCAGCTGCTCATGGGCCATCAGTCCCACATGGGAGGAGTTTTGGCCAGGGCAGTGGAGGTAACTGGAGACCAAGTGAAATGGGGAGCAAAATCTGCCTGCTGGCTGCTGCTATAGTGACCAACTCCCAGCCAGGAAAGACCAAACAAAACAAAAAAATGCCTGCAGAATGAATCTGATTGGCACACGTGCAGACAGAAACTAGTGGAGAAACAGACTGGCACACGTGCAGGTCTCTCTTGGAAAGCAAGGAAGAGAATAGGGACCCAGCTGCTGATACACTCTGCATCCAGCAAGGGTCTCTTTGTACACACAGACACCAGAAAATGACAGCAGGATGGGAATCCGTGTGCTGTATCCCCCACCATGCACCAGATTAGTACAGGATTTGAAGTCCCACCCAATGAAGGAATGAGATGAACAATTCTAAGAAGAGTTGGTTCACCCCTCCCAGTCATCGGTCATGTAGAACAGGGACTTAAAACTGGTTTGACTAGTTTAGCAGTGGGAGAGAGAACCTGCAATAACAGAAACCTGCCAGATGGTGGAGCAAGCAGCAGAGGTGAATGTTTCTCCCCCTTTCACTGAGTGATGGAATTATAGAGAAGCAAAGGAGATTTGTTTCAAATGAGGAAGAATACAGGCAACCCTCAGAGTTCTAAAGATTTAGTACCTGAAAAAGCAACCATCAGAGCACAAATGATGGAAATCCCCCAGAACGACCTGCCCCAGATGACAGCCACTTAAATCAGAAATTGGATGGCAAAAATGAAGAGGAACCAAGAGAAACTAGAAGCCAAATTCAATGAAATTGTATAGGAAGTAAAAGTGGAGTTGGCGAATTTCAAAAAAATAGGAACAACAGAAATAAGGAACACTATCCCTGAAATAAATAACAAAGTAACAAACATAGGAGGCAGACTCAACCAAGCAGAGGAAAGAATCACAAAACTTGAAGAACAAAATATGGAATCAACCCAATCTGCTAAAACCAGGGGGTGAGGGGGACTCTAAAGGAAGGAGTAAAGCCTCCAAGATATGTGGGACTATGTCAAGTAGCCAAATCTATGCCTGATGGGTATCTCTGAAGCAGAAAGAGAAATGGAGAACACCATGGAACAAGCATTCCATGAGGTCATCCAAAAAAACATTCCTCATCTTGCCAGAGATGTGACCATTCAAGCACAAGAGATTCAGAGAACCCCTACAAGGTATCACATGAGAAGACCAACCCCTAGACACATGGTAATCCACCTCTGCAAAGTAAGCATGAAAGAAAAAATCCTAAAGGCAGAGAGAGAGATAGGTCAGACTACCTACCAGGGAGGACCCATCAGAATTGCTTCAGACTTATCTGAAGAAACACCACAAGCCAGAAGATACTGGAGTCCAATTTTTAATATTTTTAAAGATAAGCAGTTCCAGCCAAGAATTTCTTACCCTGCCAAGTTAAGCTTCATCAGTGATGGAGAATTAAAATCCTTCACAGACATCCAGTCCCTAAGAGAATATGCTGTCTCCAGACCAGCTCTTTAGGAGACACTTAAGAAGGTTTTGAATATAGAAAGAAAAAAAAAAAAAAAAAAGAATGGTCAAGCCCATAACAAAAGTACAGGTATATACAGAGTTAATAAATCATACAGAGTACCCACAAAAATGAAGACACACATATATGTAAACTAAAAAGTTAGAAATGAAGCAATCCCCTAAGAGTCCCATGGCAGGGATAAACTCTTACATTTCAATAATTAACCTGAACATGAATGAACTAAATGAACCCCTGAAGAGACATAGAGTGGCAAACTGAATAAAAAATCACAATCCTACCTTCTGCTGCCTCCAGAAAACTCATCTGACTACAAAGGACACCCACAGACTCAAAGATGGAGGCGGGAAAATGATCTTTCAGGCTTACAGAAAATAGAAGAAGGCAGGAATAACTATTATGATATCAGACAAAGCAGCCTACAAGTCATCCAAAGTTAAAAAGGACACAGAAGGACAGTACATAATAAAATAAGGCTCAGTCCACCAGGAAGAAATATCCATCCTAAACATAAATGCACCTAACACAGGAGCACCAGGTTTTATTAAACAACTACTAAGCAAACTAAGAGAGGACACTGACTCATACAATCATAGTTGGAGACATAAATACCCGACTAACAACTTTCAATAGATCATTGGGACAAAAAAAAAATCAATAAGGAGATCTAGACCCTCAACTCAATGCTTGACCAAATGGACTTAATAGACATCTACAGAACACCTACTCAACACCCAAAGAGTATACATTCTACTCATCAGCACATGCAACATACTCCAAGATTGATCACATACTCGGACATAAATGAGCCATAAATAAACTCCAAAAGACTGAAATAATATCATGCATCTTTCCAGATAAAAAGTAGAATAAAAATAAACATCACCACCAACAAGATTACTCCAAAATACACAAAGACATGGATACTAAACAACATGTTGCTGAATGACTTCTGGGTCAACATGGAAATCAAGACAGAAATAAAAAGATTCCTGGAGACAAGTGAAAACAAAGACACATCTTATCAGAATCTCTAGAATGCCAAGAAAACAGTGCTAAGAGGAACATTCATAGCACTGTGTGCACACATCAAGAAAACAGAACGATCACAAGTAAACAGCCTAATGTCACACCTAAGAGAGCTGGAAAGACAAGATCATGAAAATTCTAACTTCAACAGAAGAATCCAGATCACCAAGAAAAAGCCACAGTCACAGGACACAGAAGACAAAAATATCACAGAAAGGATCAACCAGACAAAAAGCTGGTTCTTTGAAAGGATAAATAAGATTGATAGACCCCTAGCCAGATTGACTAAAAAAAAAGAGAAATTCCAAATAAACACAAGTAGAAATGAAAAAGGTAAAGTCATAACTGACTCCAAATAAATTCAAAAGATTATCAGCGATTACTGTGTATGCCTGTATGAAAATAAACTTGAAAACCTAAAGGAAATGGAGAACTTTCTGACATCACACAACCTCCCAAGGTTGAAACAAGAAGAAATCAAAACTCTAAACCAATAACAATCCAGGAAATCGACTCAGTCATAAGAATTCTCCCCACCAAAAAAGCCCCGAACCCAAGGATTTTCCAGCTGAATTCTACAAGGCATTCAAGGAGAAGTTGATACTAATCTTATCAAAAGTATTCCAGGCAATTGAGGAAAATAGAATTCTCCCCAACCCATTTTATAAAGCTAGCAACACACTGATACCAAAACCTGGCAAAGAACCAATAAAGAAAGAAAATTACAGGCCAATCTCCTTGATGAACATACACATAAAAATTCTCAACAAGATTCTAGCAAATTTGATCCAACAATACATCTCAAAGATCATCCACCATGACCAGTTAAGCTTCATTCCTGAGATACAGGACTGGTTCAACATTTGCAAGACCCTAAATATAATTCAGCACATTAACAGATATAAAACCAAGAACCACGGGATTATATAATTAGACACAGGAAAAGCATTTAACAAAATTCAGCATCCCTTCTTGATAAAAACTCTTGAGCACCTAGGCATAGAAGGAACATTCCTTAAAACAGTAAGAGCTATCTATGATAAACCCACAGCCAACATTTTGTTCAATGGGCAGAAGTTGGAAGCATTCCCTCCTGAGAACAGGAACAAGACAAGGATGCCCATTCTCACCCTTCCTGTTCAACATAGTGCTGGAAGTACTGACCAGAGCAATCAGTCAAGAGCAGAAAATCAGGGGTATTCAAATGGGAAAAGGGGAACTTAAGCTATCTCTCTTTGCAGATGATATGATTCTATACCTTAAAAGGGAGTCTGTCAAAAGCCTCCTCGCATTGATAAACAACTTTGGTAAAGTTTCAGGGTACAAAATCAACATGCAAAAGGCAGTTGCATTTCCGTACATCAGCAACAAGAGGCAGAGAACCAATAAAAATCACAATCCCATTCACAATAGCCACAAAAAAATGAAGTACCTTGGCATCCACCTAACCAGAGAAGTGAAAGAACTTTACAGTGAGAACTAAAAAACATTGTTCAAAGAAATCAAAGATGACACAAACAAATGGAAAAACATTCCATACTCATGAATTGGAAGAATCAATTTTGTCAAGATGTCTATCCTACCCAAGGCAATTTACAAATTCAATTCAAAACCCATCAAATTACCAAGATTCTTTTTTTCAGACATGGAAATGACAACACAGAAACTCACATGGAAACAGAAACGAGTACAAACAGCCAAAACAATCCTCAGCAAAAGGAAGAAAGCTGAGGTATCACACTTTCAAACTTTAAATTTTATTACAAGGCTACCATAACAAAAACACCTGGTATTAGTACAAGAATAGACAAATTGATCAATGGAACAGGACAGAAATTCCTCAAGTGAAAACACAGTCTCTCAACCAGCTCATCTTCGACAAAACCACCAATAACTATCACTGGGGAAAGAAGACCATATTTAGCAAAGGGTGCTGGGAAAACTGGCTAACAACATGCAGAAGAATGAAACTAAACCCCTTCCTATTACCATATACAAAAATCAACTCTAAATGGATCAAAGATCTAATTGTAAAACCTCACACTATAAGAATCCTAGGAGAAAACACAGGAAACACTCTTATGCACATTGGAGTATGCAACAAATCCTTGACCAAGTCCCAAAAGCAAATGCCATAAAAGTTAAGATAGACAAATGGGACTTCAAACTGAAAAGCTTTTGCGCAGCAAAATAAGCCATTAGGGGACTAAAGAGACAACTCATGGAATGGGAGAATATATTTGCAAATTATGCATCTGACAAAGGCCTAACATCCAGGATCTACAAGAAACTCAAATGAAGTGAAAGGAAAAAAAACAACCCCATTAAAAAGTGGGCAGAGGACATGAACAGACACATTTCAAAAGATGACATAAAGCAGCCAACAGAGACATGAAAAAAGGCTCAGCCTCACTAATCATCAGAGAAATGCAAATTAAAACTACAATGAGATACCACCTAACTTCCGTAAGGATGGCCATCAGTAATAAGTCAACAAACAACGGATGCTAGTGTGGGTGCGGTGATAAAGGAAAGTATCTACACTGTTGGTGGAATTCCAAGCTAGCTCAACCTCTATGGAAGGCAGTATAATGATTCCTGAAAGAACTAAAAATTGGCCTTCCATACAATCCCTCTCCTGGGACAGCAACCCCTCTCCTGGGAATATACCCAGAGGAACATAGATTGTTTTGCCAAAAAGCCACCTGCACACACATGTCTATTGCCATAATATTCACAACAGCAACATGGCACCAACCCAGATGCCCATCAAAAGTGGACTGGATAAAGAAAATGTGCTGCATATACACAATGGAGTAATACTCAGCCATACAGAACACAATCATGGACTTTGCAGCAAATTTGATGGAGATAGAGACCATCATACTAAAGAAACAAAGGACTGAATACCACCTTTTCTCACTCATAAGTGGCCCCTGAACAATAATCACGTGAACAAAAGGGAGAGATCAGCAGTCGCTGGCCTCTGCTAGGGAAGGGAGGAGAGTGGGGGGCATGTGATAACACAGAGTACTAGATCCATTACCAGGGGAATGAGGGCCAGGTGGAAGCCCAACCTTCACTTGCATGCTGCCTACCTATGTAGTTAATCCTCACTTGTACCCCACATCTCTATAACAGAATAAAATAAAACTAAAAAAATAACAAAAGCAAATGAAAATACCATGAAGACTCTAAACAAACCAAGTGGCTTTATATCTCGAATTCCTGGTCAAATAAAATATTCTTTCAAATAGAAAAAAAAGCATAATAATAAAACAGGGCAGTAATGCTGCCTACTCATAGGTGAAATAAGGAACAAACACAAGCGTAAATAAGTGCAGATATAAAGTGGCACGATGACTAGCACATGGTTTACGGTTCCCACATAGTCTTCATCATCAGGAGTTCTGAGGGGGCCGAGAGGTTGTGGGGGAGAAAGGTCTCGGACAGGTTTTCAAGAGGGGGCTCACTAGTCTCCTTTGAGAGGAAGGAGCAGAGATGAGGAGAGGAGAAGCAGAGTCAGCGTCTGACTGTAAATAAACTGGGACTGTGTCCTTGGTCGTAACTGACTTGTAGTTATTTCGTGGGAGTCATTTCAAGGAATCACCTGTGCGATCTTCATGGCAACCAGCAGACCTTTCCTCTCCTTCATATCATTCACACTCTCCAAGAGAGTGATGTATGTACAGTAGGAAAAACAGTATCGGGAAGAAGGGAAGGAGGGAGGGGGGAAGGAGTACATTTTCTGTGGGCCCGCTGAAATACAAGTGGCCTAAAAGTTCCTCAAAATCATGGCCAAGAATTCTATTTGTCATTTGCTTCAATATTTTGAAATATGCTCATTTTCTTGATGTTCTGACTTTGGGACTGGGATAAAGGTTAGGAAATACATCTTCTGTGTTCATCTGTCACTATGTGTGTCAAAGAAGCATAAGAAATTCAGATACATCCCTTGGGTCTCCAAAAAGGCAGCCCAAGTAGAATTCAAAGCCTAAACTCAGATATGCGTGATGAGATTATAAAGCAGTTCTTAAAGGCTCGATTCACAAGCACAGGTCGCTTTCTCACCTTTTCAACCTCGACTGCACAGTCGGGAGTGCTGTGGCTTGAAGAGAGGTGGGCCCTGGAACGTTCTTCCAATGCGGAATCTATATTCTTGGTTGCCTCACATAAAGACTCGGTAAAAAAGTGGTAGTCATTTCTTCTTTCCCAAGCAAAACCCAACGCCATGAGGCATATCTGGAAGGAAACACATGACGGGGAAGAGAGTCGGCTGCTCCGAGTGTGTGCTCATCTTACACAGCGCTGTCCTCCCTCCAGTTTCAAACAGACATCAACATCCCTGTCTGGGATTCCTGGCCCATCCACCTGCAGACTTGGTGGACCTATGTTTGCAGAGTCTCAGCTTCCTCAAGCAAAACAAGGGTGTTAAAATGGTTCATTCCCTGGGAATTTTTCTGAGGAGTAAGGAACAGGCCCATGTGGAGTTTAGCACAGGGCCTGACTCCTAGTTCTTTCTCACCACGTCTTAAATCAAGCTATAAAAAAAATCATACACTCCCAAAATGAAGCCACTATTTCCCCTCTCCTCCAGGCTCCCTGCTGTGGGAAGGCACCTCTACCGTGAAGGGCATTTCTTACCATAAGTGGCTGGGTGATGAAAACACAGCAGATCACGGAGAGGGAGAGCAGATGTAGCCACTGCACACACTGCGCCGGGCCAAAGCTGCCCAGTGGGAAAGAGAAAGGGAAAAACAACAATGGATGGAATAGAGCAGAGTGCAGAGAGGAGAGAAAAAGCGGTCTGGGTATTATAATAATAAGGGCAGCAAGAAATGACGCTGACATTGATAGAGCCCTTTGTGGGTGCAGGCACTATGCTGACAGGACTGACTGATTCCCCTGAGACTTATGAATTAAGTGCTCTGATATCCCTAGTCTACAGATGAGCAAACTGAGGCAGAGGGAGATTTTAAGTACCTTGCCCATCCTCTGAGGGTGATTCAACCCCTCAACTTGGGGAAAGGAAAGAGGTGGGAAGAAAGGGCCTCGGCTTTGCAGCTGCTCTTTGTGGCTTATGAGGATGGAGGCCCATGGAGTCACCTTGAATGACCATGGGGTACCCAACGGTGGGCCCAAGCTACACGGGAGCCAGAGGTGCAGCACTGCTGGGGTGGCAGGGGGAGGGGAAAAGGGGAGGAGAATCAGTATCTGTGATTCTTGCATCATAATGTGCCTGTCTGGCAGGCACATGCTTTTTCATACGATAGGAGATGATGACAGTGTACCCAGCTCACAGCCTGCCCCCCTCAGCAGCTGGGGTCCTTCCTTCCTTGGGTAGGGGTTGGGCAACTTATTTAATACCTGAAACTCCATCCAGGCCCACTATCATCACAGAGCTGGCTGGGCCAAGCCCTCTTTGGGCTTGCATATGATTTTATTCCTTCTACTCCCAGGAGATGGGAAGGAGAAGTGGGGGAGAAAACAGCAATACAATAAGCTCCCTACATACGAATGGGTTCCATTCCAAGAATGCATTTGTAAGTCCAATTTGTTTGCAAGTCCAACAAGATTATCCCGGGTATGCAACTAATACAATTGGCTGTATAATACTGTACTGTTAAAGGCTTATAATACTTTTCACACAAATAATGCATTAGAAAAACAACAAAAACCATTTTAAGTCTTACAGTACAGCACATGACAATGTATGACAGACATGTGAACTAACTTATGTGATTGGACATGCAAACGCACATTTATATCTTTGAAAGTCACAACTTGAAGGTTTATATGTAGGGGACTTACTTTAGTGACATCTGGAGCCTGCATTTGATAAGTTCTCAGAAATGCAAGGATCTCCACACAAATGCTAGACTTTCTATGCAAAGACCTGGGGATGTTTGAAAACCTTGACTACTCACCTGTAGCCTACAAACCCTGTCCCCAAGCCACAGGCCAGGGAAGTCATTCCACAAATGACCCATGCCACAGAACCTGGCCAAAGCAGATGGGTTCTTGACCACCAGGGCACTGAGGAAGAACAGACAGAGACAAGATGGGTTAACAGACTTCGACATCTCCATCCATAGAGTGTGTTAGTGAATGTTATGAGTCAACTTGACTGGGCTATAGGGTACCCAGACATTTGGTCAAGCAACATCATGGGTGTCTGAGAGGTTGTTTCCAGAGGACAATAACATCTGAATCAGCAGACTGAGTGGAGCAGATTGCCCTTCCTGATGTGAGCAGGCCTCATCTGATCCACAGAGTACCTGAATAGAACACACAGGCTGAGTACAAGGGAGCTCCTCTCACCTGACTACTGAGCTGGGACTTAGGTGGTCACCTGAGGGGCTGGGGTAGGGATGGGTGAGAAGAAACTCCTGCCTGTCCTGCAGTGCCCTCAGCAGATCCTTGGGGACCTCCACTCCTAAACCCACTGGGAGACCCCCAACATTAGAGGTGGAGGGACTAGTTTCCATTTCAGATCCCAAATGACTTACAGGCCAACCTGGAATCCACAGCATGTGTCCTGATTTGACCAAGTCTCCAGGCCATTAGGGACAGGGACTGTGACTCACCCCCTACAGTCCCCATCCTTCCCTCTCTGCTGTGTAATTTCCCCAGAGCTACACACAGGACCACAGGGGTTACCCCATTCCCCTTTAAGCCTCTGTCTAGAGCCACCTAGAGCCCCATTTTCTTGTGACTGCTGTTAGAGCTCAGTCCCAGTGAGGGCACACCCAGAGAGAATGCCATGTCAGCCTAGGGCAGCACAACACGTTTCAGTAGATTTGAGGACTCTCACTGGGAAACTGGTCTTATGCCAGTTGAAGGACACTTGCTAAACACAGATCAAAGACCATGGAGCTGTAGCTGGGACAGTAGCCGTCCTAAGCCACGCTTTCTACTCTCCACAGCCTCATTGGTGTCTGGTCTGCTAGGGTGAGCCTTGTGCTTCTGAGCACTCCCTTTAAGCCCAAGCCACGTGTCCAGCTTGTTATGGAGGGTGGCCAGTCTTTGGGACAAGTTTGCAGCTGATACCTGGTGCTGGCACTGAAGGCTCACCTGCCAAAGGCCTCATGCACTCAGAAAGGATCCTTTTTGTGCCCCACTGTGTGTCAGGTGCAACACAGCATGGGTCCAATCAGACATGGCTGCAAGTACAGACCTTTCCAGCCACTGTCCTATAGGACAGAGTTCCCTCTGGTACCCAAACCCAGCCCCAACGACTTGGGTTGACTTGGAGACTCAAAAAAATTATGTGCAAATGCATCATGGGGTCTCAGATCCCTGCAGCCTCAAACCCACCTCCCTGGGCCACGCCCAGCATAGTTCCCTCTTGGCTGTGACTGACATGGGCTTGGCCGCCCTCCTGGGACCCGTCTGCACAGCTCTGTTTGTTCCTGGGTAACTCCCTGCTTCTACCAGCTCACTGCTGAGCTTTCAGCATAACTGGAATCTGGGGCCATTATTCACTCTAATTAGTATCCAAAATGCAAAGCTTTAAACTCCAGAATGCTTAAAGACAAGTTAAGAGTCTATTACTGACTTTTTAAAAGATCTGACCAAACCTATGTTAAGTGAATGCCAGAAACCACAAAGACTTTGGAACTAAGCTGGATGTCTGGGTTTTAGAGACTAGTATTTAGTGATATTTGGTCCAAAGGTAGCTTCGCCCACCCTGCCTCTCTTGACAACTGCAGGCTAATGCTGAATGGCAGGAAGGGGGCTGCACGTTACAAGCCACATGACTGATGCTACCTTGTGAATGGGGAAGATAGCAGTGACCCTTCATCCTCAGAACAGTCTCGCCACGGCCAGCCCCACAGGCCTCCAGCTCAGTGGGTAGACAGGCTGTGCTATCACTGCTTGCTGCCTTCCTCGGACACCTGGCACTTCCAGAGAGAATGGCTGAGGCAGGACGCTAGAATGACAAGGTCAGGCCAAGGTTAATGTCTCCATGGGCGGGGCTCAACAGTTGTGCAGTCTGTTACCTTCTCAGAGGACAGATATGCACAGGTGGGATGTTGCACTCAGTCCTCTGTTGACTTCTGAGGGTGGAGGCACAGGCAGTCCCCAGGAGCCATTTCTTTCATACCCTGCAAAGGTCAGTGGATGCCCTGGGGCAATGCTCACAGCCTAATGGTGGCGCCATGTGGTGGTCAGGGTGATTGCATTCTACTCTTTGGGAGGTACAAGAGGAGAGAATCCTGCTAAGAAAAACAGATTGAGCAAAAACTCCACAGTGGTGAGTGTAGAGCCCCAGCATGGTGTTTGGGGTTTGAGGGATGCACTGTGCTCTGAGCAGGAGACTGAGAGCACCATGCTCAGGAACAGGAGTGGCAGAGCTGTCAAGCAGGGAGTTAGTGACTGGAAAACACAGGAAATTGTATGTCCTCACATGCCCCACAAAGAAGAATTCCACCTAAGTGAAGGGTACAGTCACACAAGTCCAACATGTAAAAATACCAAGGGATGCTGCAGTTGCACCACTAGAAACTGCCCTTCGATTGCCCACGTCACAGGCCTCTGAGACCTGGAATGCAGCTCCCCACACTGGGGCAGCTGTGAGTACCCCTCCTCATGAGGGGAGAGGGAGCTGGCCCAGCAAACACCCTTGCCTTGCTGCTTCCCAGTGCCTCTCCCATGGCCCTGCAGTATTGTATTGACTATATATATGGGCTCTCCCCATTCTGCTGCACTGCACCGTCTTCCCCCTTGTTCCTGGCCTCTGTTGAGACTCCTCCCTGACCCTCTCTGGACAGCTAGCCTGCTGTGGCCTGCATCTTGGGAAATGGTCATTCCTCTATGGAGGACCTGCCTGGCCAGCATGGCAGGTCTTGCAGGGATCTTTTACATTCTGCCTTGGGCCTGACCCATCTGTGGCCATACCATAGCCAAGGGAGGATGCACGCCAGAGAAAGACAATTGTTAGACTTTTATGCCAGAGAATTAACTAAAGCACATAAGTACTGATTTACCTTGGATGACTCCTGTGCATCTGATATCCTTCTGCAGGAATTAGGCCCTGATTTAAGAAAAAAAAAATTAGATATATGATGCTAAACCAGGGTACCTTTAAGGTTTACCAGGGATACTCTTTCTTCCAGACTTCTCCAGAATGAGTCTTTCTGAGAAACAGGACAAGGCTAGAATGAAGCCTTATTAACTGCCATCCTGGTATGGGCTTAGACAATCACTCACAACCATCCTAGTGAAAAATAGCAGCTGGAGAAAAATATTTCATTTAAAAAGTAAAAAGAGTCTTAAGAGAAAATATTGACAAATGCAAATATAAAAATTTGTTAAAAGTAATAAACTCCAATTGTAATAGCAACTGGAAAAAGTGTTCACTACCCACCTGACAAAGGCTTAGTTTACTTAAAGGGTGAAAAACACTTAGAAATTCCTCAGGAAAAAAAGGGATTTCATGAGATTATCATAAATTTGGGCAAACGAAATAGATCACAGAAAATACATTGGCTTTGAATCCATGAAGTGATGCTCAACTTTACTTGTAATAAGCAGTGCAAACTGAAAGTAGGAGATACAGTTTCTGCCCAGTAGACTGGCCCCAAAGGATCAGCCACAATGGGCGAGCTTCCAAGTTTTTAAAAAAATGCCCACTCACCCCAAGTGTCCTCAGTCTGTGCTCCTCCTCCCAGGAGGTGGCGTTGCTGGGCCAGGGAAGGCCCTGGGGCTTCCTGCAGTGGGAGAGAAGTGGCTCAGGGGGCATTCCCCAGCAAGAAGGGGTAATGAGGATGTACGACCCAGGAGGGCAGGGCCAGGAGACAAGCCATGGGTACCTTGGAGAGCCTGAAGAACAGGGACAGGAGTTGGGCCCCCACAGAAGCCAGCAGAGTGCACAGGAGACCCGCACCAAAGGATCTGAGGGTGACGGTGGGGCCAACATCCAATGGAAGCTGCAACAATCCAACAGCAGTCATGACTTCAACCTGGTGGGTCTAACTTAAAATGCACGGTCGTTTGTCGTTACAAATATTCTAATGTGAATATATATATTAAATTCAATCAAATGCTCTATTCGTTAATCTTTGCCCTTCCATCCCAAGAGTAAAATAAAAATACAATAAATCACTTAGCTTTCCTCCTATACAAATCCTTCTGGATTGAACAAATGATTGCTGAACACCCACTTTATTCCAGGCATGTGCTCCCTTGATTCAACCCTTGCCATAATCTCACAAGGCATCAATATCCCCAAGGTCCTGACAAGCAGAGGGAAGTGGTCAGACAACTTGTGGACCACAGAGGAGAAGCCTTACTCAGGTTTCCTGACAGTATACCCCAACCTTTTCCCGGGTGGACAGAGCTGTTCCTTCATGCTTCTTGATGCTGTTTCTTTATCATTCTTTTGCAAATTCCACACACGTTATCCTTTCTAAAAAAAATTTCACCAATCTATAGCTGTTATCAGACCTCTCTGATACCTGGTGCTGTGTAAGGGGCCACCATACCCTGCTATCCTATGGACAGACTGCAGACCTCACCTCTGAAACAGACCCTGTTATCACATTCTCCAGCCACAGTGGGCCATGTGAGCCCAGAGGGATGGGCCCACGAATGGCCCTGAGGTTTTTTAAAAAACAAGCCTGTTTACCCTCCCCTAGAAAGTCATCTCTGACTTTTTTTCCTCAGGAAATGTAGGGTTTCCTTTTTTTTTTTAATTTTTATTTTTTTAAGAGATAGGATCTCACTCTTTTGCCCAGGCTGGAGGGCAAGGGCACCATCATAGCTCACTGCAGCCTCGAACACCTGGGCCCAATGAATCATCTCACCTCAGTCTCCCAAAGTGCTGGAATCACAGGCATGAGCTCCCGTGAGGGTCTCCATTTAACTGCTGGCACTGATTTAGAATTAGTTTTCTACATCTCATGAAGAACAATCAGACCAGAGTTGCCAGTGAAAACTGGCATCCCAAGGACAAATGTGGCCATCAGAACTGTTCTCTGTTCTTTTGGCCAGAGGATTTTTCAGTCTGAATGAATTGCTAATCTTAAAGCAAGCAAACAAACAAACAAAACCCTGGCGCATTCTCAGAAGACAGCCCAGGCTGTCAACCTCTCTGAAAAAGCCTTGCTATGTGGCCCCTGTGGGCTCAAGCTCCCCCACGGCAGTGTCAGCTGAACCAGCGCCTGGTGAGGTAGGGCTGTACTGGCCCAACCTCAGTCCACACCCTGCAGGCCCTCCCAGCTCCTTCCCAGGTCAGCATCCCCCACAGGACTCTCCCAGCAGCTGAGGTTGCCTCCCTGGATTTAAACCTTTCACGGAGGACCATTAACTTTGCTCATTCCTCAGCCAAGAAGTGCCACACGGTATGTCTGGGCTCTGGAAGCCACTGTGAGGAACAGCCGAGGCCTCCCACCTGCTCTTGCTCTCTAGCAGTGACCAGCGCAGTGAGACACGCGTAGACACACAGCAGGGAGAAGGACACAGTGAGGCGCGGCGTGTGCAGGTGGCTGCTGGAGGAGGGCCGGCTGTACACTGAGAGCCAGAGGTGGAAATCCTCCAGGTACTCCGTGAACTTGCAATAGAAAAGCTGAAACAGAAACCAGCAAGAGACGTGTTCCAGGACATCAGGCATCGACGTGAACAGAGTGAAATCCTGGTGGATAACCAGTGGTTTTCTAAGCAGACCCCCCCATTTTGGGGGCTTCTCTATCCTGGCAGAAGGGTGGATGCCCTCCACCAGACAAGGCCTGACCCAGCTGGTTCCTCTTCTGCCTTCTCGGTAGCCCTTCGCTCTCGCCAGGCTCCCAACACGCTGAACTCCAGCCCACTCCGACCTTCTGCTGGGGCTTCCTGAGCTTTGGGACAAACCCCTCCCCTGCTCACGTGTCTGGCTCTCAAACGCCTTCACAGCCTGGCTCATGAGACCTTCTCTTTAGAGCCTCTAACAATTCTCTCCTTTGTGTTCCTAACAAACTTTTAAAAACCCCTTGCTCTCAGCACTTTCCAAAGCAACACAGTTAATTTCAACTGGGCTTTCAGTGCACCGAGAGTAGGACCGTGTCCTGTTCACTTCTGTCCTCGGGAGCCCACATGGTGTCTGCCATGCAGCAGGTGATAAAGTTGCTTAGGAATTTTAAGTTCCAATTCAATTTAAGTAATGGATACTCAACATTATTCCAGGAAAAAAAAAATTATACACAGAACTGATACTATGGATATGAGAATACAAAAGCAAATACCAGCAAAACAGTTTTGACAGAATGAGACTCTATCATTTTAATGTAAATAAACTGGCCAACAAGTGATCAAGTGATGAGTGATCATAGAACACAGCTGCTTGGGCTTATAGATGACTAAATTAGTAAGTACAGTTTCCTCACAAATCGTTCTCAAGCAACAAATAGGTCTCGCTGGAGAATAAACACTGTATGACTCCCATTGTCAACTACAGTTAGACAATCATTAGTCAATTCTCACATGGAAACAACTGTCTAAGGGAAAGTCCCAGCTGAATCAGCCCTTCAGTTTTAGATGTCAAAGAATTTCTGCATGAAGTGACTGATTGAAAACTTGTTTCCAATTCTTTGTGATCGTGTTTCTTACTAATTTAGCTCTGTCAGGCCTGAAGATGCCAGGGGCGGGAGTCTGGTGCTCTCACCAGGATGGACTAGAAAGAAAGTCCAGTGACTGACAAGATCTAGTGACAGAGGGGAAATGTTACCACCGACTGAGCTCTTGCTGCTGGAGACCCAGCCTCAGGGATGACTCACCAGAAACACAGAGTCACAATAAACGTGTTTCCTAAAACTACTACTGTGATAAATGAAAGAAAATTGTAAATGCCTAACAGGTGGAAACTCAAGCAAAGACAGCACACAGGGCGCCATTACATGGCTTATAAATGCTTTTAAAGACAATTCATGAAGAGATCTACTCTAAAATGTTGAATTAGAAAGTGCAAAATGCATAGCATCATTATTACAACTGTATAGACTATGTTCTTATATAGGGAAAGAGGTAAAGGCACATGCTAAACTCAAAACTTGCAGTCAGTTTGTAGACTATCAGTAGTTTTGTCACTTTTTACCACCTCTTGTCATCTTGGCCTTGACCACGTCTGTGGATAGTTATCTAGGTAGTTCATGACACTGAAAAGTCTTTAATTAGGGGCCTTCTAGACACCAAAGACCACCAGCAACCATAAATTCCAGAAATGTTATTACAGTTACAATTAAAAAAAGAAGAGCATAATACGATAATTAATAATTGGCAAGGTACTTAATGCATGCTTGGATGGCCACTTAATGCATGCATCATTTAAGATATGGATATCTTGATAGCTAAGAAAAGAGCATATTCACTTTGGAAGAGTTTAAAGAAACAGCTGTAACAAGAGAAACAGAACTGGGCTTAGTGTCTACTGATTAGCCAGGTACGCCACGGGAGGCCACCTGGACAGGGCCTACCTTCCGGAAGCCGAGCCCTGATTGCAGACAGGTGAGCTCCTGCTCCACTCGGCCATCACGCTTGCCTGCAGCTAGCCAACACTGGGCAGGGAAGAACCAGCCCCGTCCTGTACGCAGCTCCTTCACCATCACGTAGCTGATGAACCAGCTCGGGGAAGGCCCACAGCTGTCGTGCCAGATGTGGATCTTCTGGAGTGGGCCCAGCTGGGCAGGAGTGCTGGCAACACACATAATAGCATCTCAGGCAGGTGTGTGGGTGGCGTGGCCCTCACACACCAGCCCCAAAGCCCGCCCTCAGTCACTGATGGCCCACCCGGGGCAGATAGGACACATCAATAGATAACTGATGTGCAGTGACATGGGAGGCTCCTAGAACATGGCCAGTAGACAGGGATCGCACTGAGCACAGTGATCCTGTACACAAATCTTCAATGTCCATCAGTTTCCCTAAACCAAAGTCACTCAAATCCCATTAATGTATTTGCGTCTGTCACAGATTAACCCAAAGTTAACCTTTTCTCTCTCTTGATGAAGACACACTACTCCAAGCTAATAAATATAAATGAAATTTTCCAGAAAGAAAAATAATTTAGTCCAGTACTTTCACATTTTTTGAAATATCAGGTGCTTGTGTACTCCTATTTTGATCAATCATCCCTCTGTATCCTTGCTCTTCCAAACTTGGGGTGAACCTAATTAATTTAAGCAGGTTTATTGGCATGGAAAACACTGCAATTATGAAACTTACCAACATGTAAAATCAGTAAGTCTCCCTCTCCCTCCTTCCTTCCTCCTCTTACATTAACATGCTGTTTAATCTACTCCAAATAACAAATCGCAAAATACTTCATAAAATTATTTGCATATAAATCAACACTCCCTATTAGGGCCCAATGTTATGCATTCTGCTTTTTGGATTTGTGTTAAGGCTACACCAATTCTGACTGGCCTCCCTTGCCCAAGTCGTGTGGTCAGAATATTCTGGAATACCTCAGGATAAAGGTGTGTCTGGAGTTCCTTTCAAACAGGGGCTTCTCTGGACAGCAGAGTTCTTTGGTTTCTGAAAGTCCATTTTCACCACATAAAACAATATAAACCTCAAAACAAAGACACGGCAAGAGCTCAGCATATTCACAGACACCAGGCAGTGCTGGGCAAGAACTTCCTCACCCTTCCCATCCTCCACAAAACCACCTTGACAGTGGTGTGCCACAGTGTGGAGCTGAGGGGATGACAGGGAGCCGCTGCTGTGGCCTGCATAACCCCTCCCAGGCTCTAGCTTCCTGGAGACACCCACAGGAGGGCCCTGTAAGTAGAGCCTAGTAGGGTTGGCCAGTTTCGCACATATTTGATCCAGAAAAGTCAGATCCCAACTGGGATTCAGAAGACATTTATTTTCTCAAGAGGGCTGGAGAACACAGAGAAGGTGCACCACCTTCCTCCCTCTGGCTTGGTGAGGAAATGTTGGAGCAGGCTTGGGTCCTGGCTTGGTGGGCACTGGGGGGACATCCATGTGACTGCAGGCAGGCCCTGGGAAGGTGGAGGCCAACACGGCACTTGACACTCCTCACTGGTGTCTTTTGTCTCATAGAAATGTACAATTCTGATGCAGTGTAATTTATCAAGCTTTCATTTAAGAAAGATCGTTTATTCTTGTTTTTGAAATCCTTCTCTTTCACAAAGTATATATTTTCTTTGAGTCATTTCTAAATATTTTTTCACCTTTTTATCTCTAGTCCTCTGGAGTTTATTTTGTGCATATTTAAAAATGTAATATTACCCTTTATACAAAGATAGCCATTATCCCAAAATATTTTGTGGAATGGTCCACCCTTTCCTTCCTGCTTTGCAAGATCTTGCTCAGTACTGGTTCTGGAGTCTGCCCCAGGAATCCATTTCCTGACATCACTACACTATCTCAGCCACTACAACTTCAGAATAAGCAAGATGTCTGCTCAGGGTCCCCCGCCCTGTTCTTTTCATCAGAGTTGGCAGAATTAGCCTTGTAATTCGCATGTATTCATGTATTCTCTTACAACTGAATTACAGAATCAGTTCTTCAAGTTTCACAAAATAATTTCCTGGAATTATGTGTGGATTTCATTAAACTTAACCTCTTTATGTTTGGTTTTTCAAATATAAAGTGGGTATAATAAGAAACTCAATTCACATCATTATTATTAAATACTACAGATTAATTAGGGAGAAATGATCAAGGTAAAATAATTTTCCTATCCATGAATAAATAAAGTTCTTTATTTAGATCTTTTGTGCATATTGGGCAAGTTTTCTCCATCATGGTCTTTACGTGGTGTTGGTGAATTTACTTCTAAGCCCCTACCATTTTGAGACTGTGATGAAAGGGTCTTGTTTTCAATTGCATGGTATAAATAGTTATTGCTGTTTTATAAAGACGATTTTGATAATTTTCTAATTTTGAATCCAGTTAAGCATTTTTATTAGTTCTCATTATCTGACTGAAGATCCTTTTGCATCTCAATGGAGACAACCACAGCATATGCTCTGGGTAGTGGGTAATGGATTCCCATGAATTCAGAAGAAAACATCTTGGTTCTCAGTCTCAAAGATACATTCAGAGTCAGAAAACATCTTTCTGGGTTGCCTTCCACAGTGAAGACAGAAAGAGAAGGAATTCTAGCTGGTAACTAAGGAAAATGAAGAGTTCTACTTTCCACCCTGCCAGATGTGCAGGTCGAGGGAGGGCAGTGGAAAGGGCAGGAGAGCCCTGGCAATGAGAAGGGGCCGAAGTGACAGGTGACAGATGGGACAGCTGATGTGTCGAACTGCCACTTCCAGTGCTTCCCTCACACTTGTAGACACCTTTTAGATACCACCAAAGGACACCCCCAGGATGCTCCAGTTACCTTTGAGGTAAAACTGGCTGGAGACCGGAAACTGGTGTCAATGACAACTGCATATGGCTGGTGGCTGGGTGGGGTGTCTTCTTGCAGAAAGATATAACCAGTTTTCTTTTTTTCATGATGATCTAATTGTCTACATTTAGTAACCAGAAATCCATAAAAAATCATAAAAACCACAATACAAATACCAGGAAGCAGGTTTTCTGGGTGACTGTAAATAAAAAGGGAGACAGAATTACTTATGGAAATCAACCTTTGGGAAAAACTGATTGCCCCGTACCCAACACACAAACAAACCCCTGCTAGGATTTGCCAACATGTTTTCAAACATGTTGGAGGCTGTGTCAAGAGGGTTTTGAAGGCACAGTGTTGCTCCATGGCCTAGTGACCAGCATCCCACAAGCATGGACTCCAGAAAAAAAAAAGCCTGGTAACGAACCAGTCTCTGTGCCAGGAAGCTGTGCCATACTGGGTCTAAGGAACTTTCACTGTGAACTACGGATAAGAGTGTCAGTCTCAGACAGTGTGGCAATCTAAAATTTGACCTTCCATATGACCCAGCAATTCCCCTGTTGGGAATATACCCGGAAGAACTCAAATTATTCTATGAAAAAGATACCTGCACACGTGTTTGTTGCAGCTCTATTCACAATAGCAAAAAACATGGAACCAACTGTGTTGACCATTGAAGCTGGACTGGATTTAAAAAATGTGGTACATATACACAATGGAATATTGTGCAGCCATAAAGAAGGACAGATATATGGACTTTGTAACAACTTGGATGGATTTGGAGTCGATTATACCCAGTGACTTATCACAGAAACAAAGAACTGAGTTCCATGTGTTCTCACTCATGGAACTTGAATAATTATAATGCCATGAGAAAGCGATTGGCAGTAGTGGAAAACTGTCAGGGGCGGTGGGGCGGGTGTGACTGGCAGTTGAGGGAAACTGCTAGGGGAGGGAGGGGCATACCTCATCAACAAGGGTGCCTGCATGATCAGTGTTTATATACCTAACCCTGAATTGTACCCCACATCTTTAAAATAAATAAATTTTTAAAAAGTGTCAGTTCACTGTCAGGCTAAAAGTGAAGCAATATAACATATATAAAATGCTTCAAGCATGCAGGTGCCAGAATAATCTTATCCCCCTGCCAAGCAGGACAAGGCCAGGAGATGTGGGAGACATTGCAGGGACCCTGCGTCAGCTTCCCACCTGCCCCTGTGGTATGCAGCTTGCTCCCCAACTACAGGCTCCACTCGTGGTTCCAGGTGCTCACCTTGCTGGGGAGAGATCTTTGATCTCTCACAGCAGATTCACAGAATGGCGTTCACATCAAGCCTCTGTGTGGAATGCGAGCTAACTCAAGTCTTACAAACCTTTGATGGGATCTGAGAGGGTGGGCACAGGGGCCTATGCTGTGTGTGCCTGTTGCCCTCCCATCCCCTGCCATGCTGCTTTGCAACCTCATCTGAGGGTTGGACTCAGTTCTTGGATTCTTGCCTGACACACTTCTTCCCTATGGGACAGAACCCATTTGGAGCCCGCCCCACCAGCTCTGGCCTGCCCTGAAGTCTCCCAGATTGTACTGCCCCTATTTGACCTCAAGGGGTATCTTCTGTCTGGACATCCCTCAGGGCTGCTTCCCCCATGGTTTCTCCAGTCCCCACCCTTCATCAACAAGGGTATCAATGCTGCAGAAACCACAGCCGAGGCCCTGATCATGGAATGGCTGGTGACCTTCTCTAGGCCCAGCATCTACTACATTCGTAATTAACATCTTATTTACTAATTATCTGAGACACCAACTAGTCTACAAAGTAATATGATTTATTAAACAAGGTAGAGTTTCCTATTACATGAAAGTAATGGAGGAAAAAATTAACACTCAACACCCCAGAAAATGCAGACTTTGCCCTAGATAAATATTTACCAAATATTTTTGTGTGCTTGCTCTTGGCCAAGCATTGTATTAAACATAGAATGACACTGATGAATAAGACAAGGAGAGCCCTGCCCACACAAACTTATACTTGATTTATCCATATTTCAGATTATAAATCTAGTCATTTCATATAAAATGGAAGCTATAAAAATAGGGTGAGTTTTAAATTTATCATCTGAAACGAAACACATCTGAGTGAGAAAGAGGGCGCTATTAAATATTAGGTTCTGTCAAATATAAACTGGGACAGGCAAATTAGGCAGTATCAACACTGCAGATATTAACCCAATCCATAACAACTGACCAAACTCACACTACTAAAGCTAAACTTAAAAGAAAAGTGTGTTGACTTTCTTGTGTTTACAAATCTCTATCAGTGAACAGACATGTCACTGAATATAATATTCAACTGTATAATATCTAAAGATAGTTCTCTATTAATACCCATATTTCCAAAAACAAATGGTGAGTAAGATGGATTTCATACATCCACTCAATTCTACCTGGGCATCCTGGGTGGACAGTAAAACAGATAAATGAAGTCCAGGAAGTCTTGATTTAGAAAATGGAACCTACCTCTGTAACTTGGAAACATCATTCACTTCAACACTGGCACTCAGCCTTCTTCTCAGGACAGAGTACGCGCCAAGGCGATCGTAGCTAGGAGGGAAATGCTGGTTAAGATACTGAATGAGTGCTAAGAGCAGCTGCTCACAGTGTCATGATGTACAAATTAAGGGGAGAGTGAAAAGGAAGACAAAGTGCAATAATTACACCTTTATGATTTAGACCCAGCTTAAAGTATTCATCTAAATTCTATATTAGAAACAAGGGACTCTTGTGCTGTATCTTTCCATCTGAGTGTTGGGGGATGCAGCTCTCGCAGAGATTGTCCTGAGATGCCAGATTCAGGAGCACATTAGACCACGTGACAGCCCCTCCACAGTGCAGCTGCGGTTGGAGATCCTCAGGGCCAAATTGCAGCTTAGCTGTGAATGATCCTGGCAACTTGCTAAACTCTGTCAACCTTTACCAAGTGTTAGTTCCTGGCATTAAAAACATCCCATCGTTAGTAATGACTACCTTACAATCACTATAAACACTCACTTTCTCTTTTTTAAAAATAAAACTTGCCTCCCCCCATTATCTTGTGAGCAGGTCCCATATGTTACTCATTTTTGTACTCCTGCCTCATAGAAAAGTGCATAGCTCAGAGTAGGAAGTAACCAAGGATGAACAACTGCATTAATAAATTAATCAATAATTTTATGTTGAAGCAAGATATTGGGTCATTACCAGTGTTCCTAGCAATGGCATCAGCTAAATTTAAAAGTACAACGTAAGTAAGGCAATAAATGGCCATGAATTGCACTAATATGGTATGATCTGGACATATTTGCCTCCCAGCAGGCAACCACAAAACACAGTTTTTATGGTTTAATTGCTCTTAAAAAGGAAATTACTGTTTCTATTTCTAAATATGCCTAATAATTGTTGATCACTATCCCAATGAAAAGGGAAGGACAACAAAAATGAATTAACTGAGCTTCTCACAGAACTGTTAGTTTTTCAGCTAAACGATAAAGAATTTCTAATTTACAGACATGACTCATATATCCAGAAATTCCCGAGAAGGCTGCTCATGTTTGTGCCCAAATTTTTCTGGGCACAAATTCTTCTGGGCAGACTAGGAGCTTATGAGGGAATGGTAGTCACTACAAAAACCAAGATTTTTTTCTCTAAAGTATGTCTACACTTGCAGTTCACTTTTCCAGGAGAAGTTCCTGCCTGACTACAAACTGCATGCCCAAATCGTATCATCTCTATGATAATAAAACAAATGGGTTCATCTGTCACTCATCCACTGACTCACGTCTTCTACAGACGTTCATTAAACATTGCCACCAGGGGTGGGGGCACGAGGGCAATCTACAAACCAGTTCTGCTCCTCTAGAGTCACCCAAAGTGGGAGAGCCAAGACTGACACACAGAATGGCTATAAAGGCCCAGGTTGGAGACCTGGACACACCAAGAGTGCCCTAGTGTTTTATGGGAGGGCAAGATCCAGGAAAGGCACCAGGGGCTGGGCCAAACGCAAAAGGAAATGCAGTCACCAAAAAGTCCCAGGTTATTTCTCTACACTGTGTCTATACCTGCAGCTCACTTTTCCAGGAGAAGTTCCTGGTTGTGGAGAGAAACTTTCAGACTTCCACTCTCTCTTATCCCAAAACAGGCATCGGATGTACTGGAAGTGTACTGTGTAGTTCACAGCCTTAGCGAGGTATTTGTTTGGAGGTTTTCTGTCATAGTCAGCATCCAATAAGGATAAATACCCTACACTGGCATCTAAAAAGAAAAAAAATAAGCAAGGTTTATTTCTGAAGTTTGTAGAAGGGTCTACTTCATTCCAAACTTAAGAGTAGCAGACAGACTACTGGTCTACTACCTGTGGGGACAAGGAGTGGGAGATGAAGATTTGAAAGAGCACATCCAATTCTGGCCATTTCCTGTACCTGGATCATTTAAACTGTGGATTAAATGTGTCCAGTCAAAACTCGTGGTGCTGATTTTCACTGGGGAATGCCAGAAAACTAGGAAGAAAAACTGTGCTTCTAGTGCCCCATATGTTCCTAGTCCCCCTTGAACAGGTCACCCCACAACACTAGTGAGGACAGAAGAGGGTTGAGTCAGTTCCGCCGGATGCCATTCAAGCCCACTTTGTGGTTCTCCCCAAATTGTCTGCCAAATTTCAGCATAATCTGAGTCTGAAGCTATCCTGGTAAGGGCAGTGTGATGACCCATGTGGTTTTAGTCTGTCATCTTGGGATAATTTTTATGCTTTGAAGCACATGTATTAAAATTCTATTTATTTTAAATTTCCCATGTCTTTTTAAAGAATGGTTTGGGGCAACCAGATACTAGTCACTTGTAAAAATATGGAATTAGGCATTTACCTCATACTATATACAATAATAAACACCAATCAGATACTCAAGTGTGAAAGTAAAAAAAAAACAACAAAAAACTGCACAAGTACTAAAAGAACACATGAATGACTTCTTTTATAACCTGGATGTAAGAAATTAATTTCTAACTATGGCTCAAAACCTAAATAAAAAGTTCTACAAATAGCCCTAACATATAAAGAGCTCTTAAAATCAAGAAAAAATAAACTCAACAAAAAATGGGTATGTGTGAACAATTCACAAAAAAGTGGACAATGGCCTTTCAATAGATGAAAAATACTCAATTTAATTCATATAAAATGAATATTTAAATTATCATTTTTCAATGATAAGACTGGCAAAATTCAATAGCTCAAAAATATAGTCTGCTGCAAAGCTGTGGGAAAACAGGCATTGTCACACACTGCTAAAGGGGAATTTGACAATACTTACTAAAACCATACATGCCTTTACCATTTACCCAAATATAGCATATCTAGGAATTTAACTTGAAGATATATTCCTTCCCCTAAAGATAACACAGTACATACACAAGTCTTTTATATGAATTCATAAGAGACTGGCTGAATAAACCAGTACATATACCTGTACAGTGGAGAAGCATGTAGCAGTAAAAAAAAAATGAAGATTATGAATACATATTGGGTAATTTCTAAATATGTAATTGAAGTAAGCACATGCAAAAGGGTGTGAGAAATAAGGGGAAATAATGCGCGTGTGCTTTTTTTCCCAAAAAGGAACATCGGAAAAATAAGTAAGAAACTAATAAAAACAATTACCTATAAAAAAAATTGGAGAGAACAAAGAAGCGGGATAAGGTTGTCGAAAGCAAGATTTAGCTCTGAGTATACATTTTAAAATACGGGTTAAACATTTGAACAGTACATTGTCTTATAAATTCTATACAAAAATAATAAATGGATAAAAGTAAGCCCTAGCATGCAAAAAAAACTACATGCAAAAAAACCAGTAAACCTTCCTATATACAAAATTTATAGCAAAACTCCACACAGAAAAAATAACAAATTTAACTAACTTTTGACTGTGTGCTCTTAGCTCACCATAATGTTAAGAATGTCCAGAGTTGTGAACAGCGTGCCATCCCAACACTGCTGTATAGCAAGGACTGTACGTCATTATGGGGTAGTTTTCATGAGCTACCCATTATGGAGTGGTTTGTATCCAAGCAGGCAGAAGAATGATTCTGATGTTTTTATCATGGATAACACATATGGTATAGGTGATGCTTTCATCATCTAACAGAATTGAAAATTAAAACATCTTGCCCACTGACCTTTCTGTGAAACAGCAGGTACATACATTCGTACAATTTGCTCATCCCAGAAGTAGATCTTTTTCACAAGAAAATCAGAGGGAGTAGGTTTCTTGGAGAATCTAGAAGATAAAAAAGTCATGATGTTTCATTTTTTTTCCCTCTCCCAAGATTTCAGTGAAACATCTCCCAAAATTTTAGTCCATTTGTGCAAAATACCCTTTTCGCTGCAAGGAGGTAGTATGGGACTAACAAGGGCCCATATGCTTGTTCTGCAACACCACCTGGTCTCTAGCTCTTAATAAACACTTCTGTATAACACTTTCACCCATCATTTCACTTAAGAAAAAAAAAACAAAACTAATAAAAAACAAGAAAAGGAAAGACCAGGTGTAGCAATGAAACAACGTGGCTCCCTGTGGCTAGGGAGGGGCACCCACAGCACATGTGCACAGTTTGTGTTTCTATTAACTCTTTATGGTAACCTGTTAGCAGATAAAAGAGAGTAAACACAAAGCTAGATTAATACAGTTATCAGAACTGATTTATCTTTTCTGTATATGACAAAGAATTAGGATAAAATCCAAACTCTAAGCAAATAGACACTTTCATACATTTAATGGCTTTGCTCATTTGGTAGAATGAGAGTCTACAAGTAGAGACTGAGCCACATGCAAAAGACTATGTGGATAGCACCTGCATAAGACACAGCCCTTGCTGTATCTTGCTGTGTCCCTCAATCCAGGTGACATGCCCACCTAATCAATCAGCAGCAACAAAATTGTAAACATCTTTGTCAGAGAGCTGAACTCTGAGAAATGATCAAGACTTTGTCCATCCAGACCTACCACAAGCTTTGCAAACTGGTGGTTTCTTAGCACTTTTCACGTATGATTCCAAAGAATCTTTTTAATATTCACTTATTTAGCCTTCCCATGTAATTTAGTTGTAAAATGAGGCCCACCCAAGTCTTATGAACACAGCATCCCTGAGAAAGATGATTGAGTTATCAAATTTCCTTAGATAAATAATTTTGAACACATTTTCTTCGTTTGGGGAAAAAAAAGAATTTTGACCCAGAGAGCTAACAATTCTGATATTTTTTACTCCAATAAGCATAACAGAGATAGGAATTCAACTTCAAGAAAAAAAAAAAGGAAGTCTACTATCTGGACAGGAGAATATATGACATAATTTATTTAAATGAGCCTCATTATTGCCTTAAAAACACAATTTAAGTCACTAATTTTTTTCACAAAACATTCTTAAGGATGATATGTTTTGCTCTGATCTAATTCTCATCTTAGCTGTCACCGTCATCATACCTTACTAGCAACATGATGGGAAACGCTCTTGCAATGGGCTTAGAAAATTCAATTTCTATCTGTAGAGATTCTTGGGAGTTTCCAGAAAGTCCAATGAACTGATGAAAATTCACTTTATCCCAAAGCAATACAAACATTGTTTTATTTCTCCTATTATCCTGTTATCAAAAATAAAACGAGTTAAGTAAAATTTGCCTTTGGAAAAGTGAAAGCATTAAACAACAGTCAGAACAGCTTAAATAAAGAGGGACGGTGGGAAAGGTTCTCCTTACTGGGTCATCTTCCTCCCCAAACTCCACTGTCACAGGTTTCCTTAGCCAATGTCTGTTAATGGGTCTTCTGCTGGAGCAGTTGTAGAGGGAGACGTCAACAGATCCATCAATCTTGGGGAACAAAGACCATCTCAGAGCAAATCACAGCAAAACATAAACTTAAGCATAAAAAGCAGAAAACCAAAGAATACAGTTATAGTTATATAAATTATGTACCTGGTATAAGAGGACTGCATAGGAAAATAAAATGAATTTTATTACTTAGGATGTCAGGATTTGAGATGAATTTGATGCTTCCTTTGTGTTACTCTTATTAAAATTGATATATTTTAACATTTTAAAAATATTTTTTGCTTTTTACTTTAAAAGCTCATACATGGTCAGGTATAATGACTCACACCTATAATCCCAGCACAGTGGGAGGCTGAGGCAGGAGGATTGCTTGATCCTGGGAGTTCGAGACCAGCCTGGACAACATAGCAAGACCTCATCTCTACAAAAAATACAATGATTAGCCAGGTTACATGCTACAGGCATGGTAGCATGTGCCTGTAGTCCCAGCTACTCAAGAGGCTGAGGCAGAAGGATAGCCTGAGTTCAGGAGGTCGAGGCTGTAGTAAGCTGTTATTGTGCCACTGTACTCTAGCCTAGGTGATAAAGTGAGACCACAGCGCAAAAGAGAGAGAGGAGAGAGAAAAGCTCATACAAGAACAAATATCTGCTCATTGTAGATAATCAGGAAGGTATAAAAAGGTACAAAGAAGAGTGAACTAACTTACCTATAACTCCATAGCTCAGATAAATCATACGTGAGAAAGTTGCATACCACACTTTTTCTATGCATTGAGCACATACTAGGCAGATAATTCAGTCTTCTATATTTTTTTTTGCATGAAATCCTCCAAAGTCATTAAAGTTCCCTGATTGACATAATTTCCACTTACTATATAGGAATGATACTCCATGTTGAACATTTCTATTTGGGTTACCATAATTGTTTTGAATAAATAAAAAAGACAAAACATCTAGCTCTGAATAAATCCTTTCTCTTTTCCATGGTGTAGATTCCTAAGTATAATGAAAAGATCCAGATTGTTGAAGCTCCTGATGCCTAGTGACCAAGTGCCTTCTGAAAGATCACTCTCACTGCACCTCCGCAGCAGTAAGTCTTTTTAAATAACTACACTTTTCTAAGTTAAAAAAATCATGCTTGACCATGATGCCTGAATCATCACTGCACCACATGCTCCAACCTGCTTGAGCCTTTTGTTCTCTGATAATAGGCTAGAAAACCCCACAGAAAACACGGAATGGGGTCCAATGGCCCAGACACCAGTAGCATCAGTTCTGGTAGGATTTTTCTGAAGAAACTGATCTTCCAAGAGAAGTGGGAACAGCAACACATTGTAAGTGGCCCCTCTCTTGGAACTGAAAAACTGGCACACATGTGCCAACCTGGTCTCTCTTTCTGTCACTGAAGCCCAATTTCTGCAAATAGTTAGAAGTGGAAGGTCATCTGCCATCTTGTACCTGCCCAGGAGGCTGTCCCCATGGATATGGGCTCTTCTTGAAGAGTACGAGCTGGCTAATGTAGCACTGGCTCTGCATTTCTGCCATAGCAGGACTGTGCCCAGCAAGGTCACCAGGTAAATGTACCTGGGCAAAGCCCAGGCTCTGGACAGAACTCTGAGGGTTGTGATGAAGAAGGATCTGGAACTCCATCTGCCCAGTGCTAATGCGGTTCAAAGAGAGACAGCCCTGAAACACAGAGCATGGAGAGACTAATGTTAACTAACTAATGAGCAAATAGTCTTGAATCCAGACAAAGGAAGGGGGAAAACAATAGAAAATATAGCATTTCTCAGTTTAGACAGGATTAATTTGCCTGAGCAAAGATTTTGGTACGAGTATAGAAATGGCAAATCATAGCAAAACACAAAGTTGTCTTGTTTTGACACATTTCTGTGACATTTTATTCATTCTTTAACAACTGGAATGTTCTCGGGCATTCTTAGCCCATCAAAAGGGAGTTTTTATGCCATGGTTATTTTATTTTATTTTATTTTATTTTTTTGAGTGGGAGTCTCACTCTGTCACCCAGATTGGAGTGCAGTGGCCGCTCCCGCCACTGCAGCCTCGACCTGCTGGGCTCCGGCGATCCTTCCGCCTCAGCCTTCCAAGTAGCTGGAATGACAGGCGCACGCTACCATGCCCGGCTAATTTTTGATTTATTGCCATGGTTATTTTTAAAACATGGAGACTCAGCAAGAAATATGAGCACAGGGCCTTTGTGCTCAGCACTGGGTAGGTATGCAACAAATGTTGCTAAGTGTACTAATGAGTAATGATGGTTGTTATTAGCAGGTTCAGACAGAGTATCTATTTACTTTCTAGTTTCCCAAACATTACAGTAACTACCAATCAGTTACTGGATGGGACTGGATGGTACTGGATGGGACTGGATGGGTGGGATGATAAACTGGTAGAAGAAGGACAAAAGCCTCTATTAACTTGCTGCGTCTTGAAACCTTTGGTCATTTTATAAGTTGAAAGTTTAAAAATCTGAGATAATTTCCCAAAGTTGCTAGAGCAGAAATAAATGAAATAAACTTTGGCATTTTTTATAGCCGTTATGTATCAGCACAGCTGTTTTTAAAATTAGTACATGTAAGAAATGATTTCATTATTTCACATTGGTCCTCAAAAAGCAGAAGGTACCCTGAGAAATAATGTTTCTGAGTCTAAAGACCCAAATGTCCCAAATGTCCCAAATGAAAATCTACCAAAATACAAGAGGATGAAACAGAAACACAGTTTTACTGGAAATATTACAATATTACTATGAAACACTTAAAATTCGAAATGGAAATTTCCAAATAACAAATCACCACCCAGAACAATAAGCGTAGTACTTCAGGAACTGATTCTACTTTGGGTTTTGAGAAACAAATACAAACACAGGTTAACATCCTGGCAGAGGAAAACAGCACAGAACTTTCATGGGTGTATAAAAAGTATGACTTACTAACAATACATCCGAGATGACTGTCACTCCTTCTTTATGTAGATAATACTTATCCCTCAATTTTTCCTGCTCAGAGACTTCCCAGACTCTGGATATGAGAAGAATGAGCTCAAGCCTCAATGCTTTGTCAACCACAAACCTCCCAGAGAACTGGTCTTGAGCAAGGAGCATCCGGGTATATTTTAGGATAAGACTTGCACTCATAAAGCTCAGCTACATAAAAAGAAAAGATGTAAATAAAGTGATTCACAGCACATGATGCATATATGTTTGCCTCTTTCACTATGAGTGGGAAATAAAATGACTGAACGAGGGGTCAAGAAAACCGGATTCAAGTCCAGGTTTGATCCTAGGTGATAATTGGCCAACTTTCTAAGTAGCAATTTGCTGTCTTATATTCTTGTTCCTGACCCATAAAATGATCAAAGAAAAGTTAATGGTCACTAACAGCCTTTAATGCTTCAAGCTGTTACTTGGTTTGAATCCCAACAACCACTTTGCAAATCCCTTCACAAGTCAGTCCCAACCTCTTTCCACAGCCTTCTCTCCCCATCACCTACCCATCTGCTTTCCATTCTTGAGCCACACTGAAATTCTTATTGTACTCAGAGAATTGAGGCTTCTTCCAGATGCCCTACATGTTCTCCCTGCCTCCAGTACCTTTACCCTTCCCTGGCCTAGCAAAATCCTACTTTCTCTCTCTTTCCCTAAGCTCTTAACATGGACCATTTTCAAACATGCGCAAAGTAGAGAGAATAGTATAGTAGTATAATATGCCTATTATTCAACTTTAACAATGATCAATCACTAGCAATGATTTTTCGTTTATTTCCCACTTAACTTTAAAAAATATTTAAAACAAATCTCATATTATTTTTAATCTATGAATACATTACTATGTAGTGCTGACAATGATCTTTCTAAAAACATGTTCACAATGCCATTATCACATGTAACAAAATTATGATTCTCTCCTATTTATGTTTTTAAAACCAGCTTCAAATGTCCACCAAACAAATTTAGCCTCACTACTTTTTGTGTTTCTGCAGAATTTTGTCATTATCCTAATCATAGACTTAGCATATTTAGTTAAGTAAATCTGTTTCCATATTTAGCTTTGCTCATTAGTGCTTAAAAGACAAGGACTAAATGTTCTTCTTCTTTGTACCTTAATAACATTTAGTAATTGCTAAATACATGTGTGTCCAGTAAAATGAAATGAGATTCTATTTTCTGTTAGTCATGCTTATTTAACAAAAATGTGACTTAGACAAACAGAAAAACATCTGCACAGCAAAATAAATAATCAACACAGCAAATAGGCAACCTACAGAATGGGAGAATATATTTGCAAAAAATACATCTGACAAGGGACTAAAGAGCTCAAGTCAGCAAGATTTAGGAGCTACAAAGAGCTCAAATAAATCTACAAGAGCTCAAATAAATCAGCAAGAATAAAGTAAATAATAGCAAGAAATAATAACTCCATTAAAAAGTGGGCAAATGACATGAATAGATATCTCTCAAAAGAAGAAATACAAGTGATCAACAAACATACAAAAAAATTCTCAACATTACTAATCATCAGGGAAATGCACGTTAAAATCACAATAAGATACACTAGTCAGAATGGTCATTATTTTTTTTTTTTTAAAAATAGATGTTGGCACAGATGCAGTGAAAAACCAAATACCACATGTTCTCACTTACAAGTAGAAGCTAAGCTAGCACTCTGCAAAGGCATAAATAGGATGGCATAAAGGACACTGGGGACTCAGAAGAGGGGAGGATGGGAAGAAGGGGGAAGAAAAATTACCTGTCAGATACAATGTGCACTAATGAGGGTGATGGGTACACTTAAGAGCCAAGACTCCTTCACTACTATAAAAAGCAGCCATGTGACCAAAAATAACTTGTACCCCTAAAGCTATTAAAATAAATAAAAATATATTAGAAAAGAAATGCTTCTAAAAATCAATTTTTTCACCCAAAATAAAATTAAACTAAATGTGGGAATATACTTAAACTATGATTAAAAACCTTAGACATGAGGCAACTTACCAACAAAATAGGACTTAAAATTTAAAAAATAATATTTTACCTAAAATAAAACAAGTGCTTTAAAGAACATATCACGCCCACTTTATACTGTCCGCTTTTTAAGCCAAAAATATTAGAAATGGTTACTTTAGAAATGACAATCACATTCAGTTTTATTTATTATTCTGAGCTAAGAACTATGGCAGACTCTGGGGTTCAGAGATGCATGAGAGAGAGACTATGGCACGTATGGTTTGATATCTACCAGATTCATCCTCTGAAACCTCATGTAGAATCACCTTTGGGAAATAATTTCATTCCCCAAGTCCCTCGAGTCCAGGTGAGGCAGAATGTGAGTGCAGTGAGGTATGACCTTTCCAGGTCTACATTATCGGCAAGCAGTGTACCTTATCCATGCTCTTTTCCCCTGACTGAAGAAGCCACAAAGTAGAGGTGTTAGAGGCATGAGAAGAAAAGAGCCAGTCTCGGAATCGCCATGGGGGACCACCCACCAAACACCTACTATGGAATGTGTGTGAATGAAGAACAAACTTCTTTTGTGTTCTTTTGTGTGCAGTCACTGAGATTTCGGGGTTATCTGTTATAGCAGCCAATGTTATTTTAACTAATACAGTTTTTAACTTAGGTGACTAAGTAGTCTAAAGTTGGAAGACAGATATGCAAAAAAAAGATCACCAATCAAAGGTGCTATAGTGCTATAGCAAAGTCATATACAAATTTGTTTCCAATAAAATGAACTCTGCCTTTAGAACTGTATGAAGATTTCACAGAGAAGATGGCATTTGAATCCTTTGAGGAGAAAATAATATTTTCTCAGAGGAAGAAGTAGCCTGTTCCAAGTTTAGGAAAAATAAAATACTTCAGGATGTAAGGAACATCAAGAGTGACTGAACACAAAGCTGGCTGTGTTGGGACTTGTACAAGGTGAGGTGCAGACAGTAAGGTGAAGTCAGGCAGATATGCCTTGTAAGATATGCAGAACAATCCAGGTTTATCAGCAAATTACTAGAAAGCCATCAAATATTTTGAACAAAAGGTGACATGACCAGATGTGTTTTTTCTGAAGATAGCTTAACACAAGAAAAGAGGATTATGTTGCCAAGGGAAGACTGGCCTTTCAACCTAGATTGGTGGTTGTTGGAATAGAGAAACTCATGATGAGAAGGGTGAGCCTCAGGAAGGAGGGAAGGGAGGAGGGTGAAGAGCTGTCCAGTCATCATTCATTCATTTATTCCTTACGTCTCCTGAGTCTCTGCCATGTGCCACAGCTGTGGCTATTTCTGCGGTGGAGAGAAATAAAAAGTATCTGCCATCATGGAGTTTACCTCTCAGTGGGGAGAGCGGCAATAATGAGAAGCTGCTGATTGATGAGATAGCTGCTCCTATTACTGAGGAAGATGATGGCAAGAGAGGTGACTTTAGATTGTAGGTCAAGGATGGCTTCTCTGTGGCAGAAACATCGCAGCTGAGAGTCCAATGAAAGGTCTTTGATCAGCCGGCGGGGGGGGACAGGAGGAAAAGGAACAAGCCAGTACTGCTAGAGGATGGCTAGACAGGGAGAGACAAGCCAGGAAAGGCAGATGGAAGGGTAAGAAGGAGCCAAACCATGCAGCCATGTAAGATGTTTGGATTTCATTACACATGGAACAAGAAGTCACAGAAAGTTTTAAGCAGGAGAATATCATACACTGATTCAGGCTTTTAAAATGACTCTCTGGCTGCCATCTGTAGCATGGATTATGAGGTGGCAAGAGAGGAGGCAGGGAGGACAGTGAGACACATTCCTGACCTGAATGAGAAATGGCACTTGCTTAGATTAGAGCTGGGGGCAGTAGAGGTGGAAGAGATGGGAAGATTCTAGCTATGCTCTTGAGGAAGAATTGACATGACTAAATTATACGTGGATGGATGAGGAAAGGAGAGGACTCTCTAGTGACACCTGGGCTTTGACACGTAATTCTGGGTGGATGGTGCTGCCCTGTCCTGAGCTGAAGGAAGCAGGAGGAGCAATGAGGTTGGAAAGAAGGGAAGGGAGCTCCACCCTGATGTGCTGGGCTGAGCAGTTATCGCCATCATGGAAACAATAGTGGGTAGTTACAGCATGAGTCTGGAGTGCTTGGGAGAGGTTTGGGTTGAAGATATGAAAAATGTATTTTTAAAATATATATATATAATCATATCAATTTTAAGTAAAAGGACCGGATGAGATCACCAGGGGAGAAAGTGTGGGTGGAGACTCTGGGACACCCAAGACAAAACCCTGAGACCCTGACCACGTAACTGTAGATGGAGAGGAGCCAACAAGGGTTGGTCAACAAGGCCAACTAAGATCCCATGTCATGAAGCCAGGACAAGGGTGTGTCCCCAGAAGGGGGAGAGAACGATGAGCAGAGGGTGCCCTGTGGATCTGGCCACATGGAGACCTTCAGGGACTCTGATGGGAACAGTTTCGATTTGGAAATGGGGAGGGAAGCCTGATTTTGATAGTTCAAAATACACGAGAGATGGCAAGGATGGCTCACAGCAGGCACAGAACTGACCTTCTAAGTACTTTGCTGTGAAGAGAAGCATAGAAGTGAGGTGGCAGCTGGAAGAGGATGTGTTTCACTAGAGTGATTTTTAAAAGAATAAGTGAGATTCTCAGCATGTGGCTGAGTATCCAGCAGAGAGGGAGAAATGGAAGAGGCAGCAAAGAGGGTGGTGAACCGGAGAAGGGAAAATGGGCAGGAGTAGAATCACTGCCTGTAGCCATGCAGGCTGCATGGCCAGATGCCAGGGGACACCCGTCACAGACTAAGATGACTTGAGGGCCTGGAGGGGACTCCTACACTGATGAGTCCATGCGGGAAGTGGGGAGATTTCGTCCATGGTGAGAGAGTACATCTGCAGACTGAGGGTAGATGAAGGACTCTGATGGACTTTCATCTCACCTCTCAAAGAGCAACACAATGGGACGACAGCTGAAGGGGAGGAAAGGGTGCCAAGAGACTTGAGATAAATAGAAGAGGTGAGGACGACAGCTGAAGGGGAGGAAAGGGTGCCAAGAGACTTGAGATAAATAGAAGAGGTGAAGACAGAAAAAGCCAATGCCATGTATTCACAATAAAGAACAATGACTAAAATAGTTCTAGCATGGATAGTAATTGTTTGGATTCATTTCTACTTTGGGTTTCCAAACTTCTATACCAAGGAAGTATGTTCTTTACCCATGATCTGATCTGAGATGGACAATGTCATTCAGAAAAATTCTTAGGAGAAAGTCATATTTCCAATCTAAGTGTCAAAACATAACTCTGGACAGTATAGTCTTCAATAACTGATCATATTCTCCATAATTTGCAGAAAAATATACTTGGAAAGAAATAGCACTAACCTTATTAGAGAAGCTTGTGAGGTCCTTCAGTATAAGAACAGAATTAACCATTTCTTCCTGAACAGAAGAAACAACAGCAGCAAAAAAAGAAAAGAGAAAGAGAAAAGTTAGTTTAAAGTTATAGCTTGTTTATGTAGAAACAGAATAGATTCCATGCTTTTCAGCTAAGAGACTATTAACTGAAGGCCAGACCTCCTTTAGAGAGACTATTACTGTGGTCTCCTGTTTTCCTCCCTGTCCAGCCTCTTTCCTTAAAATGCCCTGGGGCCACCCTCAGCACACCCCACCAGGAAATCAATACCAGGGAAGAGAAAATAAGGGACCCAGAGCCAAGTAAAACAAAGAAAAGGGGTCAGAGAGAATTATGGAGGAAGAAAACATATTATTTCAAGTGAAATATCTTATCATTGTAATGAAATATGTTGTTCTTTAAATGTGACTATTCCCTAGTGACAATTATAAGATAGCAGTTGCAAAAAAGCTGAGCAAGGACAGTAACATGTGAACATACGGTCATTTCCTTAGAAGTTGTACATCATCATGAACTTAACTCTCTAGGGTATAAATGTTAATAATTGTTAATGAGATAGAATCAGACTGGATTTGCATAAGTTTTACTCATACAAACTTCAGTGAATTATTTAATGATAATCAACTTGGATCATTCTCTTTTATGGGTAGCAGCATTCATTTGTGATACACATCAGCAGGTTAGAGAGACCACAGCCCTGTGTGGGAGTCAAGCCACCACCCCCCACCGACCCCAGTGTCATTTCTTGCCTGTGTTTCATAAGCATGAACCCCTGCCAGATGCACCAACGAGTCCTCTTACTTGATACAGACTTAGAGACACTGAACTCCGGCTGCTCTGGCCCATACCTGATTTGAAAAAGTTAATTTGCAGACTGTAGAAATGAATGTATCCTGTATTCGTGACCATTGGCCACAAGAGGCAGTTTCGTCCTCCTTAAACAAACGACTCAGGATCCCAGTGATCATGGCGATGTAGTTCCTGATTTCCCTGTAACTCCCCATCAACTGGAGGGTAGACAGGTTTTTCAGGCTGGAATGATAGCTGAAGGAAACACAAGAGTTATCATAATCACTCCAACATGCTGCAAAACTATTCACCCTGCCCACCAAGAGTAAAAACATGTCTTGGGCTGGACAGTGCAGAAAGAGAAGTACGTAAAGGAGAGTTGGCCTGGGCACAGTAAACTAAAAAGGCATAATAAGGAATAATACCACAATTCTATAAAAACTCCTTTTATCAGAACTAAAAAAGAGCACAAGAAGTTGGACAGATACTGATGTAGAAACATCATGGCAGATGAAGACATATCATTCAGAACCAGAGAGACATACCACCTTGCTACAGATGGCTGAATTTCTCCAAACATTTTAATAACTAGAGTGAGTAGTCAGTGTCTAAGCCCATGATGGAGGGGACATCTGCATTGTTCTTGTGGTTTGTATAAATATACAAGTTCAAGACTTCATATTTCAAAAATGAACATTTACTTTTTGACAAACTCCATAGTTCACTTGTTTGCACTTGGAAAAGCAACACGATATCATGGAAAGAGATTTGTTTTTGTTTTTGTTTTTGAGTTGGAGTCTCACTGTCGCCCAAATTGGAGTGCAGTGGCTGCTCCCAGCCACCGCAGCCTTGACCTGCTGGGCTCTGGCAATCCTTCCACCTTAGCCTTCCAAGTAGCTGGAACTACAGGCACACGCTACCACGCCTGGCTAATTTTTTGTGATTTTTTGTAGAGATGAGGTCTCGCCTGCCCAGGCAGGTCCGAACCCGTGGGCTCAGGCAATCCACTCACCTCAGCCTCCCAAAGGCGCAGGATTATAGGCTGAGCCACCGAACCTAGCTTGAAAGAGTCTTATGCATGTGGTCAAAGGCTAGTTGCTCTGCAGCTTCTTTGCTGGATGACATAAATGACGCCATTTAACATAATAACTGAGCGTCAGTTTCCAAATGTGTAAAGCAAAAATATTCATCTAAACACACCACACAGGGTCATTGCAAGAAGTAAAGTAATTTGAAATAAATTTCTAAATAATTAGAAAGTGTTTTACAGGCTCTGAACACATATGCTTAAGCACCCTTGACCAATAAGTGACGTATGCAGACCCTAGGAAGCCAGTCTAACGACAAAAACAAACAAACCAATCTGAGCAGAAACATCACAGGCTACAAAATGAGGAAAAATATACTTCACAGAATTAGTCTTGCCCAGTCAATAACATGAACAATAGACAAAAACAATGACAATAAGCCCAGAAAAAGGGGTAGGCCAAATATCCAGAGTGGCTACGATATATTATCTCAAATTTCCAGTTTTCAAATTAAAATTATGAGATATCCAAAGAAACATAAAGTATGACTCAAACACAGGAAAAATAAGCACACAAAAGAAATTGCCTTTTAGTGGATCCAAATGTCGGATTTAGTAAGACTTCAAAGCAGCTATTACAAATATGTGCAAATGAAACCATATTTTGTTAAAATTAAAGAAAGTTATTACAATGACTAATCAAATAAAGAATATCAATAAAGAGATAGAAACTATAAATGTATAAGTTATAAAAAGAATCAAATGAAAATTCTAGAGTTACATGTACAATATTCAGAATAAAAGAGAGGATATGTAATATGTATCCCAGTGCTTTGGAAGGCTGAGGCAGGAGGCTCCCTTGAGGCCAGAAGCTGGAGACCAGCCTTGGAACATAGAAAGACCTTGTCGCTACCAAAAAAAAAAACTTAAAAAATTAGTCAGGCATGGTGGTACACGTCTGTAGCCCTAGCTACTCAGGCGGCTGAGGTAAGAGGATCACTTAAACCTAGGAGTTTGAGGCTGTAGTGAGAAATGACTGTGCTTCTGCATTCTAGCCTAGGTGACAGAAAAAGATCCTGTCTCCAAAAGAAATAAAGAAGAAAGGAGGGAAAAATAAATTTGAGAAAAGACTCTGTGTAAATGAAGACAGAGCAATAGGGATTATAAAGAATGAAAAGAAAAATGTAGGAAGTATATGAATAGCAATTCAGAGAAATGCTGAACATCATAACTTAGTTTATAAACTACATTTTTCTATTTCTTTCTTTTCTTTACTTATTTAAAGATCTGCTGCATAAAGTAATATCTATAAAATTGTACCAGTAGGCCTATAACACATAGAAATGTAGTACAATAATAGCACAAAGAAGAGAGATAGGAATAAAGCTATGCAGGAATAAGGAAATGACACTAGTGGTAACTTTAAGCCACAGGGAGATATGAAGACAAAGAAAAATAGGAAATAAGATGAATACACATAAAAACACTTCTAAAAATATATTTGTACTCTTTTTTCTTGTCTAGTTTCTGTAAAAGACAGAAGATTACATAAACCAGTAATTATAACATTGTGTTGTTGAGTTTGTAATATATACAGATTTAATAGGCATAACAATAATTATACAAAAAGGAAGAGGAAATGAATCTAAACAGAGGTAGTTTCTACAACTTGCTGAAATTAAGTTAGAATATATTTGCAATAGTTTCTAGTGAATTAAGATGCATATTATAAGCCAAAGAGCATATATATATATTGTATATATGCTCATATATATATATTAGTTGGAGTCTCACTCTGTTGCCCAGGCTAGAGTGATGCAATGGCATACTCACAGCCACCCCAGGGTCAACTATCTGGGCTCCAGTGATCCTTCTGCCTCAGCCTTTCAAGAAGCCGGAACTACAGGTGCATGCTACCACACCTGGCTAATTTTTGACTTTTATTGTAGAGACAAGGTCTTGCCAAGTTGCCTGGGCTGGTCTTGAACCCATGGGCTCAGGCAATCTGCTCGCCTTGGCTTCCCAAAGTGTTGGGATGACAGACTGAGCCACCGAGCCCAGCCTGAAAACATATTTTTTAAAAGCCCTAAAAAATCATTAAAGGACTTAAAATGGCACACTAGAAAATATTCAGTTACGATAAAAGGAGGTAGTAAAGGAGGAACAGAGGAACAAGGCGATTATGAGGCATGCAGAAGACAAAAGCAAACTGGCATACATAAATCTAACCCTGTCAATAATAATATTAAATGTGAATAGATCATACAATCCAATCAAAAGGCAGAGAATGTAAGAATGAGTACAAAAACATGATCCAACTATATGCCATCTACTGGAAACATACAAGGAGAAAACTTGGTTGCAAATAAAAGGACAGAAAACGATAGACATGTGAACAGTAATCATCAAGCATCCAGAATGGTTATATTCATATCAGACAAAAAGAAATAGACAAACACAGAAGTAACAATGAAGAGCAACATCTTCTAACATTAAAATAGAACAATTTTCCAGGAAGATCAAAAAGTATAAATACATAGGAACCTAAAAATAGGTCCCATATACATGAAGCAAAGACCGACAGAATTGAAGGGACAGATACAAAATTAAAAAAACAAAAACAATGAATACTGCTAATAATAGAATAAAAAAACTAGGCAGAAAATTAACAAGGATATTTAAGACTTGAACACTATAAATCAACTGGACCCAACAGACATCTATAGTACTTTTTACACAACAATATCAGAATACATAGTCTTCTCAAGTACATAAAGAAAATTCTCTAGAATACACCATACAGTAGGCTATAAAAAACTTGTATATCTTCTGACCATGATGGAAGTAATTAGAAATCAAAGATAAGCCAGGTTCGGTGGCTCAGCCTGTAATCCTGCGCCTTTGGGAGGCTGAGGTGAGTGGACTGCCTGAGCCCGCGGGTTCAAGACCCACCTGGGCAGGCGAGACCTCATCTCTACAATAAATCAAAAAATTAGCCGGGCGTGGTAGCGCACGCCTGTAATTCCGGCTACTCGGAAGGCTGAAGAGGAAGGTTCGCCAGAGCCCAGGAGTCGAGGCTACAGTGGCCAGGAGCCGAGGCTACAGTGGCCAGGAGCGGCTACTGCACTCCAGTCTGGGTGACAGAGTGAGACTCCAACTCAAAAAAAAAAAAAGAAATCAAAGATAAAAAGAAATTTGACACATTCACAAACATGTAAAAATTAAACAACACACTCCTAAATAATCACTTATTCAAAGAAGAAATTACAACAAAAATTACAAAATATTTTGGGATTAATGAATGAAATCACCAGCATTTCAAAACACATGGGATGTATCTAAAACAGTGCTTAAGGGAAATCTATAACTATCAATGCCTACAAAGAAGAAGATATCAAGGCTGGGAGTGGTGGTCCAGCAGGAGGATGGTTTAAGCCCAGAAATTTGAGATTGCAGTGAGCTGTGACCACACTGCTGTACTGTAGCCTGGGTGATATGGGTGATGGAGCAAGAAACTGGCTCAAAAAGGAAGAAGGAGGAGGAGGAGGAGGAGGAGGAGGAGGAAGAAGAAGAAGAGGAGGAAGAAGAGGAGGAAGAAGAGGAAGAGGAAGAGGAGGAAGAGGAAGAGGAGGAGGAAGAGGAGGAGGAAGAGGAGGAAAAAGAGGAAGAAGAGGAGGAAGAAGAGGAAGAAGAAGAAGAAGAGGAGGAAGAGGAGAAGGAAGAGGAAGAAGAAGCTAAATCAATAACCTTCTATCTTAGAAAACAAGAAAAAGAATGGCAAACTATATCCAAAGCAAGCAAAAGGAAAGAAAGAATAAAGATTAATACAGAACTGAATGAAAAAGAGAATAAACAACTGCAACAAAACAGAAAAATCAATAAAACCAAAGGCTGATTTTTTAAAAAAGAACGATAAAAGTGACAAATCTTTAGCTAGACTGACAAAGCAAACAAACATTAAAAAAAGAAAGAGAAAGAAGACTTAAATCACTGAAATCGGGAGTAAAATGGATATCACTACTAATCACACTGAAATAAAAAGTATTATAAGGGAATACTATAAAAATTAAATGTCAAAATATTAGAGAATGCAGATGAAATGGAAAAATTCCTAACAAGGAACAAACTATTGAAACTGACTAAAAGAGATGTAGAAAATCTGAGTAGTAAATAAACTGAAATAGTCACTTAAAAATTTTCACAAAGAAAATCCAAGCCCACATAATTCACCAGTAATTCCTACTAAATGTTTATAGAAGAATTAATACCCATTCTTCACATAATCTTCCACATATTGGAAGATGAAGGAATGCTACCAAATTGATGGAGGTCAGTATTACTCTGGCAAAAAAAACAAGGACAATACAGAAAAAAGAAAGTTACAGGCAAATATCTCTTATGAACATAGACACAAAAATCCTTAATAGAGTAGTAGAAACCAAATCTGGCAACACTGGAAAAGGATTATACAGCATGACCAAATGGAATTTATTCCTGAAATGCAAGGATGATTCAACATACGAAAATCAATAAATTTAATATAACCTATGTCTTAGTCCATTCATGCTGCTATAACAAAATACCACTGCCTGGGTAATGAATAAAGAACAGAAATTCACACCTCATCAACAAGGGAACTTGCATAATGAACATTTGTATATCTAACCCTGAATTGTACCTCACATTTCTAAAATTAAAAATTAAAAACAAGATAAATCTAGACAATTTAACAATATTCCATGACTGGAAAAAAAGGAACAGATATTTATTTCTCACAGTTCTGGAGCTGGGAAGTCCAAGATCAGACACTGGCAGGGCTGGTGTCGGATGACGGCTGCTCTCTGCTTCCATGATGGCAGAGATGCTGCATCATCTGGAGGGGTTGAATGCTGTGTCCTCACACAGTGGGAGGGATGAAAGAGTAAAGAGGGACCCTTTTATAGGTACTGATCCCATTTATGAAAGTGGAGGCCTCAAGGCCTAATCATATCCTATCAGCCCTACCTCTTTATATTGTTACACTGGAGATAAAGTTTCAACATGAATCTCGGAGAGGAAATAAACATTCAAACCATAGGACCTTGTTAAGGGAATGAAGAACAAAAATCAAATAATCATTTCAATAGATCTAGGAAAAGCATTTGACAAAATCCAATACCCTTTCATAATTTAAAAAAACAGACAAAAGCCATTTAGGAAATTAGGAATAGAAGGGAACATCTTCAACCTGATAATGGTTATCTCTAACAAACCTGTAGCTAACACTTACACAAAGTAGTGAAAGACTGAATGCTTCTGCCTGAAAATTGGAAACAAGACCAGGATTTCTGCTCTTGCCACTTCTGTTCAGCATTGAACTGGAGGCTGTAGTCAGGATTATCAGGCAAGAAAAAGAAATATAAGGCATCGAGATTGGAAAGAAAGAAGTAATGCTATCTCTAGCTACAGATGACATGATCTCATATACAGAAAATCTCAAGAAATGCACTAAAAAACTATGAGCACTATTAAGTACATTCAGCAGGGTAATAGAATATGGGATCAATATATCAAATCAATTGTATTGCACTAGCAAAAAAATTCAAAAATAAAATTAAGAAAGCAAATTTACAATAGCATTAGAAAGAATAAAATGCTGATAAAGAAATTTTAAAAAGAAGCATAAGATGTACCCATTGAAAACTGGATGTTGAAAGAAATTAAAAATCTAAATGAAGGACATATTCATAAAGTAGAAGAGTTGATTTCATTAAAATGGCAATACTCTCCAAACTGATCTACAGATTCAACAAATTCTGTAAAAAAAAACCCCAACTGGTGATATATTTATATATATATTCTTTTCAGCAGATATCTGGAGTCCTGGCCTACCCAAACAAAGCAAGGGTCGGGAGGGCAGCCAGCAACAGAACCATTGTACCATACCTGTGCTGTTTTGTTTTTGCAGAAATTGACAGGTTGACTTTAAAATTCATATGGATGTATGAGAGACCTGAAATAGCCAGTTTTGTATAAGAAGATCAAGGTTAGGGGGTTCAGGCTTCTCAGTTTCAAAATTTATGGAAACGATAGTAATCAAGATAGCATAATACTGGTATGAGGAGAGATATCTAGATTAATAAAATAGAGCTGAGAGTCTGGGAAAAACCCTAACATTTATAGTCGATTGATTTTTAATAAGATGTCCAAGATAATTCAATGGGGAAAAATAATCTTTTCAACAAATAGTGCCGGACAATGATGTACACACGCAGAAAATGAAGTTGCAGTGCTACACACAAAAATTACCTTAAAATGAACTGTAGAACTATAAAATTCTTAAAAGAAAACACAGAGGTAAATTTTTATGGTCTTGGCAATAATTTCTAAGATATGATACCAAGAGTGCAAGAGAAGCAGACAAGATGGATTTAATCAAAATTTAAAACTTAATTTTGAGAATATAAAAAAAGAACAACAGACTGAGAAAAAATATTTGAAAATCTTACATCTAATAAGGGACTTGTATCCAGAATATGTAAAGGACTCTTACAACTCAGTTATAAAAAGACAACCCAATTGAAAAATGATGTTTCTCCAAGGAAGATATACAAAGCACACAAAAAGATGTTCAACTCTATCAATCACAACAAAAAATGCAAATCCAAACCTTGATGAGAGAGCTCTTCATACCCACTAGAACAGCTATAAACAAAAGAACAGACAATAGCCAGTGTTGGTTAGGAAGCTGAGAAACTGGAACCTTTTACATTTTTTGGTGAGAATATAAAATAGCATAGCCACTTTGGAAAACAATCTGGCTATTTTTCAAAACGCTAACCCTAGAGTTACCCTATGACCCAGTGATTCCACTCCTAGATAACTTCCCAAGAGAAATGAAAATATACATCCACATAAAAACATGCACATGGGCCGGGCTCAGTAGCTCAGCCTGTAATCCCGTGCTTTGCGAGGCCGAGGTGAGTGGATTACCTGAGCCCGCAGGTTTGAGACCCGCCTGGGCGGAAGGATCGCCAGAGCCTAGCAGGTTGAGGCTGCGGTGGCCGGGAGCGGCCACTGCACTCCAGTCTGGGCGACAGAGTGAGACTCCAACTCAAAAAACAAACAAACAAACAAAAACATGCACATGAATGTTCATAGCAGTGTGATTTGTTGTGGCTCAACATTGGAAACAACCTGCATATTCACCAACCAATAAATGAATCAGCAAAATGAGGTATATCCATACAGTAAAGTATTATGCAGCAGTAAAAAGGTACTGATACTTGCTACAACATAGATGAAACTCACAAACGTTCATATGCTAACTTACAAGAGAACCTACTAAAGATCATTTGTTGTACCATCCATTTATATGAAATTCCTAGAGTAGGCAAATGTGTAGACATGAAGTAGATTAGGGGTTGTCTGGGACTGGTCAAAGAAACCTGGGTGCTGGGGTAAGGGAGTGACTGCTGATGAGTACAAGGTTTTCACGGGATGATGAAAATGTCCTAAAACTGGATCATGGAGAAAGTTGCACAACTCAGTAAGTACACTAAAAGCCAAGGAATTGCACACTTTGAATGGGTGAACTATGTGGTATGTAAATGATAGCTCAATACAACTGTTTTTAAAAAATAAGAAAGTGCTTTATAGGCTCTGGAGCACCTGCACAAATGCCACGCACATATGAATTAGCAGGATTGCAGGGGTAGAGCCCTGATCTTCTCTTTTGCTCATCTTGAGACACGAGTTCCTGCCACTCTTGGCACTAGTCAACAACTCGGGAGAAAGTCATCTCCTGAGGAAATATGAGCACCTTCTAGGATGTGTGTGTGTCATGTTACTCACAGGTCCTCATCCAGGCAGTCATTCCCATGGTAGTAGGGCAGTACAGTCACCACCACAGTGCACGGCTGTACCTTGGAGCCTTTGCCGTCTGTGATCTCAGTGGAAAGCCTGACTGTAAGGAAACATGCCAGAGGAGGGTCATTTTGGACATGTGGGCTACAGAAATGCCTCTTCACACATGAACAGCATCTTCCAGTCTACTAAAACATGGAGTGCTGAAACAGAGGTCAGACCTGGGGGCCACAGGGAGCCCAGGGAGTGAAATACACTCTGCAATGGACTGTTAAGGCTTGGGGTTGCATGTTGACTATTTTCTAAATGATATATAGCAGTTTAACAGGTTTAGAGAAAAAGTGAATATGAATTCTGACTCAGAAGACACTTTTATGAAAATCCTAATACCTGTTTTGGGGACTCAGGGATTCTTTCACATGACTGGGGCCCAGGGCTGTGGTGACGAGAACTGCCAATGAGACTCTGGGTGCAGGTGATAGTCAGCTGGTGAGGGCCACAAGTACCGTCACATGAACCACGAAAAAAGACAAATGCCCAGGTGCACCCTGGGTGTCTTCACAGCAACATACTCAACCTGAAACCCAGCGCTAGGGATCAGGGACCTAATTTTGGAGTTTGGTGCCTCTTAAGATGTGGCCCATAGACACATCTCAATCACCAGGAATTGTCTACAAGCAAATTCTGGGATCCACCTTCCCCCCAAAATTCTGAGTCAGTAGACATTGGGTGGACCCAGAAGCTGTAATTTTAATAAATACTCCCACAGATAATGTTGGTCCTAAGGATCAATACAGAAAATCTAAAAGAAGTAAATTTTAGGGAAGACTCCATTTAAGCCGACATATTCGTTCATGCAAAAGATGGGACAACATAAGATATGTATTAAGTACTTATTATATTATATTGACTTTGCTTATGTTTACCCTCTTCTAAATCTTAAATTCAGATATTCATAGGATTAATCATACTAATATTGACAATTATAAACAAATATCATGCTTGTGAATAATGTAACATCACTAACCCTGACACTGCTCTGGGACTGTGACTTAAAATTTGGTTCTATACATTTATTCTAAGAAATTCTTTCTCCCAACACAGATCTGAGGCCCTGCCCCCAAATCCTTCTATCTGGATATCTGCCCAGCCCAGGTTCTACATATCCTGGATGCAGCTTGACCTCAAGAAACCTCAAGATCAAAGAGAAGTACAAAGTCATTGTGATACAAAGTCATAGCATGATTGAGAAAATCCCAAAATGCCCTTCTCAGAAGTTTTATTCAATTTAATTGACTTGAAATTAGAAGAAGATAGAAGTGCTTCTAATAGGAGGTGACAGGCAAGGGTTCACCAAGAAGACAACATTTCAGCTGGGTGTAAAGGAGAAGTGAAATCTAAATAAATCAGGTGGATTAACTAGTTCAGACTTCAGGCTGCAATCATCTTACCAGCCCAAATCAAAGAAACTTCTAGATCAGTGACCCTCTAACTTGCCTGCACATTGGAATCATTCAGAAGTCTAAAAACTAAAACTAAAGAAGTCACCCCCAGAGATTTTAATTCAACCAGTCTGGGGTTGTTCATGTGGAAATACTTTCCTAAATGGTTGCATCTCTCATGTGCTCAGCTGAGGCCAGTTCCTGAGACCCGGTTTAGAACTGTTCCCCTCAGGAGCAGGGTCAAAGCAGAAAGTTATTGGCACAATGGGATTAATTTTGTTTTGCGATTATAGCATGCTAGCTCGACTTTCTTTTACCCCTTTATTTTCTTCCTTGGGGGAGTACCTTGATTTGGTTTCATCTGTAATAAATGAAAGATTAACCAGATATGACATATTCCATTAGTAAATAAGAAGTGTCTCTGTCTTATTTAATTTATATACAAATTGTTTTTGCCATTTTATCCTTTACATTATATTTCAGTTAAAAATTAAGATATAAAAAATTTATTTATTGGCAGTTTTTCTTCTTCGAAAAACTTGCCCACGGCAGGTCTTTCTGCCATGAATCTTCCTTTGTCCTTCTCATTTTCTCTCTAATAAACTTTGTTTTAAAACTTTAACAACAAACAAACAAACAAATTTGTTTATTGATAATATTACTAATATGTTCTTCTACACTAAAAAGTAGGTACTCGACCTAAACTAAAAGTGTCAAACTTATCAAGGTGAATAAATAAATTTATGTTCCAGACAGACACATAGCTTTAATGATTTTTAGTTATGGAAAACCAGGAAAAAAGGTTTAGAACCCTATGTAAGCACAGCCAGTAGCCCCATTTGGCACTATGACTTACCTTTGTAATTATCCAAGGGCTCACCAGCTGGCAACGCAAAATAATACTGGATATCTCTCCCATGGTACAAGGTGTGTTTGGAGGCATTTCCTATCTGGTAACTAAATTCATAATGAAAGTCCTACAATCCGATCCATGGGGAGCAAAAAATAGTATAGGTGAACATGCTTTGCATGACATCACAATAAATATGCAAACACCTGCAACCTTTACTGCACCCGAGGACATTGTTCCTAAGCCAAGAACAGGACAAATAACAGCTACACAGTGATCATAGCTGCACAGCCCATGTAAGGGGTCTCCTTCCCCTCCAGGGATTCTGTGCAGGAGCCCAAAGGGTTTCTTGCACAACACAGCTTTCCTCTCTTGGGGTCTGTGTGCTCTCCTTGCCCTGGAACCTTCTGACAGTCACCAATCAAACTGCCACTATTATCTCAGGGTGTAGGGATTCAGCTGCACCTCAGTTTCCCACTGCTGGGCATGACAGCTCGGGAGAGAGGGAGGAAGTGCTTTGAGTGAAGGCCAGGGTCTGGCCCCTACTGAGGACAGGTTTCCAAGAAAAGGGCAGCATGGGCAGGGCAGAAGGCAGGAACAGGCTGATGTTCCTGAGGGGAAGATGAAGAGGGCAGTGCCAGAATCGCAATGTGACAGGCTCCTGCCCTGGCCGCCACACAAAGCATCCATCTCTTTAAACCCATCTTCTCTTTTTTATCCTCATACGACTCTGAGCAAGAAAATCACAGAAGCCTTCTCCACTGCCGACATAAGGCGAATGAGGTTAAATTTGTGTTAGAGACGCGTCCTGGGTGGGGAGAGGGGTCGGCCTCCTCACTGTGAATTATCCCCCCTCTTTCCCTTGCCTGTTTCTCAGGTGCAGTGTTAATGGAGGCCCCTGCTCTGACCAGGCTGTGGGACCGTGAAACCCTGTGACATCTCCTGGTGAGTGGGTCCTCATCTCCTTCTGAACCTTCTGATCTGGGGGGCTTCTTTGCACTCCTTTCATTACTGGGTGGGCGGTGCTGTTCACGCCTAAGCAACTTTCCAACATTCAATTTCAGGCCAGGTTTCCTCACACATGGGAAAGGATACTTCACATTTCCACAGCACTTCATGCAGAGAGTTGCCCTTGGGCCCCTCAGGACAGACATGAGGTTGCCCACATACCGGTTTTCCTGACATGCAGAAGATACTGAAGACGGTGTGTGCCTCCAGACCATGGTGGGGCTGCACCTGACAGGCCACGTCCTGTGGAGCTAGGTTGACTGTCAAGTACAGTTGAGCTTTCCCAAGTAAGCTGTGCTCCGAAGCTAAAGAGAACAATGAAACAGATTTCATCCATGATGGAGAATTATGTCACATGGGATTAAGTTTTTAAAGCACAAACCTTATAGCACGGGTTCTCAAAGTGGGCTCTTATAATAAAAGCAAAATCCAAGAGGAAAAAGTAAGTAATTCTGCTTGAGTGATCAGAAACTTTCCACAAAAGAAGACATATTTGAGCGAGCAGTCTTGGGGTATGAGTCCTGTACTGGGATATGGGGGAAAGAATGGATATTCTGATCAAAATAACTACCGGTTAAAGACTTAACATGACAAAGTGGCCTGGTATGATTGGAAGAACACAGGAACCAGAGGAGAGGACTATGGTCAGGAGGCAGGGGTATGGGAGTAAGAGGCAGAGGGACAGGAGGTGGGGGTGGGGACTGGGGAAGACCTGGAGCCCAAGCTCACTTCTCAGTGGCCAACCAAGAACACTGACTGGGTCTTGTGGGCCATAAAAAGGCCCTCAGGTGTCTCCTGCACCAGTAAGGAGTATGTCCTACCTGAGAAACTGAAACTTGCCCATTGGACAAATTTCAGAGGCAAAAGAGAAAAAGGCCTAGCCAAAGGCAAGGCTGAAACAAAAGCAAATTGTCCCTCTTGTGCCCAAAGCAGAAATGCAGGGCTTAGTTGCTAAACACAGCTGTGGAAACAGCAAGCAGATGTTTTCAGAAACAGTAAGAATCAAGGAGACCCTTGGGGATCTTATGGAGCCCTGCCTGCCAAGTTCCCAGAAGCAAGTGATCCTCCTGTTTTTCCCTTGGGTGATGTGAGAGTTCACACAATGCAAATACGGAAATTCATGATATGTTTTAATTAATGCAAAATGTGGTTGCTGAACCAAATCTATCTGTAGATATAAATTGTTAAATCCTCTGTGCTTATTACATGGAACTAAAAATCTCTAGAAATGGGAGGAGATATTTATAAGTTATCCAAAAGGATGATCTCAGATTGAATCGTAGAAATGCAAGAAGGAGCGTGGAACACTGGAAAGAGTAAAGTGTGGGTGAATTGAACAAACACTGATGGTACAAAACAACATCAGTAGCACCTTCTTGGGGTTTAAATAGAAAGAGAGATCACGAATAGATTTACAGATAAGAAATCACCTTATCCAGTTGTCTAGCAAAAAAATGCACATGCAATTTTTAAAAGGCAACTGCTCAGTTTTTATTCCAATCTAAACCTGCACCCAATTCCCTAAGGAAGAGCAAATTCATAGAGACACAGCAGGCTTCCTTCTCCTGTCCTCTGATATAAGTAGGCAATCATGATGGTGAAGTAAGACGGACATGGGAGCAAGAGCCCATGGGGATCAGTGACTGTCATTTCCAGGAAAAATATATGAATACAACCAAAGCCCTATGGTTCTCCCCCCCCCCGCACCAATTCCAATTAAAAGGGTAACATACCCACAGACGCTTGTAGGACATATGTCTCTCCACTGCTCAGTGAGTAGGGCTTGACTGTCACTGTTTGCTCTGTGATACCTACAGAAAAGGACATGGCTGCTTGGAAGTGATGGTCAGTGGACTCTGAAGGCCAAGAGGTCAGACAGTGTCTTTGGGAAAAGGTTCTACCCTTATTAGAGGTGGAAGTAAAACTGGTACTAGTTAGACATGCCATTCCTACTTGGAAATGCCACTAGTTTGGTGGTTACCAGCCTTCCATAAAGAGCTAAAAGTCCATCTTCATGTCTTCCCTGCCCAATACAAACCATGCTATGGATGGACAAGTCATTCCTGGCTCAGAAATGTTACTAAGTTCCAGTGCAACAAGAGAGTGCTAGTAAGATCTTATTTTATATGTTTACAGTTAAGTACAGTGTTTGCTTTGGCTATTTCACAAATTTGGTTTGTCTATAAAATATGATTAAGGTATTTAAAGGCAATTTTTCAAGTCTTTTCAGAATATTGGTTATGGTAAATTCTTAACCTGTGTGTAACAACTGATCGTAGTGACGAGATCACTTCTTTAGCGGAGAGAGGCTGACCTTGCACTACTTACACTGAAAACAGGAGAGGTGCAAAATGCAAGACTGGCAATCTAGACAGGGCAGAGTTCAAACATCAAAATTTTACAACGGTACTTCTTGAACTGTTCCAAGGAAGGGATAAGGAGGAAATCATCTAAAAATAGTGTGAAACCCAGATCCTCCCCAAGGTTTAAAGGGACAACACAGTCACATGCATTACTTCGAAAGGTGGCAAACCAGAAAATTGAGCAAAATCAGCAGGTCTAGGCTGAGGTGGTGGTGTGCAACTGTAGTCCCAGCTACTCTGGAGGCTGAGGTGGAGAATTGCTTGAGACTCAGGAATGCTTGGTTAGAAATGCAACTGTTCTTCAGGAACAGCTTCATTTTGGTCAACTCATGTACATAACTCATCTGCCCTGCAAAAGGTCACAACAGAGGCATGTACACTGAGGCAATTGGGCTCACAGAACCTGCGACAGTGGGCAGTGCCTCTCTTCTCTTGTGGTCTGCAAACAGGGAGCTCCTGGTGGTGACAGATGCTAACTCTACTGTTGTTAAAAGAGCCTGACTGTAGTCACAGAGGGACAAGCATAGGTAGGGAAGGTAACACAATTACAAATACTCATCTATGGCTGAGGCGGAAGGATCGCCTAAGCCTAGCAGGTTGAGGCTGCAGTGGCCATGAGTGTGCCACTGCACTCCAGCCTGGGCAACAAAGAGTGAGACTCCAACTCAAAAAAACAAAGCAAAACAAATACTCATCTTTTAAAATGAAAAGTCACAGAAGAAATAGAGGGCTGATATTCGAAATCTTCCGCAACAGCTACAAATCACAGGGTACAAAGACGGTATCCATACCTGAGGAGGTGTAGCCCTGGAAGACAGTTTGGCCCACAAGGGCCTTGGGCCAGTCGATCATGGGGACAGGTTCGACTCTGCTCTTCAGGAGGGAGGGGTCCACCAGGTTATCCCCATCACCGGGGCTCTCCTCGGCACTCAGACTTGGTTCTGACCTTGTAAGGCTGGTAGAGTTCCCTAAGAAGAGAAACCAAGACAATAGATGTTAAAGAAAAAAATCACAATGATCTTAAAGAATTAATGATTCAATATTGATATTAATAAACTATTTCTACCATTATTGGATACAGCATATCTAAAACAATGTCTCCAGCCACTAAACTTATTCAAGAGATGTACTTTGTTATAATATAATCAGTGGCCCAATAGCATATTCCTTCCTTCCTTCCTTCATTCAACAAGTATTTATTACAGTTTACTAAATCCAGAAACTAGTCTAGGAACAGGAGATGCAGTGTGAACCAGATCAATGAAGTCCTTGCTATCTGGAATTTAATAGTGAGGGAATCAGAAAAATAAACAAGAAAACACATAAATGACCAAAGTCAGGCAATGATCAGTGTAATTATCAGTTGTAATACAGCAGGGCATGCAGAGGCAGAGAGTCAGGGGAATGGAAAGCAAGTCCTTTTGAGAGGTGGTCAGAGAGGGCATCTCTAAAGAGTGGTCAGGACAGAGGCCCAAGAAGCTCTGAACTTGGTTAGAGGCATTGGCAGGGGCCACATCATGTTGGGCCTACATAGACAGGCTGTTGACCTGAGTGCTGTGGGAAGCCATGGGAGGGACTGGCCATGGGAGTCACAGAAGCCTGCTTTGTGGTCAGAAGAGCACTGTTGTGTAGTGAGATGACTACAGGCAGCAAGAACAGAAGTAGAGACCAGTCAAAGGGCTACTGTGTGGCCCAGGCAAGGAAGGAAAGTTGGGCTTTGCTTAGGGCAAGAAGGCTAATTTAAGACTTCAAATAAGGTCACTTAAGCAAAATATAATAATAAAACAGTTAAATGTTGAGTTTAAATTATTCCTGTGAGGAAGAGTAATTCTACGATGTGACATAAAGGCACATCTGTTCTTCACTCATTCCATTGTATTTATTAAATGCCTACTTCAAGCGTGAATAAGGGTCCTAAATCAGAACTGCATGTTATGGTAAATATTTTTTAGTGTTCTGTATATTATGATGTTTTGATATCCTAAAACAAAGCAAAACAATGAGAGACTGCCCTTCCTGGCCTGGGTCTAGCCAAATCCTGGAGTTAGAAGCACCCAGCCTGGAGCATGCTCGGATATGCAAACTAACCAGTCCAGAACCCTACTGCAATATTCCTCTGCCTTAATCATCCCAGGGAACTAGGGACCACCCTATAGCCCAGGGTCTGCTGAAGTTATTCAAACTGACTCTAAACTATTCACCCAGCCCTGCTTTGGCCTGGTCCTGCCTTTCTCATGGAAATGCCAATAACGACCTTGGTTTAAGCCTCCCCTCCCTCCTGTCTTCTGCCTTCTGACCTCCCCATGTTGCCCTGTGTGGCCTCTGTCTCTAGAACCTGGGAGTATAATAAGCTTTGTCTTGCTTTTCTCTGTCTCCTCTGTGGCTGCACCTGACTTAACATCTCACAAAAAACAGTGCAATGCACAGGAAGGACCAAGGAGAGGGCTAGAGAAGCCATGGATTTGGAGGGTGTTGAGGAGGTGTCAAGGAAACACCGCAGCAAATCAGAGATGGAAATCATTCACTTATCAGCCACTGTTTGCTGATAGATAAATCATTCACTCATCATTTATCTATCTAGTCACTTGACAAATAAGTCATTTACCAATTCATTTGATAGACAAAGAAATCATTCACTGAACATTCATCTGTTCACTCGACAGATGAATAAATAATTCACTGATCATCAATTTGTTCTACAATGTGCTCACTGAGTGCCAATAGACAAGGAACTGCAGTAGATCTGGGGACACAAGTATAAACCAGCCATGGAAGCTTTCCTGGAAGGTCTCAGAGTAGAAGAGAAAGACACAGAAAGAGACAATGAGTGCCAGGTGTCACCTGCTTTACATAGCTGGGAATAAATACACTGAGCAGATGTGTGTGTTGAAGGGAGGGGTTGTTACAAGACTGAGTGAGACTTTCTAGAGAAAGGGAGATCAAACCAGCTCAGAAAGGAGGAAACTCACCAAGCCAAGGACCCAGAGGGAGGCATTTCTGGCAAACAACACCACATCCAAGTCATGGAAGAGCTGGAAAGCCCACCCATGGGCCAGGGGCTACTTTCTGGTTTGGGGAGTATGTGGTATGAGAGGGGCAGAAGAGCTCAAAATGAAGGGTTGGGTTCGACTGTGCCATGCAAAAGAGTGTAAACTTTCCCCGCTGTCTCTGTGGAGCTCTCGGTGGCCTTGATGTGAGGAAAACATGAAATAAATCTGGATTGCAGAAAAGCGTGTCAAGGAGAGATGAGTGGAGGAGGTAAAAATCTGAGAATCACAGTCACCTGGCTGTCTTCCTTCGGATGGTATTGCTTCTTGGATATCACTATAATAGGCTTCAAAATCTATACGAGAGGAAAAAATCATAATGTTTCCTTTAAAACTCAGACTCCCCTGAAATTAACACCGACTCTCCTGATAGATCATGTTGTCCCTGATGTATTTCTAGCATCTGTATATTGCTTTGTGGATTACAAAATACCCACAGCGGAGGCATCACCTCAGCTCAAGACAGCTGGGCAAGGCAGACGCTATTGCCCCAAGCACTCAGGAGGAGCTGGAGGTGTGTGGCTTCTAAGGATAACCTGTAATAAATTGGAGAACTGAGGCCCTCACATGGCTCTCTGCCCCACACCCAGCATCCTGTCCTCCCTTCAAGCGGGTCTTACTGTTTTTTTAGAGAAAATGCCTGGTTCTTTTCTCTAAGGAGGACAGAAATGGAAGCAAGAATGCCCTGCTGCAAGTGTCACTCCTGCCCTCTCAGTTCTTCTCTCCCGAAAGCTGAGATGCTCACAGGGGTCCATCCTCCCAGCCAACCTGAGGCTCAGAGCCCTGGAGCGTGACTTCGACAAGGGATACCAGGCACAGAGCACCACCACCTATGTGAGCAGCAGAATCAAAGGGCGCCATGGTCGAGGGACAGTGAGGGAGAGGCAGGTGCGAGGCCAGAACTTTTCTCACTATTATCTTCATTCTTTTTTGTTTTAAGCACCAAAATAATTTCCATCCAGCCTGAAGCCCAATGATAAAGTGAAGCAACTGATCATTGGCAGGCAGAAGGATGAGGAAGCTGCCTCTTACTTCATTTGACCCTGCACACACCAGCCTTGTTGTAGCTTCAGAACCTGCTGTGGGTTCAAATTGTTCTGTGGTCAGAGATGAGGAATCCGAGATTCGAATGAGTATCTCAAAATTAGTAAACAGTGGGTGTGAACGGGGACTCTGTGATTTAAAGGTCCTTGTTGATGTGATCTCACAGCTAACCCACCACATTTGCTCCTTCCTAAGCTAACTTTGGTGCCCAGGCAAGAGGGACAATGTGTAGGGATGTGGCACTTACCAGAGAGGTCAGGGACAGGTATGAGGGTGGGCCGACTTCTCTCAGAGGGGCTGCTCCTTGGAGAACCCTTGTCCTGTGACCCTGGCTCTGAATCTGGGGGCCTGTCCTCAGGAGACTCCCCTGGGACCACAGAGTCACCAGTAGCAGGAGTCTGGTGGACACCGACGATGGGCTCCCTGGACAGTCTCCTCAAGTCTGAGAGGGCAGGCTGGCCAAGGGTCTCGGGTGAAGGTGCTCGTGAGAATGGCGTGGTCGTCCCATGGGAATCTGCCATGTTGGGCTCCAGGGACAACAGGTTTGACTCTGATGACTTCAAAATGGCACCGAGTCCCAGGGAGCCCAGTAGCCCAGCTATTCTGCAAAAGGGAACTGAGGCAAACATTTGTCAGTGTTAACATTTTGGACCCAAAATATGAAATATTTGCTTATAAAAAGTCTACAGATTCTACTAGATGCTGTATTTTAAACAAATCTGACGTGAATTTGAAAACCTACATTTGTGAGATAAAGAGCATGGATGTGGCATGTTGGACAACAACAGGACCAAAAGCGTGGAAGTGGGACCCAGGATCACAGCCATATCACCTGGCACTTGGGGGTGGTGGCTGCGAATCCTATGCACTCCCTCCCATGGGTTACTCATGTGTTTTCTAGAAGGAATATGGGGCACATGGAGTTTCTCTTAATCCTCACTCCCTTACCTGTTAGTATCTAGTATAACGATTCTAACCATTGTTGTTAGAATTTGTGTAAATAGCAAAGAATTTGTGTAAATAGCAAGGAAAACAATGCCATGAACATGACCTCTCAATAAAGTCAGCTTTTATTTGTGACCACAGGAGAGCCAGATTCTTTGAGACCTGTCAATCTAGGGGCCATCATGTGCTTTGCTTTAAGTTTAAGCACTGAATGTTTTCATTGAAAGCTCCTTCATTCTACTCAGCCTGGGCTTTGATTCAGAAAAATTCCATTTACTTACAAGAATTTGGGAATGCCTCTCTTGCAAAGAAGGGCACAATTGTACTATATGTCTCTGTGGCTGCTGAGACCAGTTGTACTCAGAGCTCTACTATGGAAGCTTTGAATGGCCTCAGTGAGTGGAATTTTTAAAAATATGAAGGTCAATAGGGGCTGAGCACTAGATTTGTGGTAGGAGTCAGCTACCCAGCTCAGAAATAAAGCTCCTCTGTTTACCATTCAGAGCCACCTCTCTGATCACCAATATCACCAAGTGAGAACTCGCTCCTGGTTCACACCCAGCTGTCCCATAGCTCCTAGTGTCTGTCACCAGCGCCTGGCATGCTCCCACACATTTTTATATTTAACCCTATCACCACTCTCTGAAGTAGTACAATCTCCATCTTTCATCTGAAAAAATTAAATCTTAGAGATGCATAAGTTACCAGCTAGTAGTGTGGAAGAGAGGACAGGAATCTTCTACCCTGGTTCCTCTGCTCATCCTTCACCAGGCAGTCACCAGAAAGACAAGCAAGACTGTGAGTAACACAGTCCCCTGGATACTGAGCTGCATCACGGGTCCTCTAAACAGCCTACTTAGGCAGTGGATGCTGGGCGCAGTTTCCTGTATCACACCACGACGAGAAGCGGCCCTTGAGTGTGTCGCCTCTTTCCTCACAAGGAAGCTCAGCTAATGGGCAGATCAGACACACTGGGCTGGACCCATCATATTCTGTAAACATTTATCAATCTCACAATAACCCAGAGTTAGAAAAATTAAGAAAACAATTATTTCTACCTTCTATCCTATTCTTTTCTGTTGCATTGACTAAAAAGAGATCCCACGAATAAGAGACATGTGGTATTTCACCACAGTCTTCACACACAGCTTGAAGAGAAAGTTCTTCATTCCAGTTGACAAGGGTGCCTTTAAAGTTGACCCAGGAGATGTAGACGAATCTGGAACATGAAAATGGGTTTGAGATTTAGGAAAATAACGTGAGCATTCTTTGATTTCATTCGTTCATGTGAGGCATGTTTCAATTGCCCTACCTTGGATCTTTATTACGGGAATTCAGTAGCAATATCACAGCCCACATGATGGTGCATAAAGAATGGCCGATGGCTGGGCTCAGTGGCTCAGCCTGTCATCCTAGCACTTTGGGAGGCTGAAGTGAGTGGATTGCCTGAGCCCACGGGTTGGAAACCAGCCCGGGGAACTTGATGAGACCTCATATCTACAATAAATCAAAAATTGACTGGGCATGGTAGCATGTGCCTATAGTTCCAGCTACTTGGAAGGCTGAGGCAGAAGGATCACCGGAACCCAGCAGGTCGATACTGGGGTGGCCATGAGTGTGTCACTATACTCCAGCTTGGGTGACAAAGTGAGATACCAACTCAAATAAAAAAAAAAAAAGAATGGCTGACACTGCCCAAACATAATATGATCCAACATCAGCGAGATCCTGAGGCAAGCGCACTAGTTCCCTACTGAGCTCACAGAGGCTGGATGACTTCCTCCAAGTCACAGAGGTGAAGGTAGAGCCAGGACTGGCCTGGTCCCCCATCCCCAAACCTGGGCTCTGGTCGAGCTCTCCACACAGGAGCAGCCACTACCCCATATCCTTGCTTCAGGGTTTGCTTCCACTAGCTGCAAACCCACCTGCACCCTCCCAGCTGCCCACCTCTGTGGTTCACAATGCAACTTTGGACATTCACAGAGAAGTCACTGCTGACTCAGACTGTCTCCTCCCAGTTCCAGGCTGCAGTGTCCTGGGCTGCCTACAGCCACACCCACAGCCCGGAACCCATGTACCTAGGACCTGTGTCCCATGGCATCTCCTGACAAGTCCTTCAGTCTCCACAAAGTAATATATAGATGCTAGAAGCAGATTGGTCTCTTTACTGATGCAACACTTTCCAGAGTACATTTTTGTGGAATTCAGTTCTTCACGATATCATAGGGTGACTTGGGTTGCTGTGTTGGGCCTTGTGAAATGGGTTTCCTTCTTGTGGGACTTCGGGAGCCTTTAAAAGGCCAAGGCCATCAGAGACACTCTGAGAGGGTGTGTGGTGTGGAGTGTTTCCCATGTGAATGACCCATGCCCTTGTGCCCAGTGGCCCTTGTCCCAACCATAGCCTCGGTACACGGCTATCAGTGCAGGAGCCGAGGTGCCATGGCAGCAGAGGCCACACAGCTTCCTCACTGGGCACCAGGCCCAGCTTATCCATGTGTGGAAGTGTGTATCTGTGTGTGTGTACAGTGGGATGAAGGAGGGGGCGGGGGTAGACACAGGCAAGGAGAGGCCCGTCTGGCCCAGATCTCCCAGGGAGGCTGAGGCACACAGACTCAGACCACCCCAACAGGATCAAAAGATACCTATCCAAAGACTTTAGCACACGGCGAACAAATATTTTAAAACAAATTCTGTAATTGTCTCAAGGAGAAGAAGTATATAGCGTGTTGTAGTTTCAGAATAAAGGGTATAATTTGTTAAATTTGATGATCTAAATTATGCTCCAACCTTCACAGCTTTGTGCTGGCATTTCTTCACTTTAAATACAAATCCGGTGCCTTAAGTAACATGAGGTGGCCTGGGTCTATTGAGAATCCTGAGCAGCTCTGCGTAACCTTGGGGCCCACCATGGCCTGACTCTTTCCTATCTGCTGAGTCTTCTTTTCACTGTTGTCATCCTGAAACCCTGAATTCCAGTCCGGGGGTCTTGCTTAAAACAGTTTTTCTCACATCTGAGGACAGCAGATTTGTTTCCTCCTCCAGGAAGCCTTCCGGAACATACCCAGCCCACACATAGGATGATAGTAACTGCCCAGGCTCCTTGCAGGGGTCAGTGATGGAAACAGTCCAACCTGCCTGGGGCCTTCCAGGTGACAAGCAGGGCTGGGGGCAGTGGGTCAGTCCCACAGTGTTTCCTGGGTAGACACCAGCTTCCAGGCCCCATGGGGGCTGGCTTTATCTCCTATTCACTCACCTAATGACCCTAACCCTTGGAGTGAGAGGCTGGAAATAGCTGCAGCCCACACACACCCCTGCTGCTCGACCCAGTCTTGGCACCCTGGTATCTGGGGCAGCACATGACCTGGGTGCTACTCTGGCCTCAGTGCTGCAGGGGTTTGGGGTTTTGGTCACAGCTTCTTTACTCCCGCAGCCTTCACAGTCTCAGACATCACAGCTGGGCCCACACTGGTAGCGTCTCAGCCCTGTGATGCATGGAAGGCCCCAGTAGAGCCCCTGTCTGGACACTCAATGGCTCTGCCTCCTTCTGGCTTTGGCCCAAGCCCCAGAACCTTCCCCATCTTTGGGGCAGGTGCTGTGACAGGAAGGATCCTGCTGAGACCCACTAGGGGAGCCCCCCATCATGTCAGCTTTAGCCAGCATGCTTGGTCATCAGGTGCCTCCCAGAGGTCAGCCTGAGAGTGGGGTCTGTTCCCCAGCTCCTTCCTGACCATTGCCCTCTTCCTTCTCAGCAGTGAGGATCCTACACGGCCAAACCCCAAACTGCTCACTGCACACAGCAGATGCCATCTATGGTTGCCAGCACCAGCTGGGAGCGGATCCTGTGGGCTGAGCTGTGCAGAACGCAGGGAGGTGGTACCTGAAGGCAGAGTCAGGGTGGAGGGACAGAAACACCCGAGCCTCGGAGGAGTTTCGGCCACCACTGGAGACTGTCAGCGTCACAAGGAACTGGTCATAGCTGTCGCAGAGCCACTTTGCCTCAAAGGAAATGGTGGGGGACCCAGCATCCAGCTGGTGGGGAGTGGAAGAGTCAAAACAGGGCTGTCCAGGTGAGCCCGTGGTGGTGCATCCCCAGTGGTACCTGTCAGAGAAGTCATCAGAGGGGTGAAGGAGGGCACCAGCCAGAGTCAGGGGCCACCGTGTGTTCAGGGTGTGGGCTTTTCCAGGGTGCCAGGCCTGCAAGGGGACACGTGGGTAGGAAGAGGTGCTGTGTTCCTCATTCTTGAATGTGCAAAGTAGAGCAGCACCTCCAGCTCAGGCTGGGCTTGAGCCGGCTCCTCCTGACTCACTTGGCCACCCCTGCTTCCCACCCCCTTCCTGTGCATGGGACTCCTCTGCTTACATCCCTGGCTCCCCCCAAGTAACACAGCCGCAGCCCCCCAACCACTTCACCGACACTGCATCTCATCCTCGTGACAACTCGATGTGACACATGGGAATGCTACATGAGCTCAATTTTAGGTAGAAAATGCTTTCTGGAGGCCCCAGGGAGCTGCCCTGTCCCACAGCCAGTGTGAGAGGAGGCCGAGAGGTGGACTCTGGCATCTCTCCTCCCGTTCTATCTTTCTGCAAAATGACCACTGCCACATCCAACAAGATAAACGTGGCTGCTCCATCCAGATCAAGCAGGGAGACAGCATCATCCCCCACCTTCAGCAGGTCTTAATCTAGTGGAACACACCCTCAAACAAGCAGTTCTAGTCAGGAGGAAATACTGTCATGGAAATGCTCATGGCAGGGAGAGTCTGGGCCAATCCCACAGTCATGAGCCCTTTCCAGAAGGGCGACCTAGGTCTAAACTGCTATTGATCTTGTCAAGGTGAATTTCTCTGTCTAATGTGCGGGTTTCACATTCTAGACCCCTCTGTCTCTAAGATGCACAAAGAGGCCTTAACGAAAGGCCATCTCTAGCTCACAGGCTATGCAGAACAAAGGCCCCCAGGTTTCAACTGGAATGTTCTTTATGCCCAGGGAACAAATTAAGCACATTTCAGCAGCCACACACTGAATTCTTATTTGGGGGCACCATGCTGGCTGGGTACTGATATGTGGCGGGGGTGCAAAGATGAACAAGACACAGCCTCTGCCTCCTTAGGCTGGGGGAGAGGAAGTTATGTAGCCAGCTGGTGCCTGTGCCGAGAGCACGTGCATGGATGGAACTGGTGATTCCAAGAAGGCTCTCACCTCCACTGGACTAAAGACATACCAAATTCCATACCAGGAATGCAGCAAATATGTGTGTGATCTCAGAGGTTGAGAAAACAAAGCAATTTATCTATTTATTTATAACTAAGTACTCACTGAAAAGTTACTATGTGCCAGGCACAGGGGGCATATCTGACAACAGCCCCACCCTCCTGGAGCTAACATTCAATGGGGGGTGGTCAGTCAATAGTGACAATAACAAGTAAGCAAGTGCTCAGTGTTGGGGTGAGAACTGATGTGGAGAAAGACATCATGGAATCGGGACAGTATTCATCACTTTATGTGGGGTCTCAGCGTGGGCCTCAGTGGGAGGTGGTGTTTAAATAACAAATCAAAGGGAGGAGGTGGTGGCAGATGTTTGGAGGACCACGGCCGAGCTGTAGAAGGAACTCATTGCACTCTGGGTATACCTGAGGATGGGCAGGAAGGCCCAGAAAGCCACACAGTGAGCAGGGGAGGCAGAGAGGGACAACTGAAGCCCTGCTGGGTTGTGGGCAGGTCACTTTGGCCTCATCAGCAGTGTGGGAACTTGGCTTTTACTCTGAGTAAAAAGGAGGGCTTGAGGGCCTAGCTATGAAGTGAGCTCTTCCGACTGTTTTAAAAAGAATCTGTCTCCAATCGGTGGGTGGGTGGAGGGGTGAAGGATATACACAATGGAATACTATGCAGCCATAAAGAAAGACAAACATATGGACTTCACGGCAACTTGGATGGATTTGGATCATATTCATATTTCGATCATATTCAGTGATCTATCACAGAAACAGAGAACAGAGTACCATATGTTCTCAATCATAAGCAGATCTTGAACAACTATAATTATAATACTATAAGAAAGCATTTGGCAGTAATGGGAAACTGTCAGGGGAGGGGGTGGCAGTTGAGGGAAACTGCTAGGGGAGGGAGGGGCATACCTCATCAACAAGGGTACCTGCATAATCAATGTTTGTGTACCTAACCCTGAATTGTACCCCCACATCTTTATTTTAAAAAAAAGAGTTACCGATTGGGTACAATATATCCATGCCACAAAACTGCATTTACAACCCCTGCATCTAAAAATATAAATTTTTAAAAATAAGAATCCACCCCTGCCACGGAGAATTGGCTGCAGGGGAAGATGGAGTTGTGGAGACCAGCCTGTAGCTTCTCATAGAGATGAGCTGGATGCCCTGGTGGCTCAGACCAGGATGTATGGGGGAGGTACAGAGGTAGCATTCAAGGGAGAGCTGGAAAAGAGAAGTTGAGGACACTGCTGAAGCTCTAAGTCTGATTACTGAAAGGATCCTTCCATAGGCAGGGATGGGGAAGGCTGAGAAAAGAAGGTGAGTCTGTGACTGAGATGTCTTGAGGCTGTGGAGAGGAGGTGATACAGGGGTTCTGGTAGCACAGAATGGAGTGGGGAGTGGTCTGGACAGAGGGTGCGTGTTGGAGGATATTGCATGTGTATCATGGCTGAATCCACGGCTGGACACTAATTGAGGCCACCTGGGGAACAGGTAGAAGAAGAGGACCCAGGCCGGAACCTTGGCACTTTGGCGGCAAGAGAACTGCCCAGCTGGAGATATGCTACACTCGGAAACCAACCAAGTCTTCCACATATCTAGGCATCTTACCAACCAAGAATGTTAATCATGGTAACACTGAAACCTCACATTCCAAAACAGAAAGTACTTTAAATGCCACCTTAAAAAGTTACTGAGATTTGACTTGCACCTGTTCCTAAATTCTCTTATAAATTTTGTTCATAAAGCAGTTCAACTTATGAGTGTCAATGCACTTACATTTTTAAAACTTCTCTCCTAGTGCTCTAGAGCTTGAATCTGGAGAAGATGGCATCCAAGTGGCTGCACAGCCATGATGCTCACCTGAGAACAGCCCCAGGATTGTCTGGGTGGAAGGACTGGGTTCCCCTGAGGATGATGGGTGACAAGGTGGTCCTGGAAATGAACAAGTGTGTACCCTCGGAGATCACGCTGACTGGGGCCCGGGCTTGCACCTCCAGGCCCACACAGTAGTTGCTGTGCACCATGCTGCCTCTGATCTGAACCTGTAGGGCCAAGGGCAAGGTGTCAATTGGAGACAAGGCAGGAATTCACTGGAGCCACACGTCTGTCTGAAAACTAGAAAGGAAAATGGCCAGTTTAAAGGTCATCCTTGGCTCCAACTAAACTAGTCACCTTTGTCAAAATAAACACCTACTGCGAGTTATCGGAGACGTGGCTGGGATCCACAAGCCTATGAACATTTTCCTATCCAAGTCTGTGTTCACATACAAAGGTGGGATTTTTCTGGTTTGTGAACACAATAGTGACTTCCCATGTGTGTGCACAGTTTACAGTTTTCAAGCCTCCATCCACAGCAAATTGCTCCCTCTCTTGCTTTTGTTCTGCATCCTTTTACCTTTCTTCAAGCTGCTTCTTTCTAACCCCAAAACCCATTATAGGCTTCAAAAAACACAGATGAAAGTTAAGACAAATACTTTTTTTTAGTTGGATTCTCACTCTGCTGCCCAGGTGGGGGTGCAGTGGCACGCTCACGGCCATTGCAACCTTGACCTGCTGGGCTCAGGCAATCCTTCCACCTCAGCCTTTCAAGTAGCTGGAACTACAGTTGTGTGCCACCATGCCCAGCTAAGTTTTTGATTTACTGTAGAGATGAGCTGTTGCCAAGTTGCCTGGGCAGGTCTCCAACCCCTGGGCTCAGGCAATCCTCTTGTCTCCACCTCCCAAAGTACTAGGATTACAGGTGTGAGCTACCGTGCCCGGCAAGACAAATACTTTTAAACTCAGAAACAGTGAAACATTTTATAAATAAAGTCTGAAGCAATTTTGAGAAAAATATGGCCTAACACTTGCTGTTTTCTCACTGGATCTCCGCCTCAGTCATTCTGGATCTTCTTCATAGGGACACAAGCAGTTCCCTGTTGGTCAGTCTCCTGAATGGGACTAAAGACCATCAAACAACTGTACAAACTCCCAACTCCACATCTGACCTCTGCTTGCTCAACCCCTCTCTGGTTCCAAAAAACCACTGAGAATGTTCAGAGGAAGCACAATGGGGAGCTGCCTGGGGAAGATGTAGGAGTGCTAAGGAGCTACTGAGGCTTTGACTGTGAGATGTGACAATGAGGGTGAGGTCAAAGGCTGCTGCAACACCTTATCTGTCCAGTCTCCAACACCTATAGAAAGACACGGTAGTAGCCTCCTAAAGGGTAACAGCATGGCTAACAAGCACACTCAGGCCCCAACCCTGACCTACACACACACACACACACACACACACACACACTCTGCCAGGAATGGATGCCTGAGAGCCCTACTGGCCAGAGCCCAGGCTGGACATGCCAGGCTCTCAGTGCTTGGCCTTACTGACAATGCTTCCCCACATCTCACGTCTCTTGCCATACTCTGGTGTGCACACAGCCATGAAGCAGTCACATGGAAAGGGAACCTCGTGGCTGCATTGTTGACTCTTTTCTCCGAACTGCCTGGGTCTTGTAGCACTCACTTGTGACCTTACACGGCATGATCCAGCCACAATGGTGATTTCTTCCTAAAGTGACAGCAAAACCAAGAGCCAGACCATATGGGAAGGAGCAGCAGTGTGAGACTTCTCTGGGAGGCTGGCATATAGCCTTTCAGGGAATGCTCCCACCTGCTCCTGCCTCCACTGGGCCACAGGAAGATAAAGCTGAGGAGAATGGCACCCATGTGATCCCAGGTGTCCGCCTCTGGTCCACTTCAGTGTGGCTTAAATCCACCACCCTAGGAATCTGCTTCCAAGAAATTCCAGAGCCAGAGAGACTCCACCATTAGACACAGTAAACCTGTTCTTGTCAATGTGATGGAGACCAGGAGAGATAACAAATTGAGATTAATCAAGGAAAAATGCAGACTAAATTCGGAACAGGTGAATTTTTTTTTTTAGAATATAGGTAATAAAAAATTTCCACTATTTCAATATAAAACTTCAGTACCAACAATAACATGAATGCTCATCATGCATGTTAAATCACACAGAGATACTGAAAACCTTGCCTCCTTTCCAGCCTTTTCCCCTCCTCTGGTGCCCTGAAAACACTGGCTTCCTCTTTGTGCTTCCCTCCTGGCAGGAGGCTGAGCTCACACTCCCCTGACTCTGCTCTCCTCTCTGGAGAGAGGGCTTCCCATCAGCACTATCCCAGTCACGCCCTCCACTTCACTTCTGCGATGAACCACCTCACCTCCTCCCAAAACATCAACCTCAACTTGCTTAACACCAAAGTCACACCAGCCCCAGGTCTTTCCCTCCCATTGCTTCCACCTTCCCGTTGCCTTCAGAAGATCCAGGTGTCACCACCCACCACTCACCCCCAGGCACCACCTGCCTCAGCATGATCAGATCCTGCCCCCCAGGCAGATGGAACCCTCTGGGGGATCACTGTCTCCATCTTCAACAGAGGACAATTGTCATCAGAGCCACATCTCCTTCAGAGCTTCCCATCACTTGGGCCGTCCCACTGTTTGGACACAAGTCACATCTTCCATGGCTTGTTGGCTCCATCCACTTCCCCCTCTAGGTCCTGCAAGTGTGCAAAGGTCTTGTATCTTCACATCCCTCTGGATTCACACACCTCTCTGTTTTAATTAGGACAGTGAAGAGCAGCCTCATTCTCCCCCACTTGCCCAGCCTTACAGGTTTTCCTTTGACTTTTCCCCTCTATTTCTCCAATTAGTCACCACAGCAGGTCAACTGCTCCCCACCCACCCCTAAGTGCTCTGCTTTTTACTCCCGTCGCCACCTGTTCCAGCCGCTAGTTATTGCGTGTTGTCACAACATCCCATCCTCCCATCCTTCAACCTGTCCTCAACTCTTTCCCAATTTGTATTTCCAAAGAGGAGTGTGCATCCTGCCGGGAAAACTTCCATCTTCCTTCACCTAAAGCAATGCTGCTCAGGGCCGGGTCTCAGCCCTCCCATCACTCTGCCCATTGTTGCCAGCCTAGTTCACAATGTGGCAGCAGGGAAACTGAGAGAAGCAACTGGAAATTCCTTCTAGGGTTTGCTGTTACTGCCACCTCCCAGCGCAGACTTGGTGGACTTTCTTCCTTGAGCAAAGTGGAGGCCAGTTTGGGTGCTGGTGACCACGTGGGGTGGGAACTGGGACTGTGCTCAGCAGAACTCACAGTCCCAGAATTGAAAAGTCAAGTTTCAATTGAAAATTGAAATTCACAGTCCTGTGCCTCACAGAATTGAAAAGTCAAGTTTTTTCACTGCAGATATTTTGGGGGGCCCTGATCTGTCTCCTCAGTCTGGCTTTCCCTACCTTGCTAACTGCTCCCAGCCAGGATCTGCTTATGACCCCTGATCTCCCTCAGCCTTTGCCAAGTATCGCTCCCCAGGATGCCCACTTTCTGCACCTGTGAGCACACTCTCTTTTTCAGGGCCCCTCTTTCATGAAGTCCACTCTGGTAGAGGTGACCTCTCCCTTTTCTAACCAACATTCTTCACCACTTGTCCATCCACCATGCACCGAGCACCTGCTGCAGATACCTCTTTCATGCCCTCTGACAACCTCCCTTCCTTTCTGGGTGATGGGCCCCAAGAGGCAGAGTCACATATTCTCTTGACATCCTGGCACTGAATGCACAGTGGGTGCACCGAAAGATTTTCTGAAAGTGGAAGGAGTTTTTCATTGATTGTCTTGCCAGCATTTGAACATCGTTTTTTTCTCTCAGGGGAATTAAACATTTCTCTTAAAATCATATATATATACACACACACACATATATATATATATAACTGGAGTTACAGATTATGAGCTCTTGCTCCAAGGCTGGTGAAAAGAGTCGGTTTCACTGGGCCAATAGAATAGGAAGTCAGCTAACCTTGGCAAGGGCAGTATAGTTCCCACACTCCAGCACGTGGCTTGGAAGGATGAGGGTCTGTCTGTGAGTATCGATAGCAGCAGGGAGGGGAACAGGGGACCCCTCAGAGTTCATCAAGTGCCAGGTGTAAGAAAGGCCTTGGGAAATGTCACAGAGGACAGCAGCTTCAAACGTCACTCCCAGCCTTACAGACTGAGACCTCCATACCTAAGTATTGAAAAGAGAAGAAGTCACATTGAAATGTGCGTTGTTTCTAATGCCATGGTAAATTACAAGAAATCTACTCTAAACTGTAAAGCTTCCATTATTTGTTTGCATAATTACAGAATGGGATTCTTAGGGCTGGACTTCAAACAGCACCAGAATACTACATCTGTTTTATAGACAAAAATAAAAAGTAAAAAAATAAAAACAAGAAAAATAAGTAAACATTTATACTTATATACTCATAATGAGAAAAAACTTTCTATGCATAAAATTAATGAAAAATATCTATGCAAAAGGTTAGTGAATTTTACTCTCCCAGGTTTCAGTACCAACAAAATATATGGGTGTATGTATACATATATATAATCAACCAATAGAAAAAAAGGAAAATGATTTGCAATATACATGATAGATATTTGCTTTCTCAAATTACTGAAATTTTCTGAAGTCAATCCCAGAAATCAGGCCATTTAACCTCCAAATAAAAAACTAAAGGCATTTCCTTACATAAATACATGCTATTATCTCATCTTAAGAAGTAACAATAATTTCTTAATATAATCTAAACCTAGTTTATAATTAAATTTCTCTTATTGTCTCCAAAACATATTTTTATGTAATTGATTAATTTGGGATGCACAAAAGTTCTTTTGCTAAAAAATAAAATTTTCTCATAAACTAGGAGTGTACTATAACTATAACCCATACTATAGTTTGTTGAAACAAGAATAAATGTTTAATTATTTCCCTTAATTACCAAGGCTCAAAGTGAGAAGTTGAGGCATTAGCTCCTTCCAATGGCAACCCATGGGTTGGGTGTGTCTACCTGTTTTGGGGAGACAGGGGTAGCTTCTCTCTCCTTTGGCACAATTGATTTTTAAAATATTACTATTATTCATTTAATTGTAGACATTATCTTTTAGATGCTCAAAGTGATCCAGTTGGGGCCTGGGGGAGTCTTCTTTGGCCTGGCTCTGTCTGCCTTCTGAAACAACCCGCTGGTCCTTGAAAGTGAAAGGTTTGTTGCACTTCTCTTTCTATTTATACTTACACTTAAAAAAAATGTAATACAAGATTTTTAAATGTAAGTAGTAGTTAATAAATATATTAAAACATATTGGCTGACATTAATAAGCCAAAAAGGACAATGACACAGGGGACATATTAGCACCTTCCCACCCACAACCCTCATCCCTCCCAGCTACTCTGCCTTTCTGAAGCTCCTTCCCCACCCCCTACCCTGGGCCTGATGTTACTGGAATCAGATTTGTCCATGAGCCTGGATGCCAGGGGGGCTTAGGAGCTCTGCGTAGCCAGTGGCATGGTCACCCTGGGACAAAAACTGGGTCCAAGGACTCCCTCTGGAGGGAATTGAGAAATGGGATTTTACAAACTTTTGGTGCTCATTGTAACTGGCATTTTACCTTTGACATCCTTCAAGTGACTTTAGTCATAATTTACCTTTCAATTATTTTTATTGTTTGTACTCTTAATATAACATCATTCTAGGGCTTGTCACAAAACTACCCAGTTTTATATGGGCTACAGCAAATTTTAGTAATGAGATGACAATTTTTAGCCCACTAATGATAACGAACATTAAAAAATACAAAAATCCTGGTGGGAGTGAGATTTGGCTCCTCAACGCTGACACATGTTGAGTTGCCCCAAGGAAAACACTGCTGGGCTTGTTGAGACTCCAGGAAAGGCACTGTGTCTTGTGGTTCCACAACTTATAGGAATTATTCCCATGGACTTGCAGAACAACCTGCATGCAGAGTGTCATCACCAAGTATTTATAGTGACAGAAAGCTAGATACAACTAATATCCAATCATGAGGACATTGTAAAATGATGTATAATTAGGACATATGATTTAGCAGTTTGCTGCCAATAAAATCATGTCATCAAAAGCCTATTCATTAATGAGAGAAGTTGGTTACGCTGTAACCCAGTTTTGTGGCAAAAAGACCAAACACATGTGCATGTACACACACACACACCCCATATATAAAAAGCCTTAGAAAAATACTGAAAATAAACATATCAGATGATTAACAGTGAGATTATCTCCTGCTGGTTGGATTTCAGATAATTCCTTTTTTTCCTTATACTTTTAGAAAATTTGCAAAATCAAGGGCAAAGAAAAATGAAATTATCAAGATAGTTTTCTCTGTTTTATAAATAATGAACTGAAAGTAAACATGTTTTACAGATTTTAAAAACTCTTTCAAAAAAGACTGTGTCCTGTGCTTTGACCTAACAGCAGAGTCAGGATTCGAGCCATCTTGCCTGGGGTCTGTGCTTTGCCTGACTGTGGCCTCCCCTTGTCCATGCTCTGTGCTCTTCCTGGCTGTGGCCTCATTGTTTTGGTCAATCCCCACACCCAAGAGAGCACATTCCCCAGTGTGCAGAACTGCCCAACAGCATGGGTACATGCTGGCCTGAAGACTCTGTGAGGGCCTGGGACATTGCATGTAGCATCTGGGACATCTGACCCCTGCTCACTGGCCTCCACAGCCATGCTCTGGGGGTGTCAGGACCTGAGACTCAAAGGGGCTGACCTCAAGAGATCAGATGCCACAGAAAGCATTTTGGCAAATATAGCTCGTGGATGTTAATGCTCCTGTGTCCTTTGAGCACATTTGCCCTGATAAGGAAAGTTTGCTCTAAATCAAATTCCTCAAAGGAATGAAAGAAATAAGAGGCAGCTGTATTTTTTCTAACCACAGTTGGTACTCAACAGATCATTTCCTTTAATTCTGATGTCACACATGTTCAAATTTTCCATTCTCCTGAAAATGCTATAGTTCTTAGCACAACTCCTCCCAAAAAAGAAACTCCCCAAAGCAAGCTATGGAGAATGCTAAAGTAATACAATATAGGTAGCTAAAAGATATATTCACATGCCAGACCCCAAAAACTTGGCTGTCCCCTCCCGCTCAGGCTGGGTAGACCTGCCCCCCGATGAGACCTGGGCCACCCATTCTGAAGCCCTTACAAGTCCTTACAGGCACTCCACACTCTTACGTGAACTGCAACAAGATAAACCCAACAAAGCCTCCCTTCATTTGTTCCCCAAAGCTCCCACCATTCCAGAGCTCCCAGTTCAGAGGGACGTTGAAAGGAGGGTGGTGAAGGATTTCCCAGGCCCTGGACCTACCTGGATCTTCTCAGGCCCCAAGTTCTTCACCGGGGGCGGCTGGCAGGGCTCACGCACGATGAAAAGTTGCTTTCTGAGGGTGGCAGCACTGATGTTATTGAAGGCAAGGACCTCCACTGTGAATTGTCCTTCCCTGGGAGGGCAGAAAGCACGAAATGACCAGATGGATGCTGCTGGATGCTGGGCTTTCATTCACTCGTCATAACCATCCCATACCTGCAGGATCATAGTCATTGGTAGAAGTCAGACCCAGGGATAGGAATATAAGAGGCAAGGGTCATGAGGCTGGTTTCCACAGAGGCCATTCATCATCCAGCTGACAAGCTGGCTACTCACCCAGCGTGGGTCAGGCCAGGTACCAAGCTCCCAGCCTGTTTTCTCATGCTGTATTCAAACAGCAATATGTGAGGACATACTGCGTCCCTCTTTGAGCAACTCTCCTGACAGCCACAGCCTGATCCCCTATTGACCAGAGCTGACCCACAAGTTTTCCCTGGGAGCTTCTGACCATCATTTTTCTATTATATTCCCTGCTCCATGGATCAGTTTTCGTGACCAATTTCTTGGGATCCTACAAACTCAGAAGGAAGATAGATTCACAACCTGGACATGAGGCTTGGTCCTGGGGGAGGGCAGTGGGTCCCAGCCTTAGGAGATGCAGGATGGGGGAGTGTGAGTTGGACAGTTTCTGACCCAGCAGGTAGTGCTTCACTAAGGAAATCATGCTTGCTTTGCAAATGATGCAAAATGGTTACTCACTGAAGACTTCTGAATTTAAAGCAGAAGGTCCTGGGGGCGGAAGGGGGGATAAAATAAAACAGGAGTCCCATCAGAGGACCACAAATCTGAGTTTGCATGACGCTATCCTGGAGCTCCAGTAAGAAAGAGGTCCCGCTGATGGAAATGAAAGCTGTGTGGTTGTCTTGGGTCGTCAGAGAGCACAGGGCACACTCCAGAACTGGCAGTGGAGGCACAGATCAAGCCATGCCATTTCCACAGGGCAAAGAGAGGGCTCCTGGAGCTACAGAGCACCCTGCCAGGTACCTGGGCTCCAGGCGCCACCTGAGCATGCAATAATCTGCCAGGCATGGTTGCTCGATTCTTTCCTCATGTGCAAATCGATTTCCAGTGGAGGCCATTCAGGAATCTGCAGTGTGGGTTCTCTCGGAAACCCTGCACAGGAGAAGGTTTGTCGCTCCCCACATGAACATCATTTTCTGGATACCTCTGCCACAGTGGTATTTCTGTGCCAGCACAAAGACTTCATGCCAGGCTGAGGCTCAGCGTGACCATGCTTGTCTCCGCACAGCTGCGAGAACTGGATGACCGCTGGGAGGACTCGACCTCTGAGGTCCTAGAACTTGGCCCAAACAGAAGCTTGGCTGGGAATGATTGGTCCTGCGAGTCTGCACTTTATCCTAGCTCCATAATGCTGTCTCAGGTAAACAGTGAGCACTCAGCAATTGCAGGATTAAAGGATACATTTCCACACTTCAGTATGACACCGAGACACTTTACAATCTGCCTGCCTGCCTTCATCCCACCCGCCTACACACATCTTACCAGTTACGCCAAACGACACTGGCACCTCCCCTCGAGCTTTGCCTGGGCCCTTGTCCCTGTCTGGAATCTCCTCCCCACATTTCCCTTCGGCAAACTCCTACTCAAGATTTCACTGTCAGTTCATATGTAAAGGCCGCTGTGAGTTGTGTCCCCAGTTTCCACAGGAGTATCACCAGCAGCATGCAGCCTCTGTACGGAAGGTATCTCTTTCCCTCTTTCCGTGGACTATAGGTTCTTTGGGAGCCATGGTTGGATCTCATATGTCTCTGTGTAATTTGTCACCTACATCGATGGGAAGGCATGGCTGCTGTGGGGAACCAAGGGCAGCTGACCTTGAGACCTGACTCCCCTGCTGTCTGCAGAGAACTTCCCTGACCCGCAGCAGCTCACCTTCTGTAGACATGACTGCTGGAGCTGCTCCCCGCGCTGAGGGTGCCATCCCCAAAGTCCCATATGTAGGCGACATCCGTGCCAAAGTTGATCCTGCACTCAAAGGTCACGCTGGCATTTACCAGAGCTGAAGAGGGGGATGTGAGCCGATTGGCCACGACTCTCCTTTGCGCTCTGACAAGGTGGGGTTTAGAGACCATGCTGCTGACCTTGTTGGATGCCCGGACCATCACAAGATACCTGGCGAGGCGAAGGGGTGGGAAAGGCAGATGGCGAGACACGAAAGGGGTCAGTACTGGAGAGAGCTCCCACTGTACTTCAAGAGAAGGCAGAGGAGGGGGTGGGGGCAGTGGCATTTAATTTGTAAGAATTATCACAGTTCCCAGTAATTTTCATCTCATTGAGGAAAAGGGGGAGTGATATTTTGACCATCCCCTTTTCATTATTTAATTCATTTCACAAAGCATTGGGGGCAAGGATCATTGCCCTTCCTTAGTAAGGAGTTTCTGAGGTCACAGGGTGGGATTTGAACCTAAGACTGTCTGGTCTCAAAGTCCTACACTTTTTCACTTTCAAGCTGAAGGGAAGTGAGTTCTTCCTTTAAATACATTATTTTATTTCAATTCACAGAGGGACTTAATGGCTCATTGTAATACAAATGTAATGCCCTTAAAATGATCACTAGTGGCTTGGTAATCTTTAGACTGAGGGTAGGATGCAATTAGAAACAGCTGCCCATCATCATGGCCATTTTTACGGACCACTGGGGGATGCTGAGTCTTCTTTTAATGCTTCTTAAAGTTGTCCTCACTGGTGGATCTGCTCCAAAATACCACACAAATTCCAGGCGTGTTGTTTCCTTCGTAACAGCTTCAAAGGTGATATCCATGTCTGTGGCAAATACAGTTCCATTTGTGTACACAGAGACGGCTACAACAAAAGAAAGGGAGGCATGGCTATGGCAACACGTAAGAGCTGGAATCCCTCCAGAGAAATTCATACCTCAGCTTTCCTGTCTAGTCATGGACTTTAGTGATGGGTAATGAGCCTCCAAATATGAATGCCAGACAGTGCCAAGGAGGCAGCTGCAGGGACCTGGCAGGCAGTGCTGGCCCGAGTCCAAAGGCCATCATGTTAACAGCTCATAAGGCCATGGGCCAACTCCTTTCGAAAGTCTGCTAGACAGGGCATGGTATGTGGAGCTGGCAGATGACTGTCCCTGGAACTCACCTTCTCATTCTTTTAGATGGGAGCCTAATGCCTATGGTTTTCAGAAAAGTCTTGTAACAAACTACAGAAAGAAACTGTTTGAGGGCAAATGGGGATCTCAGGCAGAGCTGATAACAACTTAGTGCTGTCTGTGACTTTCCTGATTTCAACTGACCGAGTGAGGGAGATTTTGGGAGTTCAAACAAAAACGTACGTTGCATCTTATACCAAACAGGCACGCTGGACCAAGCCTGGCTGTCACTCACTTGGCTTTGAGAAATAAAGGACACATTATGTGAAGGAAGAGATGGAAAATGATGTACACCAAGAGTGCCTAAAATGAGAAAAAAAGAAAATAAGAGAAAAATGGTATTAAAATTAATTCACTTATCTCAAGCAACACATGGCCAGTATGTTTCATTTTTAACTTTTCCACTATAAATTTTAATACATTTTAAAATATTAAGCATGGGCTCTGAACTCAGACAATCCTGGGAAACATTACCCTAGTCACAAAATTTATCTCATTAAAATTTTATTTTAATGTTTTCTCTATTTCTCCCAAGAAATCCCTACACATAGCAGTAAATATGTTAATGCCTTTGAAATATGTCAATTATTTTGCTGTTGACCTTGCTTTTAAAGTATTTAAGTTGACCCTGCTTTTAAAGTATTTATTCAATGTGTACACTAAGTAGACTTCACTTCATGGAGGTTCTTAAATGGAGGTCCAAAGATAAGCCTTATTCATTTAAGCCCTATAAAGTATAATGCAAGATTTTACATATGTGTACACACACACACACACACACACACACACAAACAACACACACATCACAAACACACCATACATTCACAACACACACATCACAAACACACCATACATTCACAACACACACATCACAAACACACCATACATTCACAACACACACACACACCATTAAACCACACAGAGCACATACCCCACACAGATATACATCACATCTAAACACACTCCACACCCACACAACATACATACAGACCTCATTGAATTACCCTTTTTCCTGTTTCTGGGAAATGTGACCCCATCATTCTGTGGGATTATCTCTGGCTGGTTCCCTACTTGCTCTGTAGTACATAGTATTGGAACTCTTTCTACACAGTAAGTGTCTGAAGTTCCCCATTCCCATCTCTATTGGCTTCTGAGCTTCTGGTCCCTCCTCTATAAAATTGATATGAAGGGAAAACCCTCCCTCAACGGTAGCTGTGAAGATGAAGGGAGGTGACACAAATGAGTAGCACCTGGCAAACTCAAGTCAGCATGCGACGCTCTGTCTCAGCTCTGTGCACCTGGTCCTGGCCACGCCGTCTGCCCAAAACATCCCTCCTACAGGGCCAGCTCACATTGCAAGGCTCATCATGGATGCCAACTCCTGCCTCAGGTATGTCTTGTCCCCAAAGCTAGACATCGCTCCCATTTCCTAAAACCTCCTAGCCCTTGGCCATGCCCTTCCTGAGCATTTTTTATGTCCTGTCTCATATTTTTCATATGCATGTCTTAATGCCTTTACTAGATGATAAATTCCTTGGACTTGGACTTTGTACGACTTCGTTGTTGTGCCCTTCCCCACAGAGCACAGTGGTCCCAAGAAATGTTTTCTGAATGAGGGAAGAATAAACGATGGCTGTTGTATCGAATTTAGAACTGTGATAACTTGAATGGTAAGTGAAAGCAGAGGGTCCTGCTTCATTTATAGCCGAGGTCTGGTTGCTCAGACGCCAGACAGAGTCTTACTTTGGGAGGCAGCAAAGGCAAGAACGTCATCCTCGTGAACGCTACTGGAGTTCATGAACACAGACACAGTCTCACGGCCAACTTCCACATAGTAGGGTCCAAGTTCCATTTCGGTTCCACGAGACTCATTATAAAGAACAGCCTTGAGCGCATAGACGCCATCTGGAAAAGGAAGAGAGAACGGCCATTTGATGTTTAGAAGCTGGCATAATGGTTAATATTTGTAGAGTAGTCGTAATGGGGTGACTCATGTAGGAAGTGATATAGTAAAGGTGATTTTTCTTATCTCTTGTAGTAGCAGGGCCATTTCATGGGTGTAAGACCCACACAGTCGGACAGAGCCCCACACTCAACAATTCTGTGTGACTTAATGCTCTGTTGTCTTGAAATTCTTAATTTTTTTAGCAAGGGAACTTGAATTTTTTTTTTTTTTTTGAGTTGGAGTCTCTCTCTGTCGCCCAGGCTGGACTCCAGCGATCCTTCTGCCTCAGCCTTCCAAGTAAGTGGAACTGCAGGCACGTGCTACTGCACCTGGCTAATTTTTGATTTATTGTAGAGACGGGGGTCTCGCCAAGTTGCCAGGGCTGGTCTCAAACCTATGGACTCAGGCAATCCATTCACCTTGGCCTCCCAAAGTGCTGGAATTACAGGCTGAGCCACCGAGCCTGGCAGAACTTGAATTTTTATTTTCCACTGGACCCCAAGAATTGTGTAGCTAATCCTGTGTAGCAGGAAATATTCATAAGGATGAAAATAGAGACTAGTCATTGTACAGCTATGCAAAAAATTTTTAATAAACAGCCAAATGGGAATATAGCAAAGAACTATTATAGCATATTACAAAAATGACCCCGATCCTTACCTTGTTTTCACACCTTTACAATATGACTGCAATATAACTTTGTGGATCCTCTCATTAAGTGGTCAGCCCATTTTTTTCACCCCCCCAAACTGGTGCCAGTCTTGTGGCCAACAGGTTTGCAAAGCGTTTGCACATTTGGGCTTGCCCTCTCTTACCAGTCTTGGGACCCTGTTATTGCTACCAGGTGAAGGGGCCTGATGACGGATGAGAAAACACATGACTGATTTGCCCCCATGGCCCCAGCATAGGGCCAACCATCTTCAGGAGAAGAGCCACCTGGCTGACTGGCAGCTGGTTGCAGATCCTTGAGTATGCCCATCTGAGAACAGCCCAGACCCAAAGAACTCCCAGCAGAATGGTGAGCTAAGTACAGGGCTGTGTGTTAAGACTTTATGTTTGGGGCAGTTTGTTAACACAGCAAAAGACTACTGATACAATTCCACTGAACTGGAGAGATCTTGGCAGTTCTCTAGCCCAAACCCCCACACAATATTCTTAAATTGTGCATTTGATCATGCCATTCCCAGCCTGAAGATGTTAGGGATTCCTGATGTGTCAAAGAAGCACATCTGTAGCTGAGTCCTTCACCTCGAGCTGGGCTGGTTCCAACCACAATCCCTGCCTCCACCATGCCCACACCTGACTCATCTTCCACATAGAACCACATTTTACTTTTCAGATACCACTGTCTCTATCACAAACCTGCCCCATGTGCACAGCTTTCTCAGTTTCCAGCGTCCTTCCTCATGTCTCCATCTGGCCAACTCTCACATACCATGAGCTGCTCTGAATGACCCAGGCAGAATCTGTGGCTCCACACAGTATCTGAGCACAGAAGCTGGGTTGTACTTCCCTCTCAGACTTACTACTCTCTCTGTCTTCCCTGTCTCAAAACCTTATCACAGAACATTTATTAGATACACAGCACATGCTTATTCACATGTTTATGAATAATCAGTCAAGTTTTACAGAATGAAATACTGAAGCTCAAAAGGTTAAACAATTGTCCTAGGCATAGAGTACGCAGTGATTTCTCAGGAATTAAGGCAGTCTTTTCTTTCTTCACTTTCTGTGTTCAAATTATATGGGATAAGTATATGGATCTAGGAAAGTTGCAAGAAGTCACATAAAACATAGGAAAGAGGGAATGACTTTAAAGAGCAAAGCGTATCTCTGAAGAAGAGTAGCGAACACAGTGGCAAACAAGAGCATTTGGGAATATTGTGCAGAGCAGAGGCCAAAGAGAAGGGCATCCAATACTATCGCATACAAGAAATTGTACACTTTCCCAAACTATATTCTCACTGGGAAGCTGTATCTTAAATGCTGAGACATCACTTATAGCTTTATTACAATTTTCTTCTATACTACTTCTCATAACTGTGTTCAAAAATATTCTGCACATGGATTTTGATGACAAGTAGAAAGTAAAATGGACACCAATGCAGGTTGCCACACTCACAGAAACCAGGATGTAATGAAGAGTTGTGCTATGTGCTTTATCTAAAAGGTGTATTTCATGATCACAAGTGAGAAAGTCAGTTTATATAATAATAGCTAAGCATACCTTCTAGGAACTTAGAGGAATTTGGCATTGGAACTCTGTGTGACCCAATCTTAGACATACGTTACTTACAAGTTAATTTAGACTTAATCCCTAATAGAAAATATAAGACTAATTCCTTATTTTATTCTTAAAGCAACAAATAAATCAATGGGCATGTACTAAAATTATTAATGCTTAGAATTAATAGAGAAAGTTCTGATTTGAACATGGAAATATAGCCAACCTTCCATTTAATCTTCTAGGAATTACTCTAAAAGCTAAAAGGAAAACAGTGAACAAAAATAAAAACTCTATTTTTCTTTCTTTCTTTCTTTCTTTCTTTCTTTCTTTCTTTCTTTCTTTCTTTTTTTGTGAAACTAGGAGGTAGCTAGCATGATCAGAATACAAAACAGATGCAAGAACTGTTAAAGCAGCAAATCTCAAGCATGGATGAGCAGGCATCATACTGGAAGAAGAAAAGAGAAGAAGCCCTGAAATGATAATTCAGTGGCCAAAGGGTTCCATGGCAATGAATGTTATCAACACAGGTACGTGTGTACATGCAAAACACACACACACCTCACATGCAAAATGTCAGTCCAGAAAAAAGCAACTATTTCAATTATGAATGATGTGAATAAAGAAAGAGAAAGAGAAAGGAAGTGAGGAATAAAGAGAGCGGAAAGACCATTCAGAACATACAGATACTATGAGAGTTAAGAAGGGAAATTAGGGAGATACTCATAATAGATTAAGATCATTTAAAAGAAAAACTTTGTTCACAGGAAGATAAAAGGATTTGACAACTTGAGGAATCATTAGCTTCTGAAATGCAAGACCAGAGAGCAAAATGAAATCAATGAAGACAACATTTCAGAGAGTAAAAGAGAACAGAAACTGCAGAATGAGAAAGGGATTTAGTAAGTCCTGTACATACAAATGAGTTCCATTCTGAGAGTATTCGTAAGTCAAATTTATTTGTCAAGTCCATCAAAGTTAGCTTACATACCCAAATAACACAGTCAGCTATATAATACTATACTGTAATAGGTTTATAAAACTTTTCACACAAATAATACATTAAAAAATAGAGAAAACATTTTAAATCTTATAGTACAGTACCTTGAGAAGTTTATGCTTACATCTGAACATCCTGAGCTTGATATAAAGATACTGTACTACTGTACTCTATACAGTACTGTAAAGTTCACAAAAGCACAACCACTTGTAGAGGATACACACATGTGACAATATCTGCCAGGCATGTGAACTAACTTACAAGATTGGACATCTTTGAAAGTTTGCAACTTGAAGGTTCATATGTAGGGGACTTACTGTATAGGGGAAAAACAAGTACAGGCAAGATGAAATAAAAATAAAGGAGAAACAGAAAAGATTAGAAAAGAAAAAAGAGGTCTAACACATGCATGACTAGTCTCCCCAAAAGAAAGCTGACATATTAGAACAGAAAAATATTTAGAGATATAATTAAAGAAAACTTCCCTGTACCAAACGACTACAGTGCATAGCTATACATGGAAAAGATTTACTGGGTGCCAGAGAACGCTGACCTGGAATGGTCAATACTGAGATGTGTTTTAGTAAAACTGCTGGAGTTGACATAGAAAGAAATACTTCTTTTGGTAGTCAGACAAAAACATTAAGTCATGTATGGTGGGGGAAAGGGAATGTTGACCTTCGAATCATCACAGGATAAGAAAGCTTGAATGGAGAACTACATGAAGGGTTTCTTCAGACACAGAGTTCACTGCCTGAATTTCTGATTCAGTAGGTCAGGGTGGGGCCTAAGAATTTGTATTTCAAGTCAGTCTCAGGTGGTTAAGATGCTGCTAGCCCACTGCTGCAGAAAAGAACAAAGGGGAGAACAGCCAACATCCTTAGGAAAAGAACAGGAGGAGTTAAGAGCCTGCAAATTGTCATTCAAATATAATGGCAGCAAACAATTTTGAATATGCAGGAACCTGGAGAAGTTGAATATGCAGGAACTTCTTCCATGAGTCTCTTATAAAATCCACTAGAGGACAAACCTCAGTGAACCAAACAGGAACACTTTGGCCAAAGGACGAAAAAAGAGGACTAAATTTACTGAATTCTAGAACCAGAGCTAAGACAAATGTGAAATGCAGGTGACAGAAAAAAATGTAAGCATCATACATCTGACAGTGCAGACATTATACAGCAAACCAAAACTGGGAGAGAAAGAGCCAAAGAGGTGGGAGTCGTAGGATAATGAAGCCTAAGTACTTGCTGGAAATCAAAAGCCATGTAAATTCAGGAAACCAATTAAGAAAGGAGTGTGATACACTAGAGAATAAATAAGAATATGAATAAAGGTCATTCAAGTGACAAAATTGGTGATAAAGAAGAGGGAGGGGAAGGAGAAGAAGGGTGGAATATGCTAATTTCATCATTGCCCTTAGTAGGAAATGAAAAGATACTCCAAAGAGACAGAAGGATAAGGGCTTTTATAAATCAAAGGGATCAACTAAAACAAGGCCACAGGCCTTACAAGTACCAGAAGGTCAACTCAGACAAACACATAGCAGAAGATAAAGGCTATTTAATGAAGTGTATTTTAAAATACATGCAGAACCTATAATGTAAAATATGGACAGATAAGACCAAACAGGTGGCATCTCAGTACAGACGAATTAACTAAATTCATCTACCTAAAATAAAAATTATCATTATGGCTTACGCAGCAAAGCCAATACCAGTGTAGAAACAAGATGTTTCTAAGATGGTGATTCCAAAAGGTGGGGGATAAAAGAACACCCCAAATTGTGGCAGGCTGTGTGATGAGGGAGAACGACTCTCAAGCTGCAGGGGCCTACACGTGCAGGACACAGCAGAACACACAAAAGGAAGAGGCTTGGGTCACCTGGGTTATTAAAGGAATGAGGATGTATAGTGACAAGAAAGAGTAAAGAGGGACAGAGCCATCCCTCTCAGGACAGGAGGCAGCCGCTTGGGAGGATCACCCCAAATCCTGATCCTGGATCACATCTTACACAGTTTTCCTCTCTCTCTCCCTCCACCCCTTCCCTTCCCCCTCCCACTCTCTCTCTCCCTTCCCCTCCTCCTCTCCCTGATGGGCCTTTCCCATGGGTGAGGTGCAGTGTGGTTGTGAAGAACAGAGAAGAGGGTGGGCAGAGGGGCTCGGCAGGCAGATGGAAGGCACATGGAGCCAGTCCACACTCACCGTGCAGGAGGGTCTCAGACTGTAACTCACCTTAACCTGCTAAGCAGCCACGAATTTTCTTTCCTAACACTGCCCACCTTTTAAGCCACAAAAACAACCTCAGAATAAAAAAAAAAAAAATCAAGGCCCACATGGTGGCTCAACTGGTTATCCCAGCACTTTGGGAGGCAGAGGTGAGAGGATTGCCCAAGCCCAGGAGTTCAAAGCCAGCCTGGGCAACATAGTGAGACCTCATCTCTACAATAAATCAAAAAGTTAGCCAGGCAAGGTGGTGTGTGCCTGTATTTCCAGGTACATGAAAGGCTGGGGCGGAAAGATGGCTTGAACCCAATAGGTCAAGGCTGTGGTAGCCATGAGCATGCCACTGCACTACAGTCTGAGTGACAGACTCTGACTCAAAAAAAATAGTAAAGAAAAGATTTTCTTATCATGCTACATTAGGACTAGAGATTAATAATGAAAGCAGTTCACAGAAAGGACCGCATGACGTGAAAATATTAAAATGTAAATAATAAATAATTTAAGTACCCGAGAAAGAAGAGAAATTTTATTTGAGAAATGCAACCTTTCTTCTAAATTAACAGGCCCAGAGAGGCATAGGGATGAAACAGCAGTCACCAATTTAGGGGAAGTAATCCTCTCTTGAAACTGCTGTCTATCCTTACAATTAGCTGTAAATTAAACTTAACAATGCCATAAGCAGGACACCATACACACATACATACAAGGTGTAGCCAGTCACTAGTCGATGTTACTCCTGTAAACCACTGACGATTCTGACCAACAACTTTGTAATAGCCCACTCCTTGTCCCACTCAACCCCCATTTGCCTTTAAAAACCTGCTTGTAACAAAAGTCAAACAGAGCTCATATCCAAGCTTAGTCTTTCTGGCAGCTGTCCTCATTTTGGCTCAAGCAAACTCTTTAAAATTATATTTTATGCCACAGCTGCTTCTTTGAAGTGGACATATTCAAGTCAAATAGAAAACAAGGATAAAAATGCTTAAATGCTTATAGAATATAATTTTTAAAAAGCAGAAATTAATAAACTAGTGGGAAAATGTGGAACAAACAAAATTCAAAAGCCAGTTCTTAAAATAATGAAAATCTATCCAAACTAAACAAGAAAAAAACAGAGAAAGAATAAGCCATAAAATAAAAAGGATAGAAGGAAATAACCACAGACACCAATGAAAATTAAAGAACCACAGGTACCTACTTCGTGAAAATAAATTTGAAAACCTGGATTAAATAGATAATATTCTAAGAAAATATAACTTTGAAGATCTAACTAGAGGAGAAATAAAAAGTCTCAATGGATGAATTTTCATAGAAAAGAAAGAAGAAGGTCAACAAGGTACTCTAAGGCAGTAAGCAAATGATACCCGTCCCAGAGGCTGAAAAGGAAATTGTCTAAGGTAGAAGGACTATTTCCAATGCTATCTAAATTGTTTGAGGACAAATAAAAAATAGAAAAGTCTATAAAATGTTAAGTGGAAATGAAACCCAAAACTAAAACTAATGCACAAAAGTTAGCCCATCATCTCTCTCATTTAACATTGTTCTGGCAATCCCAGTCCATGTAATTAAATGGGAGAAGAAAATGGAGGTGACAAGTTGGAAAAGAGAGGTTGATAGATCACTACTTGTAACTAATATGTTTACACAGTTAAAAAAAACACTAAAAAATTATACTTCAAGATAACTACAAATAATATGAGAATTCAGTAAGAGAGGAGGACTCAAAATTCACAGCAAATGGCAGCAGTTTGCCTGTATCCCAGTGATAACCAGTTTGAGAATAAAATGGAAGAAAATATCACATTTATAATAGTGCAAAAATAAAATAACATACATGAAGTAGGTAAGCTTCATACAAATAAATGTCTAAGATGCTTCCAAAGACTCAAGGAAGAATTGAAGGAGCAAGGCATATTCATGCAGGGGGAGACTCTGCATCAATAAATTTATACATTGAACATTATTCAAGTAAAGATGTCAATAAGATATTAATACTAGTCAGTTTGAGTCTTAAAAGTTAGGTGGAAAAGGAAGAAGTAAAAATGGCCAGAACAACTCTAGAGAAGGTGGGTAAGGAGGGGAGCCAGATCTACCACCTGGGAGATGGAAAGTCTCATGATGGTGGTGCAAACACAGGCAGATCCAGCAAATGAACAAGACAAAGAGCCTGCCAATTGCCAAAGAGCAGAGAGGATGTCAGTGTATGATAGAGGAAGCAAGTCAGATCAAAGTGGGAGAGGAATTATTCGGCAAGTGGTGTAGAGCCAAACAGGTGGGTATTCAGGAAGCTGGGAAACGAAATCTACACCGTAGACTTTATGCCAGAATATATATTCAAATGCATTAAATATCTAATGTGCTAAATGGAAGTATAAAAATCTTAGAAGAAATTATGAGAGAATTGTTTAATAAACTCAGAGCAAGGAAAGCATGTCTATGACATAAAACTCAGAGATGATAAAAGAAAATATTGATAAAGTACACTCAAATGAAAAAAAAAAAAAAAACTATAAGCAAAGCCAAAAACATAAACTGGAAAAAATGCATATATTTGCAACTAATATCATACTAAAAGAATGAATTTTGTTAATAACTAAAAAAAACTCATAGAAATATTAGATTGAACCACAAAAATGCTCTTTCTGACTGAATGAACATGGTCACATACAGGTAATTCATGAGAATGAACCTGATAAGATACAAATTAAAACTTTAGAAAAATACATTTTTTTAACCTATAATATTGATAACTATATTGTTCACAGAAGTACAACTGATAGTCCTAACTGACAGCAATTTTGCAGTAACTATCAATTGCAAATGTGCACAGCATTTGAGACAATCATTTCTCCTTTCTATGAAATGACATCAACATGTGATTATTTCAATGTTGTTTGTAATACTGAAAGATGAGAAACAATCTCAATGTCTACCAATTAAAAGACAAAAAACCCCCAAAAAACAACAGTTAAGTAGATTGGCCCCATTAGGTTGATGGACTACCACACAAAAGAATAGAAAAGCTCTTTCTGTACAGACAGTGTAGTCTCTCTAAAATATGGATATGCATTTAAGTGGGCAGGGAGTATGACACTCTATAGCATACTTCCACTGGTAGGAAACAGGGAAAATAACATTTATACTTGCTTTATACATAAAAGATGTAAGAAATAGAAGACAGTAGTTGCCTTTGGGTCAGTGGAAGAGGACTTTTTACTACACATCTTTCTAGAATGTGGGAATTTACAGCATGATAATGTACCATGTTCAAAAATAAATTTTTTTTTTTGAGGGTTTCAGTTTGTCATCTAGGCTGGAGTGTACTGGCATAACCACGACTCACTGCATCCTTGAACTGCTGGGCTCAAACAATCCTCCTGCCTCAGCCTCCCCAGTAGCTGGAGCTACAGGCGTGCATCACCAAACCAGACTAGTTTTTAAAATTTTTTTTGCAGAGATGGGGTCTTGCTCTGTTGCCCAGGCTAATCTTGAACTCCCAGTCTCAAATACTGGGCTTCCTAAAGTGCTGGCAATACAGCTGTGAGTCACTGCGCTTGGCCCCAAAAATAACCTTAAAATAGAAAAAAAAGAAGAAATGAAATTCCACAAGTTCACAAAAAAGTATCAGAATTCACTCACTGCCCCCCATCCCCCATCCACCTAGAAAGGAGTTTAGTAGTTGTCTAAATAGAATGGGTCCAAAGTCTTACTTTGATGGAAACTACAAAGTGTTGGAAATTTGAATGCAAAATAACATTACATGTATGTATACTTAAAGAATAATTTAAGTGATTTTCAACAGTAATTGTTTTCAGAGTTCTGCTTCTGTGAGGAAAGAAGCCCTTGTAACCTCGGGGCAGATCCCTCAGCCTCATCAGCCAACCCCACAGGGCTGATGGAAAGATTAAATGTGGATGTAGAGTTAGCCACAATGCAAAATAGTATCCAGACTCACCCACAGGCACTGTAAGTCACTGAGCTATGGGGGCCAGGAAGGTGACTGAGTCCAGAGGAATGGAGTAGGGTTTCCCTTCTGTCCCAACACTGCCTCTTAGGTCCCTGAGCTAGGATCTTCTTCCCTGGCTCCAATAAGGACACAGTATGCCTTACCTTTCCCGTACTGGTGGTAGGCAGTCACAGTTGTTGGCTCTGACACATTGTGGAGCCTCATTTCCACCCCAGAATCGTCCCCGAAATCCACCGTCAGACAAAGAGCCTCTCCAGAAGCCATGTGAACACGAAATCCCAGATTTGGAGGTGCCTGCGCTTTCTCTTCCGGGAAGTGAGGGATGACAGCATTCATGATGTTATCAAGACCTTGTGCCGGGATGCCCCCAGAAGGACACTGAGTGAGGAGACAGGGCATCTCCGGACCACACTGGGATGCTGGGAGGCTAGGGGTGTGGATAGCACCAGGAGAAAGGCCGTGGGAGCTGTGGGAGAGAGGCAGAGGTTCCAAATTTCATGACAGCAGAAACCAGTCACCAGGTGGGTGAGGGGGCAGAGGTCAAGCAACTGGGCCCTGGGGTCAGCCAGCCAGTAGCAAGGTCTGAGAGAACTGATGAGCAGCTTCACTTTCCCTGGCTCTCCAAGTGGGTCCAGGGGCCAGCAGCATCAGCACCACCTGGGCACTTGTGAGGCATGTACGTTCTTGGCCCACCCCAGATCTGCTGAGTCAGAAACTCTGGGGCAGGGCCAGCAATCCCCCAGGGGACTCTGATGTCAGCAAAGATGTGAGAACCACTGCTCTAGCTACATTAATAATATAAAGTATAAACAGTTTCTCTTATCACTTCTCTTATCACGTTAATGGACATAAAGTGACACCTCCCACACGAAAAGCTCCATGTAGAGGTGGGTGTTGTCATTTCTACATTTCTTCGTGTACCTACTTGTGCTGCACATCAGCTGGGGAGTTGAGAATAGTCAATCTAAGTCACTCAACCTTCAGCTTCCAATAATACAGGACTGTCATGACCATCATTTATTTGTTAAAGGCTGTTGCAGGGTAAAGCACACTGTGTTGGTGTGGCTCTGGTTGCTGGCAGCATAAACAAAAGATTAAAGAAACCCTCAAGGCAAGTAGAGAGCACTTTCATGGACATGGAGATGGCCTAAGTATCTTTTGGCCAGTTCTCATGCTCCTTGTATTTCCTTCCTCTCCAAGTGTGCTGTGCGTACCCTATAAAGATACACACACAGAGATAAAGCTTCCATCTGAATATATAACTGATGTGAAAAATAAAGGCCACCAAGTGACACAGGTTTCTGATGGTAAACAGTGAGCCAACTATGTCATCCGTGGCATGGTAATTGGAAAATCACTGGCTTCAACTGCAATAATAATTAAAGCAAACAACAAAAATGCTAAAATCACCACTGGGTTAGGCATGGCTCCTGATTATGGGTCAAGAAGGGGTGCTGGCCTCACACCACCGCCACCCTACCTTCTGAGTAAGTGGGAAAATGGGAAATCAGCCACAGGGGTGCTCACTGGGTGCTGGTCTGAGCGGGTCCATCTGCTATATTGGGGGTCTTCATGGTGATAGTACCGGGAAGCAGATCCTTGGCCACATTCTCTGCACAGCACAGCAGTCCCCTGGCATAGAAGGAAGCCTCCACCTTCAGGCTACAGGGGGCCGCAGCAAAGGGGGTGCCTGGGACCTGTAGAGATTAAAAACAGCTGAGGGCTGGCATGGTAGCTCACACCTAACCCCAGCACTTTGGGAGGCTGGAGCAGGGGGATTGAGACCATAACATAGGCAACATAACGAGACCACATGTCTACAATTTTTTTTTTTAATTAGCCAAGTATTGTGGTGAGCACCTGTAATCCTAGCTACTAGGGAGGCTGAGGCGGAAGGATCATTGAGCTCAGGAGGTCAAGGTTGTGGTGAGCCCTGACAACAGAGTGAGACCCTGACTCATAAAAAAACCAAAAACCAAACAAACAAAAAACCCAGCTGGGGGTGTACTGAATGACCTTGCCTGTTCAAGGGTGTCCCCACTGTTCAAAAAGCCAATTTAATAAAGAGCACGGCTGCTGCTGAGGTCTCTGATATTTGAGTGGATGACTACAAATTGGCTATGTGCAAGGGACATTGAGAATGACAGGATTCACACTTTTTCCAGCATCTGAGCCAAGAGAGCATCCAGGTGGTGCCAGCTGAATGACGAGGCACATTTTATCAGGAATTTCAAAATTTATGCATATGTTGCCCCCTCGGCTAAGTCAATAGAAAACTGGCAACTTCATATGGTCATCTATAACTCTATGAAGTTGACAGCTGAGGGGTGGTGCTCTTGCAGACAACAAAAACATGAAGCTCATTTTCCCTGATTGTGGTGACAAATTTTAGTCACGCCTTCAAACTGCCCAAGTTGTGTCCAAAGGACTTACTTAGAAAGGCAAAATATGATTCACTGACAAACTTGGAGGTCATCTGTAATCGGACAAGTTTCCCAGACTCTCATCAGGGTTGACATTCAATGGCAGAGATCAGATACCAACCTGGAATAGTCCAGGCAATGTTCCATCTGCTGTCCCAGTTGCATACAGCTGCCAGTGACAGGACCTGGGGTCACCTCTACCACATATACTCATGATTGACACAGATGGTTTATGGGGGAGTCTGAATGTGAAGGAAAGGGCAAAAAGAAAAGGAAACCTGTAGTGTTTTATCCATGCTTTTGGTTCATTCAATTATTAATCGTCCTCTGTACTTTGCTGGGACAACCCTCACTATGACCACAGGCCTATCCCTGGGAGCCGAGTCCTGGCTGAAGTTCAGGGATATGATGTGGTTGGGAACCAAACCATAAAGGGTTATGGCAGGTGCTCAAGGGAGAAGTCTTCAGGTGGAGTGGAAGCTGTCTAAATGCAAAGAAAGATCCATATTAACCCAATCTTTTTCCCTTTAAGAAAGGTTATCAGTCTGTAATCCCAGCACTTTGGACCAAGGTGAGCCCATAGTTCTGAGACCAGCCCAGGCAACTTGGCGAGATCTCATCTCTACAATAAATAAAAAATTAGCCAGGCATGGTAGCATGCACCTGTAGTTCTGGCTATTTGGAAGGCTGAGGTAGAAGTTATTGCCGGAGCCCAGTAGGTCGACACTGGGGTGGCTGTGTTACCATCATGTCTATTACTTGCACCCAGCTAAGGCTCACTACACTCCTTCACAGAGTTTACAATAGTGACAGTGACAATTCTTGCATGGCACCACCTTCTATGCTGCCCAATGTTCGAGGTTAAGTTTCTCAGACTACCTGGTCTAGTCCTGCCAACTAACTTCAAAAATACCATTCTTGGTTCCATCCCATTAAGCACTGCATTTTTGGGGCAACCCCTTCGGGTCCACTCCCACTGTGGGAGCTTTTCTATCCTCTCAATAAATTCTACTCTCTCACTTAAAAAAAAAAAAAAAAAAAAAAAGAAATGCATATTCTAATCCAGATCCAGCCCATGTAGGAACAAGCCTGTAGGTCCTTCTGTGAATCCCATGTCATTAGCATGTTCAGAAAAGTGTAATTTAGCCATGGTTCGTTGACCTACCCATCAGTAATGTTATCCCAATCCAGAGAAGTTTGTGTTTTCCCATTGACAACACTTAACACTGCTTTACCAGTTCTTCTCCAAATGCTCTGTAAGAAAAAAAGTATAAACTATTGTAAGAGCTGCACATGAAAGCCCAGTACATTTGGGAAAGTAACATTACTTCATTCGCAGCATAGTTGACCCTTGCTATGTGTCAGGGACTGTGCTGGGCACTGAGGCAACGTGAGGGAAGGAAACAGACCGGCTCTGTTCCACAGGGCTCATATGCCACCAGAGGAAGCCAGGAAACAAACATGTAGACATAAAAGCGTGTGTTGGCGGCCATGATGTTAAAGAATAAAGCAGGGAGAGAGAGGAGGTGGGGAGATGCCATTTTGTACACAGAGACAGGGAAGGCCACTGGGCATGGTGACAACTGATCAGAGCAAGAAGAAAGAGAGGCAGAGCTGTGCCAAAGATGCAGCCTGCGGTGGCTGGCCCAGCAGTGTCAAATCTCTGACATAGGCATGCCTGCCTCATTGGAGGATTGTCAAGAGGCCACTGGGCTGTGGTGTGAGTACCTGAGAGTTAGGGGAGGCCAGGACCTGGAGTTTCATTCTGAATGGGACAGAGGGTTCTGGGCACAAAAGTAGCACAATTCGACTCATTTTTCAGAAGCATCAGTCTGGCTGCTGTACAAAAAGGAGACTGGGAGGCAGGGGTGAAGGCAGGGGACCTGCTCAGAAGGCTGAGGACAGCATGTCTCCAGTGTGGCCCAGAAGGTGGGGGTGGACACCTGTGAGGTGAGGATGGACGGGTTGGCTGCTGGAATGGAAGCAGGGTGGCGCCTAAGAAATAACCCAGGGACAATTCCATGGGGCTTGGCCCAAGCAAACTGAGAGCTTAGTTGGGATGGGGGCCTTGGTGGGCAGGAAAGGGGCACAGAGCCCATCTTGGCCACAAGGCTGTTGTTGGCTGCAGCTGACTTGTGCAGCTCTCCTTGTGACAAAACCTCAGTTCCCGTGGCATTGGGACAGCAGAAAGGTACTCATGGCACAGGAGGAGGACAGGGTGCTTTCAGCCTGCTGGAGGATGCCAGCCTCATTTTCATGCTCATAAAGCCCACACAGGCAAATGAACTCACATACCCAGGTAGGCCAGTCTTAATGAATAGGGGCCTTCAAAGAGCTCCCTCCCTCCACTCTACAAACAACCTGGGGTTTTGTGTTTTGAGCTGTGGGAAGCTTTGCCTGTGTTGGAGCCACCGAGCGCCAGCCTGTCTGTACTTCGTGTCTCTGGAACTACATTCTGGTTGTCACAGCAGAATTAAGGCTTCCTAATTAAGGTTTCATTGGTATGAACTGACAAACTCCTCTGAAATGTGGAAGTGCTTCTGAGCTACACGGTACACATGCATGGTTTTCAGGAAGAAATGCCAAGTTTCCCCAGACACAGAAGCAGCCCGCTATAAGGAGTACCTTCTCCCGCGAAGCTGGTGTGGATGGCTTCTGTGATTCCTGGCCTTCTGCCTTCCGTTTTAGCGCACTTGGAGAACACACCCCCTTCTCACCACTCATAAAAAGCACATAACTGGTGTAGACCTCTAGAAGAAGAGAATAAGCAAATTCTGAAGCCTGCAGAAAACCCTGGAAGCATCCACGAGGTCAGAGTTGCCCTGGCCTTGTAGCAGCTGATCCTGAGGATGAGTGTCCTTGAGAGGTACCTTTCACGAAGCTGCTGCCTGTTGTGTCCTTTCTTTCTTTTCCTCGCTTTTCAGAGTGAGTTAGGTGTAGCACACACTGTCTTCCCTGCAGCCCCCTCCCCATCAGGGAGAGTCCCTCATCCCCAGGCAGGAAGGGGTGGGGGTGAAGAGGCATTGGAGCGCTGTGCTGCTCTTCTGTCTGACCCGAGTCTCCATAAAACCATTCTCCAATTTTGGCCAGCTTTGCTCATGCTAGGAGGAACCAGGGGGGCCTCAGGCAGCCAAGAGGGGCAGGTCTCCTAGCAGGGCCAGGACTGGGCCATCCTAAAAGGGGACTCAGCTTCAATCACTGTACCCCCACGGTAACACAGGCAGTTGACTCTACCCTAGTTTCCCAGGACGTTCTCGACTTTCTAGAAAAGTATGGGATCCACTTTTTATATTTTGAGTCAATGACACTATTTACTGTCAAGAGTTCAGTGTATTGATATCTTGTGATAATCAAAGCTGAAGAAAAGTCACCCAAGGCCATGTTCCTGAGGCGTCTTCAAAAACGTGTGAAGCGTGTAATTGAACTGCCTGCCACAGGCTGGATGTGCCAACCTGGGTATGAAGTAACTTCCTGAACTGGAGATGTCCGCAAGGAAGAAATATTTAGAAAACGTTTTAGATAGGCTAGAATAGTAAAGTAACATGATTCTCTGAAACTAATTAGTTATCAAAGCTACTGTGCTCAAATTATCTGAAGAAAAAGTCTGACTTTCTAAAACAAGCTGACAGTCCCTGAAAATCACATTAATAATAACAATACCTAAAACTAAATAAAGCAAATCACTAAAGGAGAAATAAGCTAATGAAATTAATTCCACTTGATTTTCATTTAAGAATCCCAACAGTTAGCTTTGCACTGTTTTAACACTGATGCCAGGCATACTCTTTCCATGTCCCCATCCCCACTTCATTTAAATCAGTCTTTTAAAGTATTTAAACATTTTTATAATTTTTCTTTAACAATTTTAAAATTAGTATTTTTAAAGTGCCTCAGATCTATCAAATGCATAGCTATCGTTGAAAACAAAAATTATTTCTACTTAAAAATTATTGTGAACAAGGTTTGTACAGAATTCTCTTGGTCTCAACTTCCCATCTTTGATGATAAGAATGTTGCTTTTTTTCCCCCTAGTATAAGGAGAACATCACTTATATGGGAATTTCATCTTCTGCTTTTAAGAACTAGAATGAAGGTCAGAGTGACCTTGCACCTGGACTTTTTCAAGTGTCTTTTACTTAAACAGTGACTATGCCAGGGGGAATACTTTTAATGTCTTTACTGGGGCCCAGCCTTGACTTTCTGCTTTAGGAAGTCTGCGGTGGGGCTCTGGGGGTCTGGAGACCATGCTTAGAGAACCACTCAGTCTACGATGGGGCCTCCCCAAGCCCAGGGAGAGGGATGTTCAGGTTATAGGAGATGACTCCAAGGCCACAGGCATGGGGATTTCCAAACCTTTATCTTCCTAGTCACTTCTCCAGCCAATTAAAGGGGCCCACACTCTTTGCCTTACCACATTTTCATGATTTACCATTCTTTGTCCAATTCACTATATAAACAACAGGCTGCCTTTTGGGTCTTCATTTCCTTTGAGGATTCCCATGCCACTTAACACTTATATGAAATAAATGTGTATGCCTTTCCCCTGTTAATCTATCTTGTGTCAGTTTAATTTACGGGCCCAGCTGGAAGCCTAAGAGGATGGATGTGGAGTTTTGTCACCCCATACCAGCAGCCAGCCTGTGTTTCATAAAATCACCAGGGAAGGAGAACCCCTAGGGGACGAGGGCTTCAGGCAGGGCCTCCAAATCCCAAGGCTGCCACCCACCAGGTAGCAACTCTGGGAAAGCTGCTTGGCCTCTTTAATTCATGGGCTCTGTATTAGTCGGGCGGGGATGAATTGTCAGTTAGCAGGGTGCCCAGGACCCACCCCTTATCCCAAGGCCTTACCACCCCACCCTCCACCGCAGGGAGGGCTACAGCTACGGCTGCACGGACAAAGACCTCTGAGCTTCTTGCCACAAAAGGAAAGGGCACAAGAGGCCCGGAGACACCTAAGAGCAAGAGAATAAATGGATGAAAATTAAATTAGGTACAAACTGTTTGCTCACAACCATCCTGTGACAGCTCTTCCATCCATATTCGTATCTCTGCCACAAACTTATTGAGCACATAATTGGCTGCCTTATGAACAAAGAGTTGCCGCTATGGTTTTCCACTTTATGTTTTCCAAATGTGGGGTGTTTTGGAAGGTTAACTGAAATACAGTTTGCATCTGACTACTAAAATGACCTCCGAATAGCCCCGGCTCTCCTCCTATTCCCTCCAGGTCTTCCCACCCGGATGCACAGAGCTGACCCTCTGGGCTGGGCCTGGCTACCCTCTAGGGTTCCTTCTTGCGTTCCCCTCTTCCAGCCTCACCATCCCTGTTGCTGCTGTCCACCTTGGACCCCTGAGTGCAGTTCTCCTGGCCCTGGGTGGGTAAAAAGATTGATAGAGCTACTTAGTGACTAATATATTAATGAGTAAGCTACAGGTATCTGCTGTTCCTGAGGGATCACCAGCTCTCTCTCTGATGGGTGAGGGGGCGGCCATTTCCAGAAACATGCAATTTGCCTTGATAGACTGGCCAGACTCTGTGACTAGGTTGATTTATGAGCTAAAAGATAGTCTGATGATCATTTCTATAGCTTTCAATTTTGGTCTGGAATAAGCAAAGGGGGTGGGATGGCCTGGTGAGTTCACTTTCCAGCTCTAGCCAAAAGAGAGGCCTGGTCCCTCTGATGTAACAAGGAAAAATGTCTGAATGCTTCCTCTATTCTAAAATTGCTTGCAGGAGATTTAACTACCTAAGTCTAACCTACACTGATGACCCTGCCTCACCAGGATGACCCCAGAGCCCACACCAAGCAGGCACTGGGAGACATTCTTCCCATTAAGCCCACAACAATCCTGAGAGGTGAAGTGCAGTTACTTTTTAAGAGGAGATTGTGAGCCAGGCTTGGTGGCTCAGCCTGTAATCCCGTGCTTTGGGAGGCTGAGGTGAGTGGATTGCCAGAGTCCGCGGGTTCGAGACCCGCCTGGGCAACTTGGCGAGATCTCATCTCTACAATAAATCAAAAAATTAGCCGGGAGTGGTAGCACATGCCTGTAGTTCCAGCTACTTGGAAGGCTGAGGTGGAAGGATCGCCGGAGCCCAGCAGGTCGAGGCTGTGGTGGCTGGAAGCGACCACTGCACTCCAGTCTGGGTGACAGAGACTCCAACTCAAAAAAAAAGAGGAGATTGTGGAGGCCCAGGAAAATGAGTTGACTTGGCAGAGCTCGTGCTGTCAGTAAGTGTCAGGGCCGATGCTTAAATCTGGTTCTCAGCGCACCCAAAGGTGACACTGATTCTGTGGTGCCTTCCCTCAAAGGATCCTAGGGGGTGCCTGCAGAGTTCAAGCTGCAGCTGAAGCCAGCCCTAGGACTCTGCTCCTTGGTATGGAGGGCCGACTTTCCCTCTGGGTTCCCTAGGCCTTAGCAACCCTCTGAAGCTTTTCTGCTCCTCAGTGGAGGGTCATCATCTCGTCCCTGGTTGCTGCCCTCCTCAGCTCCTGGGTATCTGTGCCTATCATCCATCCACTTCAAGAGAGATAGCGTATAGCAAGCCCTGATGTGGGTTCTCTGGGTTCTGGCCTTGACTGTACCAGAAACTGACAGCGTGATTCAAATTTCTGATCCACACCAGTTCCCAGCAATGGGGCAGTGGAAACCATCGCTTCCAGCTCTGCATGGTCTGCTGTGCCAAGAGGAAGGACAGGCCCTGCATCCACCTGTTCCTAGACAGAGATAATCACTTTGCCTCCCTGTGTGCTGGTCTCCTTCTCCCAGGATAGAAATAACACCAACCTACTTCATGGGGCTGCCGCCAGGATTGTCACTCCAAGAAGGGCCATTTTGTGCTGAGTGTTACCCTCATTCTTAGACACTGGGCCCCACTTCTCCCATGAAAATGCATTCTGCTTTCTAGTATTTTTTAACCTTTCTTGGGTGCCTATGAAATCTAGGGGATATATATTTTAATTTAAACAAGGCTTACACAGGATAAAACTGTGGACAGTTCCACCTATTTTTTTACAAAGCTGGCTCTTGAGGCAATAACCCAGAAGCTGCCACCAGAGGGCAGACGAGAATACTATTTAAAGAGTTGGGACAGATTGGGAGGGGAGGTGCAAGGCTATATTCTCAAGATGAAGATGGTCATTAGGTCAAATGCCTCTGTTAAACTACTGAATAATTCCAAGGGTTTCCTTGTCTGTCCTTAACTATGCTTGTCTTCCAAAGGTCAGAAAGTAAGAAAATGAAAAAATATATACAAAACAAGGGACAACTTTGGAACTGTACAGCTCATACTTCAAATCTTAGGATTTCTGCAATCTAGAGGGCAAATATAATTGAGGAAAAGACCAACCTCACCTGTATCCACTGCATACACTCACAGCCCACATCCGTAAGACTTCCCCTGTGCTCTGGGCCCACACAAGGGGAGACAGCCCTGGCACTAACCAAGCTCCCAGATGCCCCCACTGCAGGATGCCTTCTAAGGGTTACGCAGAGAAAAAAAAGCTACTTACCATGGTTTCGGGCACATAGCTAGCCCTTGAGAATTAACTTCCTGACCCCTGAATATGAGAAGCGAGAACACATCCTCGATAACTGCCACATCAGGTGTGCTTTTGTACTCACAGAGGTGCTGCACAGCTGGTTTTCCTTGAGACTTCAAGTAATGAAAATAACCAAAAGTGGGGGGAAGGGAGTGTGAAAGGACAATGTAAATACAAGGGAGACTCTTTTTCCTGGTGATGTGAGGAGGGCTTAGGTTCTTAGGCTCCAGTGACAAAATCAGTGCCATTTCACAGGGGCATGTTGGTTTCCTCTTAATTAACCGTGCACTGATCAAGGGAGCAGGGCAGAGCCGACGGCTTCAAACGCTGCAGTTGAGGTGTCTTTACATGACAGACGTTAGAATTCCTTAAGAGTGAGTGTTTCTGAGCAGCTGGAAGATGAGAGCCTGGAAGTTGAACTCTTTTCTTGGGCCAGTTGAACCCTTCGCCACGCAAGGCCCTTGACTGGCCTCCTGGTGCTTCCCAGGTGATGAAGGCAGAGGTTCAACATCACACATAAATACACACACCACTCCACACACACACACACACACACACACACACACACACACACACACACACACACCAGACCACATAAAACCACATAAATACACACACACACGCACCACACAAACACACACCACACCGCACCTCCCCCACACATACACACAGATACTGTGGGCCTAACTCCATGATGTGGTGAGCACAGTAGAGCCAAGAAAACCTCTTCTATTTCTGCAAATGAGACCAGCCCTTGTTTGCTTTAGGTAACCCAGAAGACCCTAAAAAGCCACAACTTCAAAAATGGGGTCTTGATAACAAATCATAATGGTTGATGCATCCATGAACTATTTGGTTTACAAGTACAAGATATAGAAATATGTATGGGAAAAAATTAAGTCAACAACTCTCCCTCCTCAAATTTTCTTTTCTAAGGACTAGGGGATACTTTCTTACAATTCCCTGATTTATAACCGTCGATGTCTAATTGTGCCCACACCAAGGCTCTGGGAGTTGGCAGGAGCCAGGAAATTTGGAATAAAAGAAAACTGAGATAATGAAAAAAGAAAAAAAATATATATATATAGCCATAATCAGCCAATCTTTGGCAGCAGTGACACAAAACAAAGAAATGTCTGAGCAGGAATGTGGCTGACTGCTGTCAACGTGTGCAGACTAACTTTCCTCACCAACTGGGGGAGGTCTGCAGCCACTGGCTCCCCTTGTGCCAGGTCAGGGGACAGCAAAGGCCCCACCTGTGTTCTCACTGCTTCTCAGAGGAAAAGGATGAGAAAGGGTATGGAAGAGGTTTGAGCTTCCTGCAGCCAGGATGCAGCCAATGGCAGAGCTCACAGATTGTACATTTGTTAGAAGGTCACCTGGTTTTAACAACACATGGGTGCTGGCATGCATGGAGTATAGGGCAGGGGTTTAGACATAAGACCCATGAGCTAAGACCCTGGGATCTCTCCTTGCACTGGGTTTCTGCTGGGCTCCACGCAAGACCTCTGAGAGGCAGATGGCTTAACTTTGTCCACTGCCAGGCAGCAGGCAGTAGGGAAGTGGGAGGGCAGCCCTGGGGTGCAGGAAGAGCAACGAACTGTTCTCAGGGATGAAGGCAGACACTCAGAGGGGTCCTCTCAAAAGCCTTCAAAAACAAACCCATTCTCAGCATGGACTCCAGTGTCCACTGACCTTGCCAGGCCGAGTGCACTATCCTGTTCCCCCACTGTGAGCCCACATCCTCTAGGTGATGACTCTCTTGGGGTTAGCCTGAAGAGCTCATCCCATCAAAGCTCAGAATCTCTTGTGGCAGAGGAGGAAAAAGCAGAGAAGATTCACTTTAAGATAAAAGTGTCAGCTTTTGGAACTAGTCTTTGAACATCACTGGCCAGGAATGCGTATTCCAACCATACTACGATCGCAGAATTTGGGTTAAAACTTCGTTCTTCCTTAAAAATTATCCCTGGTGGTTCCTGTTTTTTCTCCACCAAAAGAAAAATAAAATATTTCTTTTGAAAGAAAGATTTCTAAATGCATACTTGAAATCCAGCTCACTAAATCCTCTGAGAACAGTGCTGGCTCACCTTTTCTGATAATCAGAAGTGTTTTTGGCCACTTCTCCGGTCATGCCCTGGGCCGGCCAGTCACCACTACCACAGTCAGCAATCCAGCATCTCCCACCATGCCCTAGAAATCAAAGGAAAGGTGCTTGATGCTTCCAGCTCCTGTACTTGCAACCTCATGGGACACACATCATACATGGAGGCAAAAAAACAAACTCCAATCGGTTCCCCAATGAGAAACAGCTTTTGCTTCCCTAACACTTTCAGACAAGCTGCTCCTTAGGAAGTATTCTTCAGGCTCTTAGTACCTGCCTGACACAGATCATTAATGAAGGCAGAGATTGTAAACGGAAGTTGAGAGAAGTCTGATAATAAAAAGCTGTTCACAACTACATCAGGGTATGGGATACCTTCCCAAAGAATATTTCTAAGCTGGGCTACCTTCAGCATGCTTGGCATTCTCTCTATGCCAGCCAAGCCTCTCTCGGGAATGATCTGGTCTCTGTACGTTTCCTTGTTTGTGATCTGGAGGGTTGGACTGAGTCCCCCTCATTATAAAACATCCTCTCAGGCGGGGTGCGGTGGCTCACACCTATAATCGCAACACTTTGGGAGGCCGAGGTGAGAGGATTGCCTGAGCCCAGGGGTTCAAGACCAGCCTGGGTAACTTGATGAGATCACATCTTCTACAATAAATTTTTTTTAAAATCCTCTCATTTCTTTTTAAAACACTTTTTAGTTGCCTTAATTCTTTACCTCAACATTTTAACCCTTAAAGAGATTTTACAAAACTTAGTTTTGTGTGTTACCTAGAAAACTGTGGTTTTTTCTCTCTACTCCAGACTTAAATTCGAATTTAACTGGAAAAGAATGTGATACTGAGAAAAGGGAATGTGTTTTGGAACACAAGTTCCCATCCAGATGGGAACAAGGAAGGACCCTGGGGAGATGATCAAAGAGCCTTGGGGGTCCAGCCTTGGACAAATTTATCCGGACCCTGAGTTTTCTAGAATTTAGCTGCAACTCTACAGACAGTGAGTAACCAGAGCCCTGTGGGGGGTTTATGGGGTCTGCTGTTGATTCAACACACCTCTATCCTTCCTGTTGTCTTCACACCATGTTGGCAGCACCCCCCTTTGCTCCCACTGTGCTTGTTGAGAAAAATCTGAGAATTGAAGGAAATGTATACTTTCCAGTTTTATTAGCGTATGCTTTTAAATGCGCTTGTGCCCAAGGAAAGGATCCATTGCAAATTGCAGTGTGGTTTGCTCTGACACCTTCATCAATCTAAAACTTCATCCAGAGCCCAGGAGTCAAGACAGCTGCCCCACCCTCGCCTCTGGGCTCACATCCATACTGGGCCACCCTGACCTTCCTCCATTGCCTTTTCCTTCCCTGTGGAGCTAGACCTACTGGGAACAACAGCCTAAATTGAAAGTTTGTAAAGCCAGCAGTGCTAGCAGAAGATGCTAGAAATGACAAGGAGCAAAGAAGGTGACACTATTGAGGGAAGAAGTGAGACCGCACTGCCCAATGTGGGAGCCATAGCCACCCCTCTGCTACTGGAACTTAAATGAATGAAAATTAAATAAAATTAAGGCTGAGCTTCTTCACCATGAGCCACATTTAAATCTCAACTTAAAAAACGAATGTCTGAAAGTAGGTAGCATGGCCTGAAGAGTTTCAACAGTTAAAGCAAAAAGGCAAACAGTTGTTGACACAATTCACAGTGTACAAAAAAGGTCAGAAAGAGAAAGCTACTATTCAAACAGCAGAGTCCTTCCTGAGAACTGTTCCTCTACCTAAGGAACTGTTTTCCCGCAGGTCCTCAAATTTTAAGAAGTAGTGGATGGCATTTAATGATATTAGAGTATTGTATTTGCAACTCAGACAACTAAGTGGAAAATACGTTAGAAAAAAAGAACTCTAGAATGATGGTTATCATGAGTAATCAACTTTGTTTCTCAGGTCTCGAGGCAAGCCCGAGTTCTGATCATGATCTCACGGTGTGCCTGCCTCAGTTTCTCACCTACAAATGGAGCTTCCTGGGGAAGCACCTGGCCAGCCAGCATCGCTTGGCCTTCTAATTGCGTGAGCAATCACACATGCTGACATGTTCCCTCTTAGATACCAAACTGCCAGTCACCCTCATGTCATCCTGCTCCCGGAGACAGCCTGTGGAGGTCTACACACTGTCTCAATCTTGGCTAGCACTCCGCCCCCACGCCTGGTTAACACACAGAACGTCAAGCAGAGTGCTTGGACAAATTTTGGTAATTAATTGTGGCAAAAATAAGGAGAGATTGCTGAGATCTTGGTAGAATGTCACACTTACCATTGTTTGAGCTGATCCCCGGAGTGGGCTGCACCAAGGATAACAGGGGCAAGGCTCCGATTAGCAACCTCCACTCCACTCTCAAGCAAACTGCTCCCATGGGCTCCTGTCAGCAGCCAAATCAAGGTTGCCTTTGGGCAAACTTGTGAGTAGGAGAACGTCTACAAAGGTGTCCTGAAGCAACAGGGACTGACCTGCCCCCACCCTGTGGGTGGGAGCGGAAAGCCCTCCCACCCTCCATTAGCATCTTGGGACAATCGGTCAATCAGCACCCCTTGAGAGAGACTAACCTCCTGCCTGGAAGATCTCAGGTTTAATCCTCACCCCCAAAAACATGTTTCTGGGCTGTTTCCTCTAAGATGAGTATTTCTTTTTTTTTTTGAGTTGGAGTCTCACTCTGTCGCCCAGACTGGAGTGCAGTGGCTGTTCCCGGCCACCGCAGCCTCGACCTGCTGGACTCAGGTGATCCTTCTGCCTCAGCCTTCCAAGTAGCTGAAACTACAGGCACACGCTACCATGCCCAGCTAATTTTTTATTTATTGTAGAGATGAGATCTCACCAAGTTGCCCAGGCGGGTCTCAAACCCGCGGGTTCAGGCAATCCACTCACCTCAGCCTCCCAAAGGTGCGAGGATTACAGGCTGAGCCACCAAGCCCGGCTTAAGATGAGTATTTCTAAGTGGTGTTAATTTTCAGGGGAAAATGTGTAAATCATCTGCAAGGTTAAATAGCAGCACCATAAAAGTAAACATATTAATAGTTATTAAGTGTCATGTGTTTGTGAGAAACAGGAACTTTGTCTTATACGAATTATAAACAATTGCTGACTTATAAACAACACCTGTCTGTTCTATAATCATCCATGCTTCTCATTGGCTTCAAAATAAAAGCAAATATTCGTAGCTTGATATTCAAACTTTGAAAGACTGCCCCCAAATGCCTTTGGTCGGTCGGCTACTTGGAGTGTAGGGTAAGATATCTATACCCTGATTGTTCTCTCACTCTGCAGTCACATGCAGCAATTCCACCAAAGGAATATGATGATCACAGTAGGAATCATTTTTCAGCACTGCAGGGTTTGGTGCCCACTTTGATTTTTCCCTCTCAAAAGTACATTATGAAAAGGAAATTAACGTAAACATCTTTGCATTTATCTTGTTCCAATGCAATTAAGAAAAGCGCAACACAAATTCTATGGGGGAATTTATTAGGCTCTGAGGCATTTGTTTTTAAGTTCAAGTAATATACGATTATCTATATCATCTTGGCTTCTCCACCCCCACCTGCCAGTTTTGCATCAAACTTTGTCCTTTTATCTGGAGTGGCTCCTCCACACTGAGTAAAAGTATTACTTGATAGAGACAACTGATATACCATAAAGTATGAATAGAAACCCCTTAAAAAAGCTTTGCTACTTATGTGGCTCTAGATCATATGATGTAAGTATATGCAAAGGCAAACTCAGGACAAGTCCCCATGGTCCCCAGATGTGGTCCCTCTGTTTCCCCATAGAGCACAGTTGGAGCCAGCACTGTTTCTCCTGGTTATTTCTGACATGTCCAACGTGAAGGGAGATCCACTTATGTCACTTAGGACAGATAAGCCACCAAACAGTCGAGAATCACACTGGACGTGACGTTTTTGATTTGACAAGAGTGGATGCTCAGGAAATTGAAGCTAGTTAGGGCTGCTTTGGGAAGCCTGCATATGAACTGGGTGAAGTGCTAACATGGGGCACCACATCCCAACCGGTGCGTCCCTCTTATGAAGGCTACTTAAGTCCTCTGCCTCCTCCACAGGGTTGGTTTGCAAATAGTGAGAGGAGTGAACAGTGAAAAGAACAAAAACACAGGGTAGAAACCCGAGACTCAGTTTCGGTTCTCGCTTCTGTCTGGTCATGTTTTCTTCTCCTTCAAGGGGAGGAAACTCATCCCAAAGATGTGACTAGATTTTCTCTCTAAGGAAGATAACCATATAGATGGATTAAGTTGAAACCAGTATGGTAAAAAGTGGTTACAGTGTATACATGTGACTCTTTTAAGAGCCTAAATCTCAAAATAGTTCAAGGCTGGAAATGCAGGGTTGTCTTGTCACAGGGCTTCAGCCCTGAGGTCACTGGATTGTGTCAGTGTGCTGGGACGTGCTCACCAAACCTCTAAGAGCCTCAGAAAAGCAGTGGAAATCACCTAATCTGTACCGTGTGCTGCTATGAACTGGCAGCCTCTGGCTAGCAGCTAGAATAAAGGCCAATTTCTGTTTGGTTTTTGTTTTCATCAGGCATATGCTATGGCTTGAATGTGTCCCTTAAATTCATATGTTGGAAGCTTGGTCCTCAGTGAAGCAGTTTTGGGAGGTAGGGCCTAGTGGGAGGCAATCAGATCACGGGGGTTCTGCCGTCATGATGTGAGAGTGGATTAGTTACTGAGAGAAGCAGGTCATTATAAAAGTGATTCCACTCCTCTTGTGTCCTGTCTCACACACACCCTTCTGCCTTCTGCCCTTCCACCAGGGGACAAAACAGCAAGAAGGCCTTCACCAGATGCAACTCTTCAACTTGGGATTATTTCGGCCTCCAGAACTGTAAAAAAAAAATCTCTTGCTTTTATAAGTGACTCAGTCTGTGGTAATCAGTTGCAGCAACACAAAATGGACTAAGACTGCTTATAGATGTTCACGTTTTATATTATACATCCCTGTGTAGAATTAAGTACTGTTAGTTCTTTCAATTCCAACCACCACAGGTGGCCAGTATTATTAGTCATTGTTAAACTGTCTCCTTAAGAAGCTGAATGACCTGCCCAAGATGAGGATGCTGGAAAGAGCCAGAATCTTTCCCCAGGTCTTAGGGTGTGGAATTTAGCATCTTTTCAAGTGACATGTGTGGCACATATGAGACTGGTTCAGCAGGAAAGGGCTACAGAAGAGGACCTGGATTCCAGGTAGGCAGCTTCCATTCTTTGTGCTCCCCGTCAGGTCATTTTCCTTCATCGTGGGGTGATTTGTGAAGTCCTCTGACTCAGCTGGTCTGTTCCAGAATTTCCTTGCCAAGAGCCTAATAACTGTCACTCTGCCTTCACTACAAAGACTTTGTTACAAACACTGATTGAATCTCATTCACGTTGGGCCCATAATAAAAAGGGATCATTCAGCAATGTGGTGCACCTTATTGGTCAAGGCTCCAGTATTCTGAGCCTGGTATAATTTCAACATGACAAAAGTTTAATTTTCAACTTATGAAAATAAGAATGTGCTGTGAAAATTAAAAGACTAAAGTCCAATGTTCAGGAAACTGTAACTGCCAGTTGAATATGTATAGCACTTAAATAACATTTATTTAGTCCCTTGAAATTTATTTTTTGTTACAAAACTGGTTATACAATTTTTAGAAAATATATACTTGTACAAATACTAAAAGATAAACTACCCAGAAATAACCAAGTTTAAGTGCTTGTGTGTATCTTCCCAATCTTTTTCTATCATATTGTACATATCAAGGTCTACTCTGTTTTAACTATAAGTCATAAACATTTTGCCATATCAGTACCCTTTTTTCCGTTTATTTTTAGAGTATAAAATATCATGTCAAACCACAGATTGCCAATCCTCTATAAGTTGATATTTAGAATATTTCAAGTTTTTTCAGTATAACAATACAATATCTTTTATTGTGATCTTTATATAAATTGTGATAAGCAGAATTATTGAGTAAAAGGGGATATATCTCTTTTAAAGGCTTTCCCTACATAATCAATACCAAATTGGACTCCAGCAAAGTGATAGCACCTCACACTCCCACCAGCAGTGTCTGAATGGGGCTAACTTATTTCTCTAACAATCTTAGGGTATTCCAGTTAAACATATGATATTTATTTCCTAATTCAACAACTGTACTTAGAAGAAGCTCTATAAATCCAAAAACTCAAGCTTCCTTTTAGACTGTTCCGTCAAAATCCATGCAAAAGTAAAGAATTGGAGAGTGATGTCAGCAAAATGGAGTAGCTCACCAGCTTCTCTCTCCACCACATAATTTCAATAAGCAACTATCACAGTCCTCGGTGGAAAACATGAGGGGGAGGTAGACATTCCACTTCCCCACCATTGTGAGTTTCTTTGCAGGAGGCAGGCTCTGGTCTTTTCTCACTGGAGGCACTGCATGTGCCAGCAAGGTTAGCCCACTAGGTATAAATTAGAAACAAAGAATGGGGCGGGGCTCACAGCATGCAACATGCAAACCTCAAAGCTGGCCACAGTGAACCTGGGCTTAGGGTGCCATTTAGCAATTCAACAGCTATAGTGCTCACAGGCTTAGAGGCCAAAAAAGTCTGCTCAGAATTTCTGAACAGACCTCCTCCATGGCAAGGGAAAGCAAAGACAGGCAGCCAGCTGAGCTAGGACAAGTATGGAGCCGCAAGAAGCTCCTTGATGCAGGGAAGGGGTGAGTAAGAGATCCCTGGGTTTCCACACTCTGCCAAGAACATTTACAATCCTAGCCACAGGAGAGCCCCTGGCATCTCCTCCAGCCTCCAGTCTAATACAGGGAACTTCCTGAAATCCATGCAGAGGCACTGCTGGAGCCTATGTGAAATCCCACAGGTTTCTGATCCCCGAGTAGCCTGGCCCAGCTGCAGTTACCCCACCAGGAAGGGAGTGAGCAGGCTGAGCACACTGTTATGCCCCTAAGACAGACACTGCAGCTGCAGTATAGAGGAGTCTTTATTCTCCTTTGCTTTCTGTGACTGCCATTGCTTCTCTGATGAATTCCAGTGTCCACCCCCCCAAACAAAGTTACTATTTACTTGCTATTTTGATTACTCTCCATGAAAGAGGGGCCCACTAGCTACCTCATCAGCCTTCTTGAGCTGGAGAACCCCCATTTTCTTTGTGCATTCATCCATTAATGGTGACAGGTTGCTTCCATACCTTGGCCATTGTGACTAATGCTGCAATAAACATGGAAGTACAACATGGTCAGACCACACACCACAACTGCCAGCCTCAGCTGCGCTCTCCTAAATGGGGCATCCCCTTCTTTTCAGCGTCAGGTCCAGAGTGCAGCTGTCCTGCACCAACATGTACACTTTGGCCAAGGCCCAGCTCCCAG